CCGACTGCTCCAGCCGAATTACCACTGAATCCTACTGACCAATCAGAACCTTCGAATATTTATAATATCAGACTGGTTGTCCTGTTAGCCTCTTCTCTTCGGTCCTTAACACTACAACAAGACACCGACCCTTCTTTCGTATGTTCTCCTTTTTACTATAGCTCAAACCATCTATGAGCGGTCGACCTTCGCTCACATGACACAGATGATGACGATGGCGCTCGAGTCGCCCTTTATCATATATCCCCGGTCATCAAACCGCCTTCCTGGGTTTCTGTATCTAAACCCTAAAACGCCACCCACCCTTTCTGCCGGCTGTCACTGCCACCGTTAAGTATATTTTCATATCCCCTAACTTGCTTTGCTTTGTAACATATATATCCCCCGCTAACAAACAGCTCCTAACTTTTTTTTAAATTACACAACCCATAAACCAGCACCAAACCTTTTAGTCATCCTATCGCCGCCGGGCCCCTGCCCAGCCCGCCCCGCTGCTTACCTAAATATTGTTCCGGATGTCACCATTTATATAACCCCATTGACAGACGAGTCGAACGCCACCTGTCACCCGCCACTTTGAAGATAATAATTCGCTTGCAAAGTATTGATTTGTCCGCCCAAGCAATAATACTAAAGAAATTTCTATTTGCCATTCACGAGTGCCGTCATCACCCTCCCGATCGATATTTACTAAGGATAAAGCGGGAGGGTTAACCCTCCCGGCGAAAACCAAGCACATATGGCCGCCATCTTTTACTAAGGATAAAGAAGGATCGATTTGCCTGTTTACATCCTCTAAACGACTTATACACTACTAATGACAACTTAAAAACATTGCGACAGATCCTTCAACTTTAGATGATCCCTTTTTGTGCTTACTTCTGAAAACAGATATCAGCGGTGTAATATCTTTAAATGGAACTGCAGTTTTTATGCTTAGTTTCGCTTTAATGTCACACTTTCAGTACTTACAGCGAGCCTTAGCCGTATCCCCTGGAACTGCCATCACCCAGTCTTTAATTATGTCATCATGCAGACACTCTTTCCGAAATTTTTGCTCATACTGCTTTACTTTTGGCATGTTGAAAATTTTTTCAAAGTGGAAGACACATATGAAGGTGAGGAGTTATTTTAAAAAAAAAACACACTCATACACACACACACACATGAAAAAGAACTACAAAATCAGCATCACGGCTATAATTCACAACACAGGGAGTTTCCAGTTCAAACATAGCATGATTTTTACGCGCTCTTAATCAGTACCGGAGCTGCCAGATTGCTGAGAGTTGACTCCAGCGAGTTCGAAGTTTCAGTAATTGCAATTACGACAATGTACTTGCCCAGGCTAAAACAAAACAAAATGTGTAATAAATATTTCATACAGTAATTATTAAATTGGCACACAAAAAAAAAAAAACATTCTATAAAATATTTAACTCTAAGTGAAAAAAAATCTAGATTTACATCTACCATCTAGACGTCAAAAACACCCTTTAGATGCCAGGGATAACAGCTAGAAATGGATGTAAAACATCCAAAGTGGCAACACTGCTTTTATCTTTTAAAGTAATACTGCGCCTCCCTTCCTACGATAGAATGTTAGAAAGTGCAGAGTCGGAATGAAGCAAAAGTATCCCACCTCTCCTGTTTTTGTTTTTGTTTTTCAAGTAAAGGCATGACATGCAGGCTGCAAACAAAAGTGGTGGCAGCAATATTGGTCACCACTTTGGCTGTATGACGCAGGAATGCCCCTACAGACACTACAGCAAGGACGACTCACCCAGTATTGAAACTTCTTCAATACATCTTCCTCTCTCGACTTAACTCCCTTACTGAAGGTTACATCGTAACCGTAAATGTGCGCTCACCTAACTGTATTAAACGGCTGAACGGTGTTTCTGGGATTTACTCCGGTTAGATTCTCATCATTGTGATATTAGTACTGCATGGGAACAATTGCCTGCCTTCAAACATTCTTTATTCGCTGTTACTTGGGTACTAAGAGCTTCCCTCAGCTCTCACATAAGGTTTACGTGAAGTCACGGTATGCATCTGATAGATACAAATACGGCTTTAACAATCCGCACAGTGCTGGCACTGTCAGCACAGAAATTAGAAGTGTAATGTTTCATATATACATACTGGCACTGCCGGCACAGAAATTACAAGTGTAATGTTTTGGATTTACATACTGGCACTGCCGGCACAGAAATTACAAGTGTAATGTTTTGGATTTACATACTGGCACTGCCGGCACAGAAATTACAAATGTAATGTTTTAGAAATACATACTGGCACTGCCAGCACAGACATTACAAGTGTAATGTTTTAGAAATACATACTGGCACTGCCAGCACAGAAATTACAAGTGTAATGTTTTAGAAATACATACTGGCACTGCCAGCACAGAAATTACAAGTGTAGTATTCTTCTTCTTCTTTGCGTTCACCGGCTGTACACTCTGGCGGAAAGTTCTGGTTGCTCGTCCACTACTGAACTACAGTCCTGCTCCAGAACCAGAGTGCTGCGTGTGCATCAGTTTTACAGATCTAATTCTCTTGAATACAGACTGTTGGTTCCTTGCCTCTCTGACAGATGTACTCCGACTTCAAAGGAAGCTCCCCAATTAGTCGACTCTTATGACATGCTTTTGGAAAGGCAGTGGGTCTATTCTTGTTTTTCCCACAATGGGACCCCAAGACCCAGACGGGGGACAAGTGTATTGTTTTAGATATACGTACTGGCACTGTCAGCACATAAATTACAAGTGTAATGTTTTGGATATACATACTGGCACTGCTTTTCAAAAATGACCTTGGATCCCAGGTCGACCTAGCCTTGAGTGGGTACCGGGTTCAGTCCTGGGAAGTAAAGGCGGCCGGCGCGATACTGACCACATCACCAATCTTGTGCCGATTGGTCTAATAAATATAGGTCTAGCCCTATATACCCTATACGTCTAAAGCGTGAAAGAGGGTCCTTCACTATTTTTATTTCTTACTGGCACTGCCAACACAGAAAATACAAGTGTGCTGTTCTCGTACATACAGAGACAAATACACATACAATAGTAGGGAATTTCAAGAAACTGAAATTCACAACATGAAAGACTTTCAGGAAAGTATACCATTTAAGCTTATGTACACAAGAATAACGTTATGCTGGTGCCACTGTCCTGATAGCGACAAATCGGAACGAACTAGAAGGATTGATAGATACGGTGATGTAGAAAGTGATAAAATGGGCAGCAGCTTAAATAACAGAAGGTCGTAAGAAATCGTAATATCAAGGAAAACATATAGCCTAACTGTATGTCGCAGGTGTTATTTTAGAAAATTATGGAAATTGAATTATCAAAGCAAATAGATAACATCCTATGGAAGATGTATCACAGAGAAAAAGAACAGAAATGGGACAAGCCAAAACTGTATATTACGAAACGAAAAACATTTTATGCAATACATCCATGTCACTGAGGTTAGAAAATAATTAACACAAACTATCTAGAGCTAGTTGTAGCATATGGCTGTGAATCTGGACAATTAATAAACAAGCCAAACATTTTATGAGGCCTCGGAGATCTGGGTTAAGAGAAAAATCATTATAAATAATTTAACAGCCCCCCCCCCCCCCCCCCCCCAAAAAAGAGCAACCTAACGTTTTTTAAGAAGCGAGGATCATTTTTTTACTACTGGAAAGTTGTATGGAAGAAAGGACAGAGGAAGATGATTTTTTGATTTGTCATGTCATGGAGTTGAGTCAACCGGAGTTGAAGATCGTAGATTGTGGCTAGGCACGATGGTCCACGTCACTCGACATGGCACTTGATGAGGATGAGATATGGATACAGGATACATAGTTCTGCATTCAATAAGTACACGAGAAAAATAAAACGTATGACTAGAGCAGCTGAGAAACATTTTGTAGTCAATACTTAAAATAGAATAGAGCATCTGCACTTACGAGGAAAAGCTTAAAACGTGTTCAAGAAAGGTAGACTATTAAATATACCGTTAGTCGTCCCCATGTGGGATGAAATTTTTCGTTATTTAAAGCTCCACCCTCGCCTTTTCTGGGGGCCCTGAATATAGCCAGCCCTAAATATGGGACCTCTCCACGGGTAATCCTCACCTGCATGGTGGCACTGTGTGTCACCGGGTGTTTATCGCTTGTGTGATGTCCTGGTGGGGTACAATAAGAAAGAAAAAAGATAGACCATTATAAAGGGATTTTAGTCAATCTAACATGCAATTAGTAGCAGTAGTACATTTTACCCTACTGGGACATCACATAAGCGATAAACACCCGATGACACAAAGTGCCACCATGTGGATGAGGATCACCTGTGGAGAGGTCCCGGAAACCGCTTTCAGCAATTAGACCATATTTATAGCCGTGCTATATTGCGGCCCCTGACAAGAGCCAGGGTGGGGCTTCAAAATAACGAAAAATTTGCCACCGCAAGGGGATGACTAGATTACTAACATGTAATGGTAGACTAAGTGAAATTTAAAAGAGACGCCGACGTGAAACTAACTGACACAAAAAAAAAAAAACAGTCCTAGAATCCCCCATACATGAAACAAACAAACGCTTTAAATTGATCCTTTCTGAAATGATGAGATGAGTACGTGTAATGGATTAAAAACTGGCAACATATGAACAGAAATTAAAGACACATTTGAATGATGGACAAAATACTACTATCTGCAAAAAAAAAAAGTTAAAAAATGGCAAAAATACATATATATCCTATAAGAACATGCAGTTCGGTCAGAAGGGTGCGGTGATTTTGTACCTGTAATTACAGAACACTTCCTAGAATACCGAGAATCGAACAACAACAAAGGTCAATTTTGCTAGATCTTATCACGTTTTAGCTACTGTGCTAACGCTGACTCTGATCCAAACTTACATGTATATCAATAATTTGTCTGATGTTTTGGTGCCGGTTTGCAAATACTTGTAGTTATTTTTTCTCTCTCTCCGTATTTCAGCTTAAATTCTCAATGGTACCATACAGGGAAACTGGCACATATATTCTATCAGGTATAGAAGAAATTCAGCAACTGTTGGATGATCATATTGTCAAAGTGCAGACAATGAAAGGGTCTCCATTCATTCAACCATTCGAGGTTCAAATAGAGTGAGTTAAACATGTTAAGATTGTCAAGTCATTATTTTTCTTCCTGACAATGAGATGCTCCCGTTCGATGAGATACACATCCATTGTCTTCTACAAAAAAAGGGGCATTCTAAAGAAAATCATAATGTCTTGTTTACAAACTATTTGAGCAGAGTGTCACATTGGAAATTATAAGGACGAAGTTAAAGAACACATAAAGCAGTTATACACTTAGATATTTTTTAAAAAAAATGATGCACAATGCTTACTTTAGCTATTGAGAGAGTGTACTTAAAACGTGGAAACCTAAATGAACCGTGGGCAATTATACCTTGCCACAATCTGCGATCTCCTGCAGCATGTATTAGTTCGTGTGCTGGCACACCTCCATGCTATGCAACAAGACTGTCAAGAATCTTCTTTTGTTGTCTTTCTCTGTCTCTCCTTCCACAGATCTTTCCAGTGGTCACCACATATTCCATTTTCCCTATTCTCATAACATGGCCGAAAAATGATGACTGGCTCCTTCTTATATCTGTGATAATTTGTCTTCGGGCTCCTACCTCTTTCAAAACCTCCTAGTTGCTTTTTTTTTTTTTGGCTGTCAAATGTTCTGTAAAACCACATCTCTGAGGCCTCAAGAAATTATTTGACCTGCCTATAGATTGTCTAGGGCTCACAGCCATATGTTAAAACCGGATGTATGTAGCCAATCTTCCTTTGTGTTTGAATATAATTTCCCTTTCATATTAGCCACCAACCTTAAAATCACAGAGATGAGATAACTGAATCCTCCAACTTCATACTTGTGACCATAGCAACGATTGCTCCGCTTTTCTCAGTATTGACGAATTCGTGACTCTACCTAAAGAATCTCCCCCCCCCTTTCATCCAGCGCCGCCCCCCCCCCCCAATCTCTATCTTAGATTAACAGACACGTAAGTATACATGTTTTTGTCTATAAATTGCTGGACCAATACTCTACACCATTGATAGGTTCTGCTCCATATGATGGCAACACGGTAGATGTTGGTCTTGTGTCAGTCCATTCACTTGCTATCACGTGTGATTTGCTAACCAGTAAAATTTTAGAATCAGTGCAAAACATGTCGTCCCTGTTCTTGAGTTTCTGCGAAACCCCCCCCCCCCCACCCCCCCACCCCCCCCCCACCCCAATTTGTCGTTTTTTTTTTGTCAATAGTTAAACAGTTGTATTTATAAATGAAAGCTATTAGATCTATGTATTACATCTAACTTTACTCCACATAATCATGTTGTTCTTGTTGATTTCTCCACTACGTTTCACATATCTTTGCACTATCAGTTTTCGTTTTTGTTGTTGTTGTTGTGTGGTGCTGTGCTGTCAGTCACAGAACTTACAAAAGGTCAAGACGGCTGTGTTGTTCATAATGTTGTTGAATTTTGACATGAGAATCGACATCATAGCACTAAGGACACTACCATGAGCGCTCCGTCCCCATCTTCAGCGGTGGGCGTAGAGAACTCATTCCGATGGCCCCAGTAACTGTCTAATTGTTATCCTTCTCGCCTTTCCCTTGAGTGTCGAGCGTCAGCCAAATCCCTTTATAACTTCTCGCAGCGCCACTAACCTCAGATCGTAATGATCTATTTGTGCCTCTGCATTATTCATTGGCTCCCACGGGAGATATACCCTCAGTGCTGGTGTTGCTAAACCTCATTCAAGTCTCCTGCCTCATGTACCACGGATAGCGCCATATATCCACCTAAACAGAGCTGGCAGGGGATCTCGCAGCTGATTGCCGAGAGAGAATGAGGCACCTGGATGTAACCAGAGGGTCTGGCCGGCTCACTACACTCAGAGGAAAGGCAAGACGGATACATACCCAGATTGTGACCGGTACCATCAGTATTGGAACTCTGCGCTGGCTGCAGAAGATGAGGACGAAGCACGCATGGAATGCCCCGAGTGTTGTGATGTCAATTCTTGACTCATCTCAACTCAACTCGCAGCTGATGGCCTCCAAAGATGCAGTGACAAAAAAACCTCGAGAACTTATCAGCACCTCCACCGCCCCCCTTTTCCCACCACAAAGCACAGGGGCACCAACACAAAGAAAACAAGGGATGGGCGGTGCTTCAGACTCCTACCCCGCCTTAAAACTTGTATAGACAACTGGGAGGGCTCAAGTGACTTAATCCTAGTTTAATAGCATAATGTAATAATAAGCTGCTAAGTGGCAAATATTTATAATAGCATGTTTTCAAATAATATGAAATGTACAAATAAAAACTTTTAAAGAGCATTTTTAAAAAGATGGTCGCTCAGCCCCTTCTAATTTGGGGTGGGGGTGGGAGGGGGTGGGGGATGTTCGCTCCCCCTTTATAAAATGTTTTGAGGAGTTTATGGGGCCTGGGTCCCTAGGTTCCGGCGCCAGTGAAATTAAAAACAAAATCCTATCAAAAGCTCCTTTTTAAACATGAGTAAAGTCCATGTGCCGAGTCTCATACTAATCTGGTTCAGATGTCCGTCGATCGAATCCTACTAAACGACATAATTTAGCTGGATGACACAAACGTTCACACTGACCAGTCATCCTAGAGAGGGGACTCCCCTGGCACACACCCCCCCCCCCCACCTCTTTTCGAAGTCCGACAGGATCTGGCTGTGCACTCACATTCAAGTCGTGGAACATAGCCAAAGTCTAGAAATGTACCTACAGCCAAGACGTTCCTCTGGAGTTTACAGCCGGCAGGCGAACAAATTTGTTTAAAAAATAATTTAAATGGTTTGTTTTACGGTTTTCATATTCTTGTCTCCCCCCCCCCCCCCCATCCTTTTTTTTTGTCACCGTAACAAATAGGTTTACATTGTCTGACTTTAACATCTTCATACATGCGCCCATGAATACGTACTATTCAGCTATGATTGCAAATTCGAACAGCAGACAGGTTTCCCTCAACGTTCATGACCTATTTAAGGACACGTACTTTGCTTGCTAGCAGATGGCGGAACCTTGCTGCACTGACCAGCTCTGGCACTACATGAAATGTAGAGGGTGTGTTTGCTCCAGACACGCCTTGAACGGTCTATTTTTTATGATACTTTGTTTCGTTTTTAATATTCTATTTTCGATATATAAAAAAACTAACAATTAAAAAATATATTTAAAGCCATCAACATGTCATTAACTAAAAATAAAATCTTGAATTCCTAAAGTGGCTTTTCAAAATTGTAATTTTTTTTTCATGCACGAAGAGTGTCTGCCAGTTAAACGTCTGATTAAATTGTTTATTTGATTGAAAGGAAATTTGAACGCCAGCTGGTATCATTACAAGATATTATGGACTCGTGGCTAAAAGTACAAGCCACTTGGCTGTATCTGGAACCTATATTCAGGTAAGTTTATGGAAATTATGTCCCAGAGAGAGAGAGAGAGAGAGAGAGAGAGAGAGAGAGAGAGAGAGAGAGAGAGAGAGAGAGAGAGAGAGAGAGAGAGAGAGACGGATAGAGAGGAGGGAGAGAGTAGGGGAGAGAAAACAAATCTATAGCACTTCAGGCTCCCCATTGGCCTTATGGTCATTATCACGGTGACCAGCTTTACTTCAAATGAATTTTATAGTACCAGTTTTGCCTAGATCGACCTGGATACTAAGGGAACAATTGGTTGCAACCAGTCTTTCGCTTTCTTCATTATTTTATGGTTGTTCAAACAATGGACCCATAAACTATTCAAAGCTCAAATCTCTTAAAAATCTGGTTATCTGGAACAGTCTCTGGTGTTTACAATTTGCAACGCATAGGAGTTCACAGATCTGACAATCTGAGGCCACAGAACTATTATATTTATGTTACTAATCACATGTCGTGAGGTAGAATGCCAACTCCTACCACTAACATTAACTACGAGGTAAGTGTTATGCATATTTAACATATTTTTGTATCATGTGTCTGATACGTGTGCCCAGAAACATTTATATTATACCGCCACAAGTCATCTTTGGGCTCTCCTGTCAAATCCGGACAAAGAATAAAAAGCCGTGGACGACTTAGTCAGAGTTCTCTCCCTTGGCCGCACTGCAAACAGTGATCGGAAAAGCCAACGAAACAAACGACACACTTACCTATCATCATATGGTTGCGTGCAGGGTTGCGTACGGTTGCGTGAGGTATCGTGAATGGTTGTGTAGTCATCATGCGGTTGTTGGGTTAAAGTTAGGGGTAGGGGTAGGGTTAGGGGTAGGGTTAGGGTTAGATGTGAAAATTTTGACATAGGGTTTCGAAATACTGGCCGACAATCTGATGTTTGTGGGCGTGGCGCCACTGAAATTCTGCTAAATATGACGCCAATAGTGTGCGGCTGGTGCCCAATCGTTGGCGAATTGTGCATTTGACCAGCATCCAGAGGCCCTCTATTGTTTGTGTGTGTATGTGACTGTGTACGGCGTCGACGAAGTTGGTCTGGTGGACTGCTACCTCGTGCAGATAGTGGAGTTACGTCCGTGGCAACTAAGTCGTGCGTCGTAAGAGCGATGTTAGTTATGTGAGTGCGTCTAACTGCCATGTTGCTTGTGTCGTTTGTTTCGTTGGCTTTTCCGATCACTGTTTGCAGTGCGGCCAAGGGAGAGAACTCTGACTAAGTCGTCCAAGGCTTTTTATTCTTTGTCCTGATTTGACAGGAGTACCCATCTTTGAGAAGCTGAGGGAGAAAGAGAGAGAGAGAGAGAGAGAGATAAAGAAGAGGCTACCCCCTCCTTTTTTCACCCCATACCCGCTTTACAAATTTGTGCCTCCCCCTTTATAAAATTTTTAATAAATTCTCTAGTTAAAAGTTATGAAAACTTTTGGGAGGGGACTCAACCAAGATAAGAATACATGGTAACGAGAAAAGAAAAAGATAAAAACTCTGGCCACACACAAATAGATAATATAAATTTATTATGATGAATGTTGAAATGAGACTTAACATCATAGCACTCAGGACACTCCCATAAGCTTACATCATAGCATTCTGGACACTCTCATAAGCTTACATCATAGCACATTGGACACTCCCATAAGCTTACATCATAGCACTCTGGACACTCCCATAAGCTTACATCATAGCACTCTGGACACTCCCATAAGCTTCCGTTTCCATCTTCAGAAGCAAGCGAGGAGTTCTAATTCCAATGGTACCAGTAACTAATTGTACATTCGTCTCGCCTTTCCCTTAGGTTTTGAGTGTCTGCTAGATCCCATGGTAACTCACAAGTGCGCCATTCTCTTCAAACTGTAATGATCTGTTTGTGACAGCGCACTGTTCATTCGCCCCCTGAGGGCCTTTACAACATCTAGCTTCTCATTCACCAGTTCACCACGAGTTGGTGCAGAACCGGCCAGTCTATCTGTCTGCTCATTTCCCAACACACACCAGTGTAACCTGATAAACATATCTATGCTAAATACCCGGGACATCTGAAGCATTATTTGTCACTCTGCACGGATCATGTCTGTCGCCACCTTTCTCAACATACTCTCTGAATCAGTAAAAATTATTACTTGTATACAGCTGATTCTCACTCCAATGAAAGACAGCAGTGACTGCCTCCACCTCCATTCTCAAACTAGATTTTGTAATATCATATGCCAGTTTTGTTGTACTAAGTGACATCCATTCATTTTTGCTACGAACACCCATTCACTTTGTCTGCCTCTCAACACATAGCCATCTGTATTTACATCACATGAGTGGGAATTGTCCTGAATCATTTGTTGACCTTCAGATTTCTGCAGCACCAGCTGGCCAGTCCCTGCACTCATTTTCATAATCTATCACCGACAGGATCACATGCTGGAACACTGTAGACAGCATTCTTTGTTCCATGTCCATTGCTGCCATTATCTTGAGAGCACCAAATCTTTTTTTTTCCCCATTCTACCGCAGTTGCCTCCACACGATTCCTGAAGGACAGGCTTCTATAGAAAATGATACTTAGGTACCTCAGTTTGCTTTCTCATTTGATGTTTCTGTCATTAATTGTGAGGCTTGAAACATTAGTTCTTACAATTCTATTGTCCAGAGAGCACCATAAAACTGCTGTATTTTCTGCGTTGATGACAGCACTCATCTCTAAGAACCAGTCAGTCACTTTGTCTAAAGTTGCCTGTAGCTCTTGGGCTGTCTGTTACCCATCACTTCCCTGCCTGTATGTAGGAACGTCATCTGCAAATATCAGTATCATTCTAAACCCTGGTGCTTTTAATTCTGCAGTCTTGCTTGTATACACATTTAAGAGCACTGATGAAACTGCAGAACCCTAGGGTAGTCCAGTTATTAATTTATTAAAATCAAAAGAATGTAAATATACAAGTACATGGATACAAACTTAAACTTCTGCAACATACTGAGAGAAGAAATACGGTCTAGAACATAATCTGGAAATAAGGCACACTATGCCCTATACTTACTTTACTTACTTTTTCCTTCCACGTATGCCGCTAAGCGTTGTGGGGAGATGCAAGTTCCTGTCATAAGCAAGGCGGGCAGCATCTGATGTTCTGAGGCCATGCTTTTGGCAGGTTTCGGAGACCCCGTCAATCCACCGTTTCCTTGGTTTTCCTCTTGCCTTATATCCTGAGCTTCTTTGGTTGAAAATTTGTGATGTTTTTTGATCATTTTTCATCCTGGTTAGATGTCCAAACCATTTCATTCTTTGATGTTCTATGTAGTCTAAACATGGCGTAGTTTTGACAGTGTTTCTAATGTCTATATTCTTTATCCTGTCTAGTCTGGTCTTATTCGCTGCTTTTCTTAGACATTTCATTTCACAGGCTTCTATTTTTCTTTCATGGGTCTTGTTGATTGTCCATGTTTGGCACTGGTAGCAGAGTGTTGGAATGAAGATGGTGTTTATCAATTGTCTTTTGGTCTTCATGGTTATATCTGGATGTTTAAGCAGAGGTGATAGTTGGTATGTGACAGCATTTGCTTTCTGTATTCTTGTTTCTATCTCTCTGTCCATTCTTCCATCCTCTGTAAATATACTGCCCAAGTATTTGAACTCTTTGGTTTGCTTGATTTTTAGCACTTCCAACATTTATATTCAGTGGCCTGTGTGTTCTGCTGATCTTCATAACTTCTGTTTTTTCTGTACTGATTCTCATATTATGTTGTAAACAGCTGTTGTTGAGAGTAGTCAGATGTTCCTGTAGATCATATTCATTTTGATACAGTATGCTTTGATCATCAGCAAAAAGTAATTCGTTTATAGCATACACGTCTGGGTTTGCTTCTACAGTGATCTTATCCATGTATGTTATGAAAAGTAATGGTGACAGTACACATCCTTGTCTGACACCAGTTGTGACTTTGAACCATTCAGAAAGACCACTAGATGTTCTTACTGCACTTTCACTTTTTTTATAGAGGGCTCTGATGTTGTCTAATAATTGACCCTGCACTCCGTAATCGTCAAGAATTCTCCACAGCACATCTCTGTCTACACGGTCGAATGCCTTCTCTTGATCTACAAAGACCACGTTCAGCTCTTTATCGTATTCGAGTGTCTTTTCACAGACTTGTCTTAGTGCAAATATGGCATCAGTTATGCCCTATAACACCTGCTAAACTGAAATGCCGCGTCTTGTATAACCAAGATCACTGAATATAAAACAGATAAGACCAAACATTCTACATGGCTCTGAAACCTGAAGTACAGTATAAAAAAAAAGAAGCAAACATTGGTGGACAGATAGTGAGAAGCAGCAATGAAATTCATAATCTCTTTGAATCATTCATCACTAATTACTGGGGTCTGTGGCTTAGGCGTTGAGAACACCTTTTGTAATTCTGAGGTGCCTTGTTTGATCCCAGCTGCAGATGATTTGGCAGAAGACTGCCTGCTGTTGGTTTTGACTCGGATATCGAGAACTGATTGTTCAGAGGGCAGTGGCAAACTTCTATATGTAACATTGCCTATTGAAATCACAAACAGCCAAACAAGGTTGGAGTTGGACCCAGCCTCTAGTTTAAAAAAGATGTTTACTTTTACTTTTATGAGGGCTAATAGATTGCAATGGTTGGGGCATGTAGAGAGAGGCATGTAGGTAGGGTGAAAACACCTGGAGTCAACAAACGAAAAGAGATGGCCAGTCACAGAGAGGAGAGGAGGTGGCAAATATCTGCAGTAATGAACCTCAAGGGCTCATGAAAAGGACACATTTTGGTTCCATAATATCTTTTCCTATAAAGTAATAATATAATGGATTTCATTATATGCCCTATCCAAAACCATTTGTTTTCTATGCTTCTGTATTCATTAGAATTAGTTCTCTTCCCAATGTTCAAATCAATGTTTCCAGTGTACCAAACACTGATACTGAACAGTTATAGTAATACAGAGAATAGACTGCAAGGGAAAAAAGATACAAGGTGACAACAAAGAAGTTACCCATGTTGGTTCTGGGGCCCTATTATAGGGAGAACAATAATAGACCCACTGCCTACCCAAAAGCATGTCGTAAGAGTTGACTAATTGGCATCTTCCTTCGAAGTCAGAGTGCATCTGCCTGAGAGGCGGAACCAGCAGTGTGAATACAGATGAGTCAGATCTGTAAAACGGATGCACACACAACACTCAGGTTCTGGAACAGGACTGCAGTCCAGAAGTGGAGAAACAACCAAAACTTTCTGCCGGAGTTTACAGCTGGTAAATGTGAAGAAGAATAAGAAGACAATAAAGAAGTCATCATTGTGAAGAAGTTACAAGACAACATTATCAAAAGCCAATTTAAAAAAGACATCAAAAAGCTCTTTAGTAATCATCCTTCTGAGCATTAAGATGTACAGAATGAATAGGTAAACTTCAAATCTGCCACACTCAGTACTCTTGAAAACAAATGCGGAACAAAAAAAGTAGGACAAGACAATGATTAAGAACTGCATGTTGAAAAACGATGTCAAAGATATCATTTTTAAGAAGAAGGAAGCATGCTAAAAAAAATTGATTAAATCCAAATGTAAACAAGATTATGTTACATATAGATTTAAAAGAAGAGATGCAAAATGAATGATCAAAGCTTCAAGAGAAGAATCATGGAAAAAGTATGTAAAGCAGATGGCCACACTTAGTAGTAATTCACCAGAGAATTTTATAAACAGGTAAAAATATAAGCACAAAATGCGAATGCTACAATTCAACCACCATCATAAACAAGAAGAGAGGCACTTCTGTACTTAATCTACACCAGAGGCTAGCAAGAAGGTCACAATATTTTTAAGATCTACTCAACTATGAGGACGTAGATAACGTCAACAATTTTTTGCCTAACAGCAGTGACCAATATGAACCAAACTTTTTAATGGCAAAAGTAAAAGCTATTTTACAACGCACATGTTTTAGTTGGAATAACTACAGAAACCATTCAAGCATGTGGTAAAACTGGGGTCAGATAGCTAACAAGAACTTTCAGTACAGCATGAAAAGAAAGTTCCACTTGACTTGCAGCAGGCATTGATAATACCAATTTGGAAAAAGAAAGGTAATAAAAGAGACTGTTCATCATACAGAGGTGTATATCACTCTTGAGCCACATAGGAAAAATGTATGAAAAGTTATCAGAACAGAGAGTAAGGCCTATAGCTGAACAGCACTTAAGTACATCACAGTTTGGTTTCAGGAAAGGAAACAGATACACTATTTACACTAAGACAGGTTTGTGAGAATGTCATTGAATATATCAATGAACTAAATTTTGTGTTTGTAGATCAATAAAAAGCTATTGATAGAGTAGGCCTAAAAACACTATAGGCTATTCTTGAGGATAGTGGGATACTAGGACATTTGCTAGATAACATCGTGGCCATGCACCTCACTCCCCAATGTGCAGTGCTAACACAAGAAGGCATTTCTGATTTGTTTACAATAAATACAAGGGTGAGGCAGGGAGATGTACTTCTGTATCTGTATATTTACATATGTTTTTGAAATATACCCTTGACAGTCTGAAAATAAGTTATTATCATTTCTCCTAAATTAAAGACACTTGATATTGGCATCAATGGACTATATATAATTGGGTGGTAAATATATAAGACCCTGGCCCTATATCTAGATATTAATTAGTTTGTAAGAGTGAAAGATGGAAGATTTCTTGCATAATTTTAGGAACTTGCTATATGAATTCTTGTAAAAATTGTATAGTGTATATTAATAAAGCTATTTAGCTTTTACCATCTGGGACTTGTGGAGATATTTCAAACTTTCAGTCTAATTAATTTCTCACTTGTACAAATTGGTATTTTTACTCTTTGAGAATGTAGTATTTATTCACTTTTATTTTGTTCTTAGCTCACCTGATATTATGATGCAGATGCCAGAAGAAGGTCGCAGGTTTAAAAATGTCGACAAGATGTGGAGGGATGTGATGAACGTTGCTGTTGAGGATCCTTCTGTTATGCAGGTTATTGAGATTGAAAATCTGCTCGCCAAAATGCAAAAGAGCAATGGGCTTTTAGACTTAATTTTGAAGGTTTGTAGTTTTATTTGCTTCTGGAATGAATGTTGGTATTTTATTAAAAAAATTTTTGTTCTAACGCTTGGATTTACCTGCTTTCTCATCTATTCTATTCAAACATTCAGTGCCTTACTTTATACTCTGATAAATTTGATTTGAAACATAAGACACACTTTAAACTGTTGTTGATCTGTATTTCCATTAGTCTGCAGATACAGCCTGTCATATTGATTGGTTGTTTTGGGATTGCTTTGTTTGAGGATTAGATTAAGGATAGCATTTATCCATATCTGAGGGACTATGCTAAATTTTAAACCGGAGTTGAAAATGTGGAGGAGTTTCTTCAATGCATTTTCTTGTTAGGTGAGGAGTCATCGTTGTCAATCCTGTCCCCATGTGAGACATATTTTTCATTATTTTAAAGCCCCACTCTGATGGTTGCTTGTTGCCTCAATATAACCTGATGGTTGATTGGGGTTTTTGGGACCTCTTCATGGGTGATCCTCGTCTGAATGGTGGCTTGGTGTTTATCGCTCCGTGTAATGTCCTGGTGGTGTAGAAAGTCAGTCAGTCATTGCAGATTTATGTCATTTGTTATCATATCTGGTCATGGGGTCTGCTTCAGTTTTTGAGCTTTCTTGGCAGTCCTTTGAGTTATTTTAAAAATTAGGTGTACCAGAAGTAGAAGATCTATCGATAGGTTTTTTTAGTTGTTGACCTGCATGAATTATTTCAAGCAGATATTATCCTCTATCATCAAGATTTTCCTCTGCACTGCTGACACAGCATTCTATGTTCAAAGAACACTCTTGGAATGCCCAGACAAGACTGCAGTCAGCTCTTGAAAGAGTGGAATACTGATCAGCAAACTGGGCTCTTAAAATCAACCCTACAAAAACAGTCTGCACAGATTTAACCTATTGACTAAGCAGCACTCAATGTTACTGAGAATAGGAGGACATGCATTGCAGCAACAAAATATAAAAAATCCATATGCAAAAACTAGAATAGAAGAGCATTGTCCAGATTTTTTGTTCTCTGAGGTATGCTGGTGTGTTGGAAAATTAACAGGCAGACAGATTGGCTGGCTCTGCACAACTTAGCAGCATACTGTTGCATGCTTAGAAAGACGTGATTAAGGCCTTATGGGAGCACCTGTACAATTTGGAACAGCAGACTGATAATTATAGTCTGGTGAGAGTGATGCAGCGAGGTTGATGCTCAGAGCAAAGGCTAGACAAACATATATTCAAACTGCTACTGGCACTATTGGTATTGGAACTGTGTTGGCTGCTTAAGATGGGGACGGGGTGAATATGGGAATGCCCCAAGTGCTGTGATTTTGGTTCTTGAATCAGCTCAGCTCAACCCAACTCAAGAAAATAAACCCACTTATCTAGGTGTTGCCTTTCCTTTGATCTAATAGTGACACGAACGTTGCAAGTCAAACCGCCCCCCCCCCCCTTTCCCTTTCCCACATCCTTTCCCCAATTAATTATGAAAGATTTCACTAATTGAATTAACAAATTACCCCCCCCCCCCCCACCCCCCAAAATTTTTAAAAAAAATTATTGCAGTATCAGATTATGGGAGCCTCGCCTGAAATACTGAAGAAATTCTACACTGGATATGCTTGCCCAGTGTTAGGATATATCAGCATGAAAAAAGCATGTAAGCTACTTAAACTCTACCAGACCGATGTCCCGCTATTATGAAAATTTCCTAATCTGCCGCTAAACTGGTGTTCCTCAAAGTCGATACTTTGCATACTAGGTGAAAACAATGTGTCACAAACTAAAAAATAACTAGCCAATCGTGGTCAGACCTCATGTTAGTCATTGGGAATTGCTGCCAACGTGTGTCTGGATTTTATTTGTGTGGTTTGGCGTGTAAAAAATACTGAAAATTTACAATAAAACGAGCAGCTGATGAACCAGGCACTTCGACAGGAAAGTAAAATAGGTCTAGGCTTTTCACAGTCCAACAGGTGTTCGATGCTTTGGTTGATTTAGACTCTGAGGAGTCAAAATTTCGTGAAGAATACATTCCTAGTTGAAGTGAAACAGTCAGTGTGAGCTCGAATGATGAGAATCTTGGAAATTATAGATTTAAAACTAGATCGATAGGAAGAGAAGGGGGTGTGTCCCTCAGACAGCAATATCTGATGCTCACTTTGTGAAACAAGGCCAATCTTTCTTGGTGGAATTGCACACAAAGGTGGAATATTGGCGCTAAATGAAAGGCAAACCTATTTTCTACAATGTCTCCAAGTTTCAATTTATTCTAACCACTTGTTTTTATGTAGTCGGCTCTGTGGCTAAGTCAATGCGAACGCTTCGTAATGCCAGGATGCCGGGTTCGATCCCAGGTGCGGGCCATGCGCCTTGCTTTGGTTTCGACAGTGGTATCTAGAAATCCAACCGTCCAGAAAACAATGGCAAACTACTGGATGTAAATTTGCCTAGAAAAACCACACAACAGCCAGGGGCTGTTGGGGTTGGTTTTGCAATGTCCTGTAAAGGATACGCAACTAAAATGTTTGTATGAAACTAATATTTTAGTATATCATGTTAGTGTCACGTGCGGAAATGCACTAAAACGCACTGAAGTACTGAATGAGCAAATCAGACGTCAAAACAATATGTAATGTTGTTAAGGAATTGTAATCTAAGCATTTGGTGTATACAGTCTGAAGGAGACAGACATGTGGTCGTGTCTCAGTGGATCCTTGAGGAAGCTCTACCCCAGGACTCCACTAGAAACCTCAGCTGAAAGCTGGTACATTGTTTATTGCGCTCGGCAAGAAGCCGGTATGCTTGGAGGAAGGATTCTCCAGGCCGAATCATTAAAGAGGGACATTGCCCTGTTCAGACTGCAGAAGAGGAGATCTATGTGACAGTCCGGACTTTCAAGGTCCGGCTGTTGACCTGTCGTTTGAATTGAATATGACATTCAAAGTAATTAGGGGTGTGCGTGTGGTAGCTTGTGTTGGCGTGTTTGGGTGAGTCTTCACCAAGGGTCCTATTATTTACACATTTTCTCATTGATCAAGCGTGTCAACAAAATACGCCAATAACATATCCTCTAGTCTTCATCGTTAACTACCGTTTGGAAGCATTGAAGTTCATACTGTTCTGCCACACTTGGCTGGTGGCATTGTATTCTAAGTTAAGATGTATTCGTTTGTACCTGATTACACATTTCAATATGAACCTACGCCTCTCAGCACCCGAACGCACATCACAGTTGGTTTTTTTGTGTTGATGCCCAGGAGCTGAGGTATAGGGGTCAGTTAGGTTCAGGGCCTCAGGTCTGGTAGGGTTAAGAAAACTGCAAAGGAAAAAACATTTTAACCTCTGAGCAGTAACCAGTGGCTTCTGCTCAACGCAGATTACAGTGATGGAAAGAAGGACAGGCTTGCAGTCTGTGGAAGACAGGAACAATTCAAAGATGTTCACTCAAGACACCCCATGCATAAGGATCTTTTTAAACACCATACCTTTGATTTAAAAAGAACTAACTTCATCCTGGTAGCAAAAGAATTACACATGAAATATTACTTAAACTTCCTACTCTGAAAAATATAATTGTCCACTTATCATGAATGCATCATGGAACTTAAGGCACCTCCTACAAATCAGAGACACCATAGATAGCATCCTGGCCAAAGTAGAGCAGATTTCCTTAGAAATTCAGATGATCACCAGTCATATGTTAAACCAAATTTATCCAGCTTCTTAGAATGTAAGTTGAAAATAAATTTGTAGATGTAAGAAATCTGTGAGCTTGTGTGCCACTGCAAACTGCCAGTGGGTTTCAGATGAGAAAGCCACGGGCCTCTGTAAAGGCTGTGGTGTGACACATGTCCTCCACTTATCCATGTAACTTGGTTTCCACTGGAATGCTAACTGGAGTACAACTCACATTTGTCACCCCATCTCATTCGGCTGGGTGATTTCGTAGCGGTTCCCAGGGGCTGTCCTGTGTTCTAGGGGTGGTAAGTTTTGCTTGTTTTAAATATTTTAAGTACACCCACCACTAAAGACAGCCCCTGCTAACTAGTGTAAAAATAAAACAACAACAAAACTCAATGAATCAATACTCATGAATCGTCTTGCCCTGCATTACTACTTTCTTGTTCACAGTTGCCTTTTAAGAAGCTCTGTGAAAGCACTTTCTACACTGACAGAGGCATTTCTGTCTAGATGATGTACTGAACCTAGCAGAATTAAATCCTGACCCATCTTCTTAACCACTTGGCAGATTTTCAGAAATTTGCATTGCCACTTTAGCAACCTCCACTTTGATAAGATTATCTGTAAATTGTCTTTCTTTTGTCAATATCTTCTGATCTGTGTTGCTAAGCATTTGCAGTTTAATGGATGATAGGTAGCCAAGCCAGGGCATCCTCAGTGGCCTTTTATGCTCTGATGTTGTGAGGTCTTAAGCTGTCAATAACTCCTTCAACCCATCTTCTTCTAAGTCTTCACTAATGCGGTCGCAGTGTCTGATTTTCTGTTCATATTGCATAACGTCATAATGGACAAATGACAAATGGGTATACTGGTCCTGCTGAAGTGTTACAAAATAAAGAGATGAGATTTGTTGGCTGCAAGACACCCAGGGGATAAGCCATGATGGGAAGTGAGATATTTTAAAGCTGTGTAAATGACTATTTGTTGAAGACTGTTGTAAGCAAAATGTACTGTGGTGTGTAAAGAGTAAATGAAGCCAGGGCTGGGTGAAGCGTGGGTAACAAACGGGCATTCATGTCCGTGTTGACAGGTTAGAAAGGTAAACATTTGGGGCCATAAAAGATAGTGAATCGTGAGCCACATGGTAGCTTTCAGTCAATCTTACTGTGTGGACATATTGTTCGAGTCCAGTGGTTGCATTGACTGTGTTTTAGCTGTTTATTCTGTCATTGGATGTCAGAATTATGGCAGTGTGTTGTCTAGAATGGACTTGTGTCAGCCGTGTGTATGGGGTTGACATGATTGTTGCTTTGGCACGTTGGTTGACGGGTAACCTTAAGGGCACGGGAGGTGCTGGGGAACTTTGTGTGTGTTGGCCAATGTGGATATGTGATGGAAAGGCATCAGAGGCGGATTGGCGGGATGTTAGTCAGTAGTGCTTCAGTTAGTGGTTGGGGTAAAAGATGGGAGGCCTGGAGTCTTTTCATCAAGTGGTGCATTTACCTTGAGTTCTTAGGTGGTAGGGTCTTTTAGAGGAAGAACTGTCAGAGGATTGTCATTGCACATCACATAGGTGTGTCATCTCTGCGCGGTTGGGTGTGGGTCACCCTTAGCAGGCACCTGGTACATAGTTCAAGGGGGTATTTCATCCTTGTCTGGAGTGACTGCCAGTGTAAGGTAGTAGGAGACTTGACAGAGTGCCATCAATCACCACTCATTGTAATATTTTTGTCCACAATAAAGAAACTGATCACACTGTAAGACCATACTTGACGTGGTGTGTTGTATTACAGTATTAGTAGACAATGTTAGTGGTTACGAGAGGACATGTTTCAAGTTTGCCTGGTTATGGTGATGCTTTTGTTGGGTTGGCTGTCCTTTACTCCAGTTATAATCACTATCAGTATGAGCCGGGCCAAGGAAAGTGGACAGCATGGTTACTAGATGGAGGCAATCCAGTGTGTAGGTGTGGAAGACAAACATTTTATAATACAGATTCCCCTAGACACTTGGCTAGCATGCAGTTCATACCCCAACCGCACACGCTAAAGAGACAATAACATGAAACAGTAGCATACTTAACTTTGAGGACAGAACACCATTTAAATGGGGTTTGAATCCATCACCTGTAGACAAAACACCATTTAAATGGCTTTTTATAGAGACACTAAAATTGTTTCATTTGCTGGGAAAACGGATTTGTACAACCATGTTTAAAAAAAACTAGACATAAGTGAAATGAAGTCTTTTCATTTCTGAAGTCTGGCGTGGTCACTGGAATAGTTTCTGATTTGTTTTAAATTATTTAGATGTGATACAAATTTTATGTGATTTTTTTCTATACCAGCTGATAACGGAAAAGGTCTAGAACTGTTTATTCTACTCTGTCGTTGATGCCAGATAGTGACAATAAACTTGATATTATGTCTGATAATGGCATGTGCCAAACTGATTGCCATTACAATTAGGTTAGGATGAAGACTGAAAAAATTTTTTTTTTATCTGATCATCTGAATTGATCAGCTGTTTTCCCATTTTCAGTTGTTTTAAAATGTGTATCTGATGTAAAATTAGTTTAAATCATTTACGTTGCTAGGTGTTACCTTTTTCATTTTTTTATGCAGATAAATTCAATCATGATCAATTGATATTCCATTATGTTTAAAATTCTATTTTCTCAAGACTGCTTAAAAAGTTCCTAATAATGTTACTTGTTTGCTTTCAGGGTCTCAATGAATATTTGGAAAAAAAGAGACTTTACTTTCCACGATTTTTTTTCTTATCAAATGATGAGCTTCTGGAAATTCTCTCAGAAACAAAAGATCCAACTAGGTAATTTGATATTTTTAAAGCTAACATAGAGATAATATCCTGCTACATCTGGCCTTTGAACTGAAAGGACTGTGTTTGTAAACATCTACTTTACATTAATCAAATTATCTTAGATATAGTTTTCTAATATAATAATATACAATATATTGTAATAATGTACAATATTTACACAAAACAACAACAATGAACTCTTTGAGTCCCAAAAAACACATCATGCAATAATTGGTTACAGCCTGGCAAGAAGTAAAAGTTTTTAATTTACTACTGACCAGTATTAAAACACAGACCATTCAATTTCACCTTCCTATCCAGTTTTTATGTGTTTGATATCATACATGCTGCTCATCACACTCATTTGGAAACCTGGTGAAAAGCCTAAATATAGTATATTTGCAAGGTTTACAGAGTTACTAAGTGTTTGTTTGAAAACAATATGGTCGCAGAGCAGTATTCTACATGCATGCTAACACAATTTATGTCTCTAGAAGCCTTAAATTTAAGTAAAGCACATGTTTATTAGAACTATCTGAAGCTAGATAGATAACTTTATGAAGTATACTTGTTTCAATCGTTTATAGAGTCAAACTTTGATGAGGGATAGCTCTAATGTGTACCCCACGCGAAGGGTTCAGCTATAGCAAAGTCAGCTGGCACAAATAGAATAAGTATTAGTGAAAAGGCGGTTTTCTTGAGTGTCAGTTAGTTTAGTGCTATTCCCCTTATGCTTGGAATGTTTTGTGTGAAGATAATAATTGTGTTTTGAAGTCATTTCTCTTCACCAAAAAATGGTGCTGAGTTATGATGCTTCAAAAGATTCCTGAAACAAGATTTAATGTACAGATTGAGTTTATATTTTACTTTTACATTACTTAGTGGTTCTTGTTCATTTGTGATTCATTTTGTATATATTTCAATGAGTTTTTCTTGAGCACCATGGTAGTAAAGGGACACATGATTGTTTCATTTTACTAATTTCTGTAAACATACCTATGATGTCTGTTTATTTACTAAAATTTAACTACTAATGCGATTTCTTTGTTGTAGTAGTATTCCCCAACAATCCCTGGTCACTTTGATGTATGATATATGTATTTTGTGCAGCAGCTGAATTCATATAGTATGTTTTAATGTGTTACACTTTTGAAACTAAAAATTTGCATTACCACCCCTTGGGCCTCTGATGTTAAACCAAAACCCCTGGGACTCAAAGAGTTGATAAAAATGTTTCTTAATAAACATGAAAGAAAATGCAGTGGAAATATAAATATAGTGATTTGGTGAAGGGTGCTGAGAAGGTCAGACTGTGGATAAACACATATGGTGATCTTTAAAAAAAAAAAATGTCAGTTTTTGCAGATTAAAATTAGCTACTCTGTATGGCACATACTGCCAAAACAGGAAGACTTAAATACGGTGCTTGCTTAAACTACTCTCTCTCTGTCTCTCTCTCTCTCTCTCTCTCTCTCTCTCTCTCTCTATATATATATATATATATATATATATATATATATATATATATATATATATATATATATATATATATATATATATATATATATATATATATATATATATATATATATATATATATACATATATATACACACACACACACACAAAATAAAAACAATGTATTGATCGTGAATCATCGAAAGAAATAGAAAAACAAAAGAACACACTAGACAACATAAAAATCAAAGCTATAGTTACTGTGCCGGGAATCGAACATGTCACCTCGAATTGGCATGTGCGCCATGCTATGGAAACAAGTGTACTAAGAACATGACCAGCTACACCCCTCAAAAAGTTGTCTTTATTAGGCATGTCTGTCACACAGCTTAAAATCCACAGTGATTAAATATGGACAGAATTCATTTCAAAATATTGAAATGGTACCATAGGTTACAGAAATTTATATTAACCAAGCATAGGTCGAATAGCAAACACAGCAACAACAATTACAAACATATCGGACTGTAACGCTGTGTCTAGAAAACAACAGACATTTCAGAAAGATATTTGATTGGTTAGTTCCATTGTGTTACACATAGTTCATATAAAGAGGGGGAATCCTTTTTGCCTTTGTTAGTGTTTCCCCTAATGAACCAGTTAGCACTCTAAAGTAGTTTTTAATTGTTGAGATGTTGGCTCGCAATGGTCTGGGCGGAATGCAGCATCTCTAGTGAACATCCAACCTACTTCAGGGGTGAGGCGACTCAAATTATGGCAAAACAGAATACATAAACATTCCTAGGCGCAACTTAGCCTGACTTCCTTACTACTGTTAGGCCCCCAGACTAGATAGTAATTCTATGCTAGTCAAAATAACACAGTTTAACATGTAGTCAATCACTACCACAAACACTCCAGACAACTAGGAACTGTGAAAGATGGACACTAAAAACAGAAGGTAACAATCACAAAACATCATATAATCAGTGCAACACTTGTAGGAATAAAACCAACAGAATTCAACAAGATCAATCACCGCTGATAAAGGCTATACAAATTGAAAGCTATAGTTACCATACCCGGAATAGAACCTATATATTGAATGGCTATTTGGGAGGGGGAAAAAAGACACATCTCTTTGTTAAAAGATGAACTGGAGGAAGGATGTAATGAACTGGAGGAAGGATGTAAAGGAAGTTTAGAAAGGGAATATATTGTATAGGTGAAAAACGTCAAGGAATAGGATGGATGAATCCTTTTTTCCCATTTAAGTGCCTGGTTTGTGATTCTCTGTTGCCAATGCCTCAGAGTATGCCTATATTATTTGTATTGAAATTGTCTTTGTCTTCTAGCTGTTGATACCAGCAGTTGTCTAGACATTTCTGATTTCTTTGCTTTAACATTGGAACAACTTGGCACAAGTCATGACATTTGATTAAGCCATCTGCAGCACTTAAAACTTTCATTTCACATGCCTAAAGTGAAATATTAACCAAAACAATGTAGCATGCTTTTCTTTTTCATGTTTTTTTTTTCACAGAGTACAACCACATTTGAAAAAATGCTTTGAGGGCATAGCAAAGCTGACTTTCACAGAGCCTGACAGGGACATCACTCACATAAAGTCCAGTGAAGGTGAAGAAGTCAAACTAAAGGAGAAAATTTCTACTGCTCGAGCGAAAGGTCAAGTAGAAAAATGGCTACTGGAGTTGGAAACAGACATGATTATGTCTGTTCGTGCAGTAAGTTATTTGATTCACTTCCACATTACTTTCCCAGCAATGGACAAATTAATTATGTGGCAAAATTGTATTTAATCAGAGACAACTGCATATTATCCTAAATAACTGTATTATATTTTGTTAATGAAAGTGGTCACTATAAAATTTTCTGGAAGGATCTGTAAAGTGTTTAGGTGTGACTATGTGACTTAAAGGTTTGTAAAATCATTTCACCAGTCCAGTCCTCAATGGTGGGCAGTTTAGAAAAGGTCTGTTTTCATGGCTTTCAGAAGGTTGTGCATGAGTCACACTGGGAGAGATCGGGGGCCGTATCGCCTCCATTAAGGATACATCATTAAAAAAGATTTGTTTAAAACACTTAGATTTCGTTCTGTGCTGAAATATTTATAAGTATTCTGCAGTAGAATTTTCAGGATGTAACTTTACTAAAATCTTTCGGCATCATTGCAGAAAATTATATCTAGCTCTTGACTCTAGGGAATGTTAAGAGAGCACATGTCAAGTTTTATAAGGAAATAGATTTCAAGATAGGACTAATACACCTAAATACTCTTTTCAATATTTGAGGATTAAAGATTAAATATTCCCGTATACATATTTCTGTCTTTCTCTACCTGGCTTGTCTTCTATTTTCTAGAAAATTTTGGTTTCTCACTTCCCCCTTTTCAATTAATGTGCTGCACAATTTAATTTCCTTAAATTTTGTTGAATTATCTGTTAACGTCTGTAGAATTCAGTATCTCAGTGTTTTTTTCTTTTCTTCTGTGTCCACAGTATTCTAACTGTTCTTATAAAAACCATATCTCAGTTGCCTCCAGTTTATTGAGCATTGCATTGCTCATTCACCGATATTTGTTTATACACAGACGAACAGTCCATATGCAATATTTTAACAAGCATAATCTCGTACTTGTCATTACATTTCTGATTTGCATAATGCAGTTCCCTCTTGTAAATGGTTCTTTGGAGACCATATCCAGAGGACCATTTAGATTCTTTTCATCTGTAGTCACATTTACAGTTTATGTCTACTTGTAAAATATGTATTCGGCTATCCTCCGAAAAACGGTCCCAAATTATTGAGGCAGAAAATATACCCTAACAAGGCCTCAGTCACATGTAAATTGCGGACTTCCGGCGACTTAAATTGCGGCCTTCCGGCGACTACTGCCACCGCCAAGAGTATCTTCCGCTACGCACAGCGTCGAGCAGGGCTAAACTAGATAGCTGGGACTCGCGAGCAGCAGCTACCGCATCTCCTGCAGCTTTCTTCATTTTATTTGCTCGTGAGTCCCATCCATCTAGTTTAGCCCCGCTCCAAGCCGCACGTAGCGGCATGGGAGATAGATACTCTTGGCGGTTGAGGTAGTCGCCTGAAGGCCACAATTTACATGTGACTGAGGCCCTGTTATGGTATATTTTCGGCCTCGAAAATTTGGCACCGTTATTTGGAGGATAGCCATGTAATCTATATGAACAAACTATTTCTGACTTTTGCTATGTATCAAATAGGTATCAGATGGGTTGACAGAATTTTAGAAGACCTTGACTTTGCTGACGACATAATGCTTTGGAATTCAACACACCTAGAAATCCAAGAGAAAACAAACTACCTACAGAATGTTTCAGGACAGATTGGTCTCCAAATTACCACTGCAGAAAAAAAATTATTGATCTAACCAATAGTCTAAACAATCACATTCTTAAAAAAGTCAACAGCTTTACATACCTGGGGAATAAGACAACATCTATAGGGGATTCAGCACCAAAAATATCTAGAATTGCACTGGCATCTAGTGCCTTTAACAAACTGTCAAACATTTGGAAGTCAGAGACATTCAGCAAACACGCAAAACTTAAGATCTTCAACTCTTGTGTGATTCTAATACTAACTTATGGATGCGAGAGTTGGAAAGCAACAGCAGCTCTGGATTTAAAAAAAAAAAAGAGAATTTTGAGAACAGATGTCTTAGAAGAATACTAAATCTGCACTGAACAGGTTTCAGATCTAATACACAAATAAGACAAGAGACCAAGCAGGAAATGTATCCAGTTTTATAAGAAAGGGCTGCTGTAACTATATTGACCATGCACTCAGAATGGATGAGACAAGACTTCCCCATGAAGCCCCTATGTGGACACTAGAAGAGACAATAAAACAGGAAAGACCAAGAGAAACCCTGTGTTGAACCATCATCAGAGAAGGCTAAACTATGGGCCTAAAAAACATCCAGGACCTTAACTCTTTCAAGCCCATTAATTTTGAGAAGACTTGGCCTACATTAATTTCCCTTTACAAAAATGGCAGAGAGGTGGGTGTAAAAAAAAAGCTATAGAGAACGTAGTATACTTCTAATCCCTATAAAGTATATATTTTTAAAAAGAGAAATAGATGTACATCTTGAATCTGATGATAAGTTTTTGTTTAATATTGATTTAGTTAGTAGGAAAGAAGAATTCAGCAGGTATTAATTTCATAAGGACAACGTTTCACAAACAAATTCTCCACTTACCATGGTTTTGCAGCCACAAGAGTAGCGAATATCCAAATTTGAGAAAAAAACTTCAAAGTTTGTTCAATTTCCTAACATATTCCAAAGTTATGATAAGTTTCTGGGTTAGTTTAGCACTCAGGGGCTCTTAGTTCTCACAGAGCGAAATTGCAGAGAAAAAATGGCAGAAAAATGAGCTATTACCCACGCACTATTTAATATTTACTTTGTACTGAAGCTGCGATGATTTCAATGTAGCTTAGCCATAGTACAATTTATTTGTTTATAGTACTTTCCTTCTCTTACACCATAAATACGGTAGTATGGGACATTGTCTGTGTAATAAACTCACCAGAATCGCTAGATATCAAATAGCTGATCGCTCAGCTTCTCTGATGAAAATTCACCATCAGAATCACTTTCCGAAAAATCTAAAAAAATTTTATAATTATCGCTATTAAAAACATCTGACTGAAACAATTTCAGAGCTTCAGCTGCAGAAAGACGCATTCTGTGACCTGTACTTGTGGTTGGAACATTGGTATACATGGCTCTCGAACACCATCTTAGAAAATGCAATGTTGAAAAAAAAAAATGTCGCTGTTATTTCTATCAAATTATACACATGTTTCTTATGCTAGGAAATGAAACTAAAAGGATTTCGGCAGAGTGACTTTCCCTGAATAGTTTAATCGTACCTCCGAACATCAGAAACTAGAACGGAGGCGTGTGTGAAGCAAAATGTATGGGATACACGATCGGCGATGACAGCGTTGTTTGGGCAAAACTGAACTTCTCAAACAACGCTCACACTGTTGCTTGGGCCTTAAAGAGTTAAACAGGTGGCAACAAACCGCCAGACATGGAGAACTATGACCTCTACCTTATGCAGCATCCTAGGCTCAAGAGGAAAGGCTAACTAATATCCAGTGATGGTTAATTGTCAGGATGCTTCCAACCAGCCATGTCTTGACCCTGACTTGAAGGAAAAACAGGAATTGGAACTAAGCAATTCAGAACTCCTTATATTTGTATTGAACATGTGACATTACGCAACACTTGCTTTAGCAGATTCTCTTGGTATGGTGGAGCAAACTATGTTAACCAAAACTGCTGCTTTCATGATTTGTGAAAGTAGTGAAATCAGGGACTAAGGTATGACAACATTCCTATTGTTACAAGTAAATCCTCTGCTGTAATACACAAGGAGAGGGGAGATTGTTCTCAGAGCACAGCAAAGAAAATCATTCACCAGTACAAAAAAAGACAACTTTCAGGGGACCATGGCAGGGTTTGTGCTTTGTGTAGCACTCGGGGGGGGGGGAGATAGTTGCATTTGATAAAACCTAATACATTGAAGTCAGTTCTCCCAACTTGTAAACTTTACCATAAAGTTCTATCTACATATTAAGCTGTTTAAAAGCTGAAGAGTACTCCTGGACACAATATCCATATGCACATAAAAACCACCTGGCTAATAAAATCATCTGAAAGGGAAAATAGCCCTGAGACTACAAAGATTGGCCACTACTGCTCTAGAAAAATGAACTTGTTAACGTGCGCTCATAGCAGACAAACAGTAGACTGTATCTCAGGTAAGCTCCCCAATAATGTCTTTTTTATAGATATTATTTAACAGATGAAAATACTCATAGCCTTTATGTTATTTTATGTAATAATGTTTAAATAAGTTTCAGAAGACATTGTTATTGCTGGTTTGTTTAATATTTAATTTGTAAGGTTATGCTGGAAGCCATAGAGGCCTACACTAAAGAACAAAGAGTGGACTGGGTACGTGCTTGGCCTGGTCAGGCAGTCTTGGGTGTGGGGCAGATGTATTGGACCACGTTTGTCACAGACTCAATTGTTAGAGGTCCCACAGCGTTGGCACATTACCTAGAGGTATTTAGTACAATGCTTGACAAATTTTCACATTTGATCCCTTTATTAACTTTTATTTGTAACAATTGTTTGCTACATGTCCCATTTAAATATTTATCTCTTTTAAGTCCCAGGGGGTTTAGCATCACAGGCTTAGGGGGTAGTAAAGAGAGTTATAAAATCGGCACATCATGTGTTCATTGGGCTTCCAGGTAGAAACATATGATGCGTTTCTTGGGAGTTAAATGCTGTATATTTTGCACTGAAGCTCCCTGTATAGGCTCCAGGACCCCATTTGGGGGAGGGGGGGGGGGGGGATAGACCTATTGCCTCCCTAACAAGCCTGTCAACGGTGGCAACTAATTCAGGGTATTTCCTTCGAAGTTAGAGTGCATCTGCCTGAAAGGTGAAGAACCAACAGTCTACATACAAATAATCTAGATCTGTAAACAGATGTGTATGCAACACTCTAAGTCCTGGAACAAGATCAAAGTCCAGAAGTGGACAAACAACCAGAACTTTCTACTGGAGTTTACAGCCAGTGAATGCAAAGAAGAAGAAGTAGATATAAAGCTGTACATTTTTAAATAGAATGTTGAAAGATAACAACAGTACTGAAGTACTGACAGCTGCTGAAGTTACTAGATTACAGATAAAAACAATAAGTAAACTACTACTGGAATTTGTGGTGGAATAATAACTTAAGAGAATCATTACCTTTATTTAGAAAAATACTAAGCAAGAATGATAGAGGAAGACAATAATTGATTATGTGTGTGAGAACGTTAACTCTTTCAAGCCCTTGAGTTTTGACAGACACTTGGCTTGCATTATTTTCTCTTAATAAAAATGATGGTGGGGGGGGGGGTTTAATAAAACAGAGGCAGTAGGGAGTGTAATATATTGCTAATCCCTACACAAGTTTATATTTTATTTTAAAAAGTTGAATGAATGTACATTTTGACCTTGAATTAAATGTTAGTGTGTAATGATGTTTTGGCTAGGGGAGATAGGAGGGGTGGGGGAGGGGGGTAAGGGAAGGCATAGAAGAATTCAGCAGGTGTTATATTTACAAAGACATAATTTTGTAAAATAGTTCTTCACTTAACATAGTTGCAGCCACAAGAGCAGTGAATATCCACATTTGAGAGTAACATTTTAAAGTTATTCAATTTCCAAGAGTGCACATTTACCGCACCAAGATGGTGACCAGTCTCTTCCTGACCGTTAGTATGTGTAACAAAATAACAAAACATAATTGCCTTTCGTTGGAAATTTGGTGTATATACAAATATGGATGTGTTGGTGTTGCTTGTGGTACAGTAGGACAGTGTAGCTAAGTGTACAGGTGTACACACATGTCAGGGTGAACAGTTTGATCCCCCCTAGTTTACCAAACAGTAAGCGACACTGCTGTAGACGTGGCAATGATGATGCATGTCTGGCTGTCACCAAAAACGCAGGTTACGATGAAGCTGATCGAATCACTTCCTATTATCTGGCTCACAGCCAAAGTGACATAACAGGGATCAGCTGGCCTCAAAGACCTGTCACTGCCATACTTGAGCAAGATGTCCTGTGTTACCTGTTCCAGCAAACGAAAGAAATTCACAGACAGCATGACCCTTGACATTCAATGGGATCTGGCGGACTTTATAGACATAGCAACACTGAGAAAAAAAAGGGAAGTGGGGGGAGGGGGATGTTCGGCTGGTCATCTCTGCTCAGTCTACATCAGTCGAGATTGTAATGTTGCTTTGATGAAAAATGCAGCGCAAGATACTACACACAGAGAAGTGGTGAAGAGGTCTTACTGTTAGATTCGTGGAAGAAAAAGCAGTGGATGGCAACAGAGATAAAAAATTTTCTCACTGGCTCGAGCTGCAGCCATACTAGCAACCGACTCACAATGAATTAATTCCTCCCCACACGGAGTGTGATATTGTCAAAGCAGTGAAGTGTCGGTGGATATCTAATTTACAATACATCAGTCTCTAAGAGGCATCATCTTTTAAGATTCAAACTGCAAGTTTCATAAACCCCACACAGTATTGATATGAGATAGAAGACAGCACTGCACAACTCAAAGACACAGTCACTCAAATTATATCAATATTCAGAAAATAGCTGTATCAGTCAACAACCTGAAAATGATTCTGACACTGTGAGAAGTTACAATTTAAGGAGACAGTATGTGATGCTTGACACTATAAACTTGGGTGTCATTTTTAAGGACACTGTTGTTAAGGTTTTGTGACCACTGATGGGCGTCTCTTCCTGCTGCATTCCACGATCTCAGTTGTTCCAAAAACAAAGGTTACGATGAAGTGGATTAAATCACTTCTTATTATTTAGTTTAGAGCCAAAGTGACAGAACAGGAATCAGCCATACTCAGACAAGTATTTCACAAACAGCACGACCCTTGACATTCACTGGTATCTGTCGAGGTATACAGACATAGCAACCCTGGGGTTAGTTCAGCTGGTCATCTCTGCTCAGTCTACATCAGCAGAGGTCATAATGTCGCTCTGATGGAAAAGGCAACCCATGATAATAAACATAGAGAATGGAATGAGGTGTTATTATTAGTTTCAGGAGAGATAAAGCAGTGGCTGGCAACAGAGATCAAGATTTTCTCACTGTCTTGAGCTGCAGCCATACTAACATCAAACTCACAGTGGGTCGAGGGTCATGGAGTCTCAGGGCTGTAGTGACTAAGATTCTTGGGCAGTGAAGCACACCAGCTGTTTCCCCTTGCGAGTCTAAGGGTCTAGCCTTACAGGTGAAAAGAGTGCACTCAGGTAGTAAGTCCTCTCACTTGGCAAACCTTTCTACAGCAAGATTGTTGTGCTTGACTTAAAAGGCATCCTTCAAAAATTGACATTTTGTGGTCTTGAGACAAAACAAAACGGATCTAGAGGAGACAACCTCAGTTTAAAAAAAAAACAAAGCCCAAAGTGGATCTACATGCTGGGAGGCTGAATGGCTTGGGATAGTCAGTCGTGAACACGGACATCTGGTCTGGGTATGTCAGCTATGTAAACCCTGCTGGACATGGGAGACATGGGCAATGTCTGCTAATGAAGGAGGGATTGAAACATTTGGTAGAATAATGATGCTGTGGAGGTGCAGGGAATACAGATGGAGATTGCTAGCCTAAGCTGGAACATAATAAATATATATGCTGCTGTGGGTTCATTAGTTACAAAGCAATAATGGGACTGGATGAAAGACCTAGAGGAGATCCATGGCAACAGGTTTCTTATTTGTGGGGATTTCAGTGAATGGAACAATGAAAGGGACAGTACTGGGGAAAATCAACAGGGAGTTGCCCTTGCTGATTCCATTGTCGATTCAAATTTCGTCTGCACATGTGTAGACTGGCCACCTAGAATGGTCGTATGGCCCAGCGATGCAGACACAGCTATTGACGTGCCATTTGTTACCCGATCAGCATTACTGGATACCAAATGGACTGTTCTGGGTGATCATGGAAGTGATTATCTGCCATGTTCGGTATTGATCTCCAAATTCCGTAAAGACAAGGCTTCAAGAGTTTGTAGGTCTTTCAAGTATGAGAGGACAAACACCCTTCTTGGACGCCTCCGACAGAGGACTGGCAGATCTACTTTTGTGCAGCCTCCATGGTGGACATCAGAGGTTGAACAGTCATGGAAGTTAAAGAGAGTTGCAGTAAAGCAATTAAAGAAAGCGCGACAAACATCCCTGAGCATGCAGAAGGAATTGGGGTGTGCAGAAAGAGAAAAGACAGATAGGATAGAGGTTTTCAAGCTTTGTGCAGCAGAGGCTAAAAAAAGCAAAATGGGAATGTTTTAATTAAAAAAATTGGGGGCAATAAGACTTTGGGAAAATTTTGGAAGTTACACAGAGTTCCATTACTAATGGTGCAGGTCTTAGCCTGGTTGTATGTCTTGCCTTTCCTCTGAGCATAGTGTGCCACCAAAACCCTCTGGTCACACCCAGGTGCATCATTCTCTCCAGCCTATAATAATTTAGTTTCTCTTCTGACTTCGTTAACTTGTTCCCAAACAGCCTTGACCATATCTGCCTTGTCATGTATGAATTCACCATCCAGCTGTGCAGATCCAGCCAATCTGTTTTCTGTTCCTTTCCCACCATGCTGGCATGACCTGAAAAAAAGATCCAAAGTATGCTCACTACCCGTGACCTTGTGAGTGCAGCTTGTCATTCTGCTCGAAGCAATCCTGTCTTCACCTTTTTCAGCATGCTTTTAGAGTCTGTTTTTTTTTTTTACATGTGTTTGTTTCCCTAGCCATTGGCAAGCTGCAGTGACTGCCTCCACCTCCATTCTCATGCTAGATGTTGTGGTATCTTATGCAGGCTGTCCTGCAGGAAAGATTTTCCATTGGCTTTTGCTATGAATCCCTTTGCACTTCTCTTTCCTCTCAATACACAACCATATGTTTAGATAATCAAAACAACAGGTGGGGTACCTCTAGGAACTCGCATGTCAGTAGCAGGTCCTTAATGGTTCCCTATAGCTTGCTCTGCACACTTTGGTATTGAGGCCAGGTGTCTTTTTGAAGTTGTAGGTAGAGTGGGAAGGTCTTCAGAATGTACTCGGGTGTTTGTGGTCCTGTTTAACAGGCACTCTGTGGGGACTGTACAATTTTTTTTTATGCATGTGGCAGTTGAGCCTACAGTGTCCTGTTGGTAGACAGAAAATTGTCGTATGTTGCTTTCTGTTGAGTCTGCTGATGTGGTCTAATGAATGTTTACTGTTTGTTCTCTCCACAGTTCCTTGTATTTTCCTTTGATAAGTGTTCTGATTTCTGGTAATGACAATGAATGGGCGTGTTGTTTCTCCTTTGTTCCATTTTTTGGAAGTCTGTCTGTTAATTATTTCCTGGTATGCAGCAGAGAGCCTGGATCCTCTGAAGAACAATTTGTTTTCTGGGAGTCTGTTTAGCTGGTGGGTCAGTTCTCTTTGTTGTCTCGAGGATCCCTTTAAGTCACCTAGAGGACTGACATGCAGTCACAAAGGAAAACAATTTTGCTGTTTTTAATTTTTCTTTCCTTGAGCACTTTGGCTGAATCAATAATTGCTTGCTGCTCTGCACTGAAGTTGGTTGAGAGTCTTCCGAAGACTCATGACGTTTCTACTATGGTCTCATCTTGCAGCATGATGACCGATCCAGCTCCTCCATTTTTTTCTGCTTCCTCCAATGATCCATCGGTGTATTCGTATGTCCATTCGGGTTTTGGATAACAGTTATAGACATGTTAAAGTGTCTTTGCCTGCAGTACTAGGTCACATTCTTCAGCCTTTCTGTCTTTGCATAGAATTTTTGTTGTGACTGTATAGTTAGGCTTTAGGCCTATGCTGTATGCCTAGATCATTTCCCATGTTGAAGGATCTTTAGAAAAGATGTCACTGTGGAGTATGTTCCCATGGGTTTCTTCGATATGGGGGCCCCAGGTTAGTCTTTTGTCAAATTTTACTTCTAAATATGCGGGGTTATCCTCTTTTGGAAGGATTTTGCCTTCTAGGTACAGATCAACTTGTTCTAGCTTTGAGCTGAGACGGTTTTGGTCTGGTTTATTGTAACTTCCCAAGCGTCTATCCATTTCTTAATTGTATTTATAGCTTCCTGTATCCTTGTTTTAGTTAATTCAGCTGAAAGAGTTAAACAGGTGTGTGATGGGTGAAGCTTGGCGTACAGTGTGACGTGCTGTAAAGGCTGCGTGGTGATGTGCGGCGTACAAACGGTGACTAGGGGCGTTGCAATGTAACAAATGGCATCAACACTTAACATGCCACTGGCCAAGAGTAACACAACATGATGAATGTTGAAGCTTCCAAACGTAGTGGAACGAGAACTCTTTTTAAAGGTTCCATTTGTGTATTTGACAATAGCAATGATCAACACAAGGAGAAAATATGCAATTAATAATCCAGACTCATTCAAGCACATCAACAAAAGCCCGCTCGTACATCCATGGACTGATATGTCCTCACGACTGGTCGCAGTCCGACCTTGAGATCCAGACAGTCATCTTTGTCTTCGGTTCCGTAGTCTGAATTAAGTAATGAAAGTATACCGGCTTACTGCCGAACTGTGACAATATACCAGCTTTCTGCTGAGGTCTACAGTGGAGTCCCGGGGTAAAACGTCCTCAAGGATCCAACTGTATACAACGTCTGCTTCCGTGGCATCCTGGGGTAAAGCGTCCTCAAGGATCCACACGTCCGTCTCCTTCGGACTGTAAACATCAACTCCTTCCGTGGCACCCCGGGGTAAAACGTCCTCAAGGATCCACCATGGCATCCCGGGGTAAAGCATCCTCAAGGATCCACACCAGGGCCGGACCACCATCCGCCTTGGTCAAACTTAGACTTTCATCTCCTAGAATACAATCCCTTCACAACCTGACTATTGGTTTGACTCTTATTTGCTCACTCAGTACTGGTGCGTTCTAGTGCACATCCGCACGCGACAAGGTGGGCAACAAATATTAAGAAATGTCAGCTTCATCAAAGTAACAAATAAAAGGGAGGATCTAAGAGTCATGACCTATATCAATCGGCTACAGAAATAATAACCTGAATAAGAATGTTTTGCATGTATCATGATAAGTGAGTCTCATAAATAGTTCTAAGCATTTGCAATATACCATTTTAGTAACTGTTTTTTTTTTTTTAATCACAATAGACTTGCTGTTATTATATTTTGTAAAAGTCTTTAGTTAAGTTTCAGTGAAACACAGCAATAAACAATTAATTTTTTCCCCACAGCTAAACAACATACAGATTGATGAGATTGTTGGTCTTGTGCGAGGAAAACTGTCCAAACAAAACAGAGTAACACTTCAGGCACTTATTGTACTAGATGTACATGCCCGAGATGTGCTTGCCCAGATAGTTGAAGATGGGGTGCAAAACCCATTGGATTTCAAATGGTTGAGCCAGTTGCGTTATTACTGGGAGGTAGCATGCATTTTTAGGTTAAGGTTTTCATGTCTGTTCATGTAAAATCCACTACATTTATTTTATATTTTTAACCACATTGTTTGAATCAAAAAGCATCCATAATTTGATCCTCGACATGGATCCAATGGTTGTGGATTTAATTACCCTGGGAGACAGAATTGTTTCATGACCACACCAGACAATTATCAGGAAAAAAAAAGTTCAATTCAGTATGTAAACAACAATTTCAAACTTGCTCCTTATTCAACTGGCTGATCGCCCTGTTATATTGAGGAGGGTTTTCTTTCCTGACTTGTTTGAATTTTTTTTCTTTGGCACGCTGTTGCGCTTGAGTTTTCGTTTCTTTGCTACTCCATGCCTGTTGTGGTCTGGTCTGGGGAGGTTGCCTCTGCTTGCTGACTTGGTGCTTAGTCCTTGGAGCTAATGTTCCAAGCCTCACAATTAAAAACAGTAGCAACAAAAAAGAAAGCAAATTGAGATACCTGGGTATCATTTTCGATAGAAGCCAGTCCGTCAGGGAAAATGTGGATGCAGTTGCAGCGAAATGCCAAAAAGGACTCACTGCGCTCAAGATATGGCAGCAATGGACATGGAACAAAGAATGTTGTTCACAATGTTCCAGCATGTGATCCTGTCAGTGATAGATTATGGACTTGGCATGCTTACCATATCAAAGAGTCAGCTGATGAAACTTGAACGCATACAGAATGAAGCCATGCGGGTGATTCTGGGATGTACAAGAGATACCCCGGTAGTATGTATGCAATATATACTTGCACTGCCTACTATTGCAGATAGGCTCACAGTTCTGCAGGCAAAGTCATATCTCAGAGTAACTGCGGACAAGAGGCACCTCCTGCATGAAGCCCTGGATAGAGCTAAGGGTCACAGACTGAAAAGAAGAAAGTCTTGGATGGCGCAAGCTGAAGACACAATTCGACATGTTTGCAGGCTTGATAAATTTAGGTGAGGAGAGGAGTTGGTCAAAGTGTCCGATCATGTTTCAGACTTATGTAGGGTCCTAATCACTTTAGGTCATGAGTGCAACGACTGGCCAGCTGGTGCAGTGCAACAATTGATACAACAATTCCCGCCCAAGTGATGTGATTATCTATACAGATATCTCTATGTTGAGAGGCAAAGTGCATGGGGGTTCATAGCAAAATCGAATGGACGTTGCTTGGTGCAGTAAAGCCTGGCATATGATATCACAACGTCTAGTTTGAGAATGCAGGTGGAGGCAGTCACAGCTGCCTTCCACTGGCTTGAGAATCAGCTGTACACGTATGCAGTGATTGTTGAGAAAGGTAGAGACAGACATGCTCCATGTAGAATGACAAGCATCAATTCAGAGGTCCCAGGTAGTTAGCATTCTTTGTATATTTTCTTCTGATGATTCCAGTGTGTTGGAAAAGGAGCAGGCAGATAGACTGGCCCACTCTGCACCACTTGGTGCTGAATTGTGGATTGAATCACTTCCTATTATTTAGTTTAGAGCCAAAGTGACAGAACAGGGTTCAGCCATACTCAGACAAGAATTGATGTATGACAAGCTAGATATTGTCAGGGCCCTTTGGGAGCTAGTGAACAGTGAGGAGGCACTGGAGTTACCAGGTCATCAGGCAGACACTCAACATTCAGGGAAAGGGCGAGACAGATATACAGACAGTTACTGGTGCCATCAGATTTGGAACTCTTCACCTGCTGCTGAAGATGGGGACGGACCACTTATGGGTGTGTCCTGAGTTTTGTGATGTCGATTATTAATTCAACATTACTTGGGGACTATTTGTGGTCTGCAGTTTTAAGGTTTGCCAGGTTGACCATTTTTGATGGGGATGGTTTTTTTCTGCCTTTGTGTTATCTGCTGCTTAAGTGGGGTTGTCTAGTTGTATTTTTTTGGAAGGGGGGGGGGGGGGGGGGGGGGGTGTTTGTGGGAAATTCAGAAATCACTGGTTGTAAACCCTTTGGGTCAGTACTATGAATATTGCAATCCTTCACCCTTGATTCCATGATATTTGGACATTCTTTCCAGGTAATGCCGGTGTGTTGGGAAATGAGCAGGCAGACAAATTGGCCGGTTCTGCACCACTTGGGGATGAACTGATCCATTAAAGATACCGTAAATCTGGGAAATATGTGGCTTTTCTGCCTACATCTGAGCGTGAACTTTGTCCACAAGGAGTTTGTCACCTGGTTGCCGTGCAGATGGTTTAACCAACTTAGCTAGTGTGCCGGGCTGTCTAGTGGTTTAATACTTGTGGTGATGGCGCCGGCCTCGTTTGGAGTCTAACTTCTTTGTTGGGCCTTTTGCCCTTCACCTCTTTTTCTCTGGAGTGCTAGTTTTTTTTTTTTTGGGTGCATCCCTCTTCTGGATTAGCCCTGGGTAGTTTTTGTGTGTGTGTTTTCTGTTGGTTTCTTTGTGTTTTCTCTTTGAATTCCAATCTGATTCACTGGTTTACTCTTCATCTTCTGGGTAATATGTTGTCCAGCCTTGTTCGATTTACTCTCGCCTACAGGGGTAGATCTCGCTTATCAGTTCTTGAGTCAGATTGTCTATTTTGTCTTCTTGTTCTATGAGGTGCTCGATTATATCTTATGTTTCTTGATCTGTAAATTGATTTATACTTTGTATGGGCTTGGTACCCTGGGAGTTGTGTTTCTCTACTTTCACCTTTGTCAATTTACTTTTATCGGCCATGTTGATAACTGGTTTCTCTGCTGGTTTTCTCGTTGAGTTGTTCCCATTTGTAGAGTTTCTCTCTCTTTCTTGATCTATAGCCATGCAGCTTCTGCTTCTGTTTTCGCTTTTACCAGTTAGGTGACTTCTCAGTAAGTACTTTTGCGTGCTTCTTTTAGCTCTGCCATCTCTTTCCTCCTCTCCTCATTCTTCTTGCCTAAGCACTTGCTCCTCTGCCTTGTTATTATATCTTTCATTTCATCAGTCTGGTCTTGCTTGTATGAAATCACCTTAGCTGTGGTTTCATTGGCTGCCTCGACTAGTCTGGTTGTTCCATTGTTTCTTGTTTCTTTTCTGAGTTTCTCAATCTGGTTTTAAATGTGAGCTGTTTCTTGAATGCTGGTATTCCTGACTGCCTTGTACCTCTGTCTCGCTTTGTGGTAGGGACTGTTCTTTATGGTTGCAGTTGTGATTGCTTTCCTGGGTTGCTGAAGTTACGGGCTGACCAGGTGCCTGGTAACACGTGTGCCGGAACAGTTTGCAGATTTTCTGTTGCTGTTAGGCCTTTTAAAGTATCTGTTTTTCTTGGCCAGTGAGCACTCGTCATAAGAGTGTGGCTCCGAGCAGTGACAGCAAATGATGATTTTTCTGTGGCAATTTTCGACTGTGTGCTTCAGTGGAAACACTGAGGGATCGGTGGGACTTTGCTCTCTAGTTTATGCAGTAGCTTGTCGAATAACACTTCATAGCAATTCTTCTTTTATTGTAATCACAGCCTCCGTTGCATTCACATTTCTGGTTTTCACTCATTCTGCTGTGACTATCTTGAGTCTTGGATTCTCTATTTGTAACTATTCGTGGATTTCTCTGTCCATTAGTTTCAAGTTCTTTTCCTGAGGATCCAGTGTTGGGTACTTCTGAATAGGCTGGGTACCACCACAGTATCGTGCGGTAGGTGCTCTTCCTTCTTGTCTCTTGTGTTACGTATATGAGCAACAGCTTGCTTACCAGGCAGAATTTATAGCAGGTTGATAATCATCATAGTTGTCATGTCTGCCAGCTTCACCTGTCCCTCTCTGATTTGGAGTAACGTGGTCTTAACTGGAAAGGTGGTGTTGGCTGTTGTCTTATCCATGGTAGCAATAGGGCTTGCTTCAGGACTTGAAGAAGAGAAGTGGTAACTTGACGTGCCTGACCGGCAGACATCGAGCTGTGTGTGGTTTTGTGTGCTTGTTCTTTCTCAAGGTTGGTTGTAGGGTTTGACTCATGTGTGGCCGAAGCAGTACCTCTGGTGACCTGGCTCTCGACTTTGGTGGCTTCTGACTCTTGGCTGGTAGTACAGTCAGATGTCAGGTTGTTTGTGTCTCTCAAGGCATCAGATGTAGGTGATTCAACCTCTTCATAAGGCTTTTTTAAAGTCTCTTCCTTCCTGTGTAGCACATGGTCCTGGTCCAGCTTTTCCATTCTGGCTTAGTGACTCTGGCGTTTGGCTGCATTCTTCGATGTCAACATTATTGATGTTAGTGATGATTAGTAATCAGAAAACAGTGAGGTAATAAAGCGGCCTGGGACTTCATAATCCTTAAATGAACTGTCAGGCTCCTATCCAACAAACACCTGTTGTCACACTGGTAAAAAAGTGTATTGTAACCTGCATTGCTCGCTCAACTTTTTGTAACTGGTCGAATAAAGGCCTATAGAGGTTTTTTTATTTGGAAGATAGCATAACCAGAGGTGCCAGATTAGATTCATTCTGATGACCCTCACACACAATACTCTAGATGGTGGCATACAGCAAGCACACCTGATCTCGCTTTTGCAACTGACTATAAAGTAACAAAGACAAATGTTTGACCAGTTGGAAGTTAATGATCATGCTTTAAACTCGATGTTATTTGAAAAGGGTCTTACTTTCTGACCTTTATATTTTATTATATGTGTCTTTCATACATAGTTTGGTCATGATAATGAACTTCTTTGGTATTCCATAGTCCTTTAAAGCATTCCATAAACTGTTACTATGCTTACTATCATATGCTTTTAAAAAAAATCCACGAAAACATTAAGTACATCCATATTCCCAGTTTTGTTCTGCTATTTGCCGTAAAATAAATATCTTATTTATTGTTGATCTGTTCTGTCGGAAACCCACTTGGTAATCTCATAGTGTGTCTTCGACCTTTAGTTTTAGCCTATTTAGCACTATCGCCAATAGTAGCTTGTAGATAATAATGATATTTCTCTATAATTTTCACGTTTATACTTGTTTCTTTTCTTAAAAATGGGTATTAACAATGACACTTTCCACTCAGGGGGTAATTTCTCCATCTTCCAAACTAGTTTTATTATTTCTTTAAATGTAATGCATGACCACGTTCTTTTTTAAGTTCAGCATCAATTCCATCAACACCAGTTGCTTTATTTTTTTTAAACCACATTGTGACATACAATTCTTCTTTAAAGTCCGGCTCTTCGGTATTTTGCTCACATGCTAGTATCTCTTCCCATGATTAAGTATTTAGTGGAGTTTCACAATTTAACAGTTTTCAAATTTAACAGAATGGAGCTTTCTTTAGTCATCCCAGAAAAATTTGAAGATCACTTGTCCAGCAAAAACAAAATTTGAAAATGTAGGACAAGCTTACCCAGTAGCACCCACATACTTATATCTGTGGTCAATTTCATTGGACTCACCTTTCCTGCCATCTAGTTGGGGCACCCAGGCTCTGATGTTGATGGCTAATTCCCCAATAGAGGCTCCATTCTGAGACACATTAATTGATCATCAAACAACTGTCCCAGATCATTCTGGAATATCGTTCCACTCAGCAACCATCCCTCTAACATCATCATCACCTTCTCACATTATTTAACTTTGTCTTGAGGAACTCCAAACTTCTTTGGATCATGATGAAGGGTCTTGACCATCCTCTTGTAGATGATCCACTGTTCCTTGCATCTCCAAAATATAGTTCAGGGTAATGAGGACAATCAGTAGGTCACCCATGTGTTCAGACACCACCTGGAAGTGTACTCCGGTCACATCTATTATTTTTGGATCTGATCTGGTGGTATACAGGCAGGGCAACTGTTTTAAGACAGATTTAACCACTACCTGTGAAAAAAAACTTGACAACTGTTGCAGCAGGGTAGACATCCTTCCCATCTAGATCTGCACCTTCCCTTCTTCAGACTCCCCTTCCTCATAGAACTACAGAGCCTTATAGAACTTGTTATTTGGTCTCAAACTTGGTAGCAATAATCTCAGAGCACAGACCCGCCAGAACTGTGAGCACTTTGCTGAGGATTCTTTTGACAGTGCAAATCAACTACAGGAGGGAGGTTCACTCGTAGCCAAGACTGCATGGAAATTAGACCCAGTGATGTATCCCAGGCATCCTCAATGCTGTCATCCAAAGCATCCTCAATTTCCTTCATTTGTGTAGTATTCTCATTGAGGAAGCTGCCATATTTCTTAACCTGCAGCTCTCCATTTTTACCTAATTAGGAAAGCTTTGCTGACTGTATGGTATGCTAGATCAGCAAACTGGTATGGATCAAACCATCTATCCTGACAAAAATATATGCCTATGGAATCATACACGTCATGGTATATCGACTGCTGTGCTTACAATGACCTCAACCAACATGGAACTGTTGTTTTTTGTAGAAAAATAAAGGTCGTGAAAAATTGGCCTCAGTTTTGATGCATCCAAAATCCTGACAAGATTTACAAACTGATAATGAACTAAAATTATATGTAAAATATTTTTCAGGATGATAATATGTTAACACGCATGATAAACTCTCAGTTGAAATATGGATATGAGTACCTTGGTAACAGTGGTCGCCTTGTAGTAACACCACTTACTGACAGATGTTACAGGTAGGGACTATTGGCTGTACATTTAATACATACTATTAACATTGCATTCAATACATACATTTACAAAATATTTCAGGATCCTTGCCGGTGCTATGGAGTTTGTGCACAGCGCTGAGATTCTTCAGACAGGCTTGATTTAGAAGTAGAAGTGAGCACTTATGGGTTGCTGCCCTTGTGTCATGATGTTGATCCATAAACCAAACCTAACATACTGTTGACATTACATTTAATACATCTATTATATGTATCTTCTTCTTCTTCAGCATTCTGAGCCTTTGAGGTTCATTGCTGCAGATTTCACCCGCCTTCATTCATCTCCCTCTTTTTCCAGTTGGTGACACCAAGTGCTTGCAAGTCTGTCTGGATATTATCTCTCCATCGTCTTCTTGGCCTGCCTCATGGTCTACGACCATCATGTCTTTCATGTATACAGTTTTTACTTCTCTGTTATCTGACATTCAATCAGTATGCCCCAACCATTTAAGTCTATTAGCTCTCATGATGCCAGTGATCAGTGGTGATTTAAACAGATTTTGAATTTCATTGTTGCTTCTCTCTCTCCATTCACCACTGTTTGCATCTTTGATGGGTCAAAAGATTTGTCGTAAGACGATTTTTTCGAAAACCTGTAATAAGCCTTCTTTTCTTTTTTAGAGCCATATAAAACGACTGTCTTATCTACATATTATATATTTTGATCTTGGTGTTGCGAGACAGACACTTTGACTATAGCAGATGTTGAAGGGCATAGTATATTTTATTTCCAAATTGTATTCTAGATTGTTTTAATTGAAAATCTTTATCATGAACAACAAGCAGCCATCAGAGCAGCTAGTGAAACATCGGATTGGTTCAAGGTGCAAAAAGGAGTGAGGCAGGAGTGCATTCTCTCACCATACCCATTCAATATATTCATTCATTCAGTAGCATCTCCCTCGCGGAACCTCGCTGCCATAACAACCCTCCGGAAAACCTTCCTATCCTGAGCAAGATGTCCTGCGTCTGATACACCCATCTGGAGATCATCTGCCACATCCTGCACCCATCTTCTCCTTGGCCTTCCCCTTCCTCTCTTCCCAGGCATAAACCCCTCCATTATTGTTCTCTCTAGACTTCCATGACGTTTCAAGTGACCAAAATATTTCAATTTTCTTTGTTTTATTGTCTTTACTAGCCAACCCTCTTCAGTATTCAGCTCTTGAAGTATGGATGCATTTGTTCTTTTCTTTACCCAAGATATTCTTAGAACCTGTCTGTAACATTTATATTCAAATGCATTTATGCGCTGTTCCGCTTGTTTAGTAAGTGTCCAGGTCTCACAGGCGTATGTTGCAATGGGAAAGATGCATGCTCATAAAAATCTGACCTTTGTAAATTCAATATATACTGAGAAAATATAATGAGAAATATAAAAAATGACTCTACTTGTGACCAGTATTCTCATCTTGAATATTATTTTCCATGGCTTTTTCCATCCATACTGGAATGTGCTCAGCGACTCGTTTCTGCAGGCGTCGATCAGTTCTCCCCACATAAGCAGCTTCACAGCTACATTTAAATTGGTAGATACAATTTGATTTGGCGTACATCAACACTGGTTGTTTTAACGAGGGCGTTGGCACCAGAGTAGTCTTAAACCTGATGATTGGCAAAGCGGCGTAGAAAGTTTTGTTGACTGCTGTTTGGAGCTGGTCATATAGCTGTTTCATAACGTCATCCCCTCGATAGGTTAGATGTATGTATACTTGTTGTTTGGGAACTGACGCTTTTGTAGTATTTGGTTGAGGAGGACACGTGGTGACTAAATGCAACACATTTCAAATCCTTCATACATCAACCAATGGCAGAACACTAATATTTTTCAAAGCTTCCGCGATTCGTCACCTGCGCCGGGACTCTGTATTTAGAAGGTTACATCTAAGTGTAGTCTTCTTGGGTGTTTAAATAGCTTGTTTATGTCTGCAGAAATGGTTCTTAAGACAGATTTTAATTTGTTTCTCTCCTCTTTTATTACTGTAGTGTATTATAATTAGGTTTTATATCTTCTCTTTATTTTCTGTTCTTTTAACACTAAGTTTTATACTAAACCTCCCCATGATTATTATGTCTATGTCTGTGTTACCTTTTATCATGTATCTTATTCCGTGTGTTGGTTCTGAGGCCCAATAGGAGTAGACCTATTGTTGCTGTCTTAACAAGCATGTCATAAAAGGTACTTCTTAAGGGTTCACTGAAATTAAATGTGTTCATCTAAAAATCACAGATATTGCAGTCTAGGTGTAAACCACAAGACAATGTGCCAGCCACCCTTTTATGGGTGAAATCAGAAAATGAAGAAGAAGAGGAATGTTCCTTGTAAAATTATTTGGTTTCCCTCTTCTGGTGCAGTTGGCAGTGAATAAACATGTATACTTGTTCCTGCTCTTTGTCTTCAGTGAGAAATTGATCACTGACTGTATCTAAGAAATACTGAAGAAAATGTTTTTGTCAAGAGAAAGCCAACCTTAAAATCTCTTATCTATCTTTCCTTGATGAAATAAACAAATGTATCTCCTGTTTGGGAAATCAAGCAATCTTTTTATCATCTAGGGCCTAAAATGTCCAGTATGTCTGTTTCATTTAAGTTCTTGACTCATTATGATGAACTGTCCTTGCTCTGAGCATCTTTTTTTTTTTAGCATCCATATTTTCATCTTGTAAAATTGTTTATCCAGATGGCGGAGTTTTCCTCAAATATATGTTAGTTTTTTTATTTTTTTATTTAGAACATTATTCGGGGCTCTCCACTTGCATCTTGGTGGTGCCCCAGAAGGTCCTGCCGGAACCGGTAAAACAGAAACAACAAAAGATCTTGCAAAAGCTGTTGCTAAACAGTGCGTTGTATTTAACTGTTCAGATGGTCTTGACTATATTGCTCTTGGAAAATTTTTTAAGGTAAGTGAAAATTAATTGATTTTTAGATTCATATGGTCTGTTATAAAAAAAAGAATTATAACAATTATTATCATGAAATTGCTTAAATATTGACAGCCACACAGTGTTGTTGTCCTGAGACATCATTATGCCATAAAAGAACATTTTTTAATTCACAATGGGCCTGTTATAAATTAGAAGCATAGTTACAGCTTGACATATTTCTTCAATCATTTGATTGCAAGAGGGCATTTTTAGTGTTTCCGCTGAGTCATACATGCAGGCACAACTGTTACTTTGTGTTTTTCGTCACATATTTTTATCAGATAATCATTTTAACTCTTTAAGAACCATTTGCCAATTTAGTAGCTGTTGCATGCTGATTTGGGAGAGTGTAATAATGTAATATTGGCCTGAGTAGTGAGGGGGAGAAAATGTTGACCAGTGAGAAGTGTAGTGTCACAAGAAGGTAGACGCGTGGGTTCATGGTGGGGGCTGACACGCATGGCTAACAAGATGCACAGAGAAAGTATGAATTACGTGAAAGCGTGGTTCTCATGTAACATCAGCCACCCACATAAGCGCGATTCTCAAATACGCCCACATGAGCATGAGTCTCGAGAACGCCCACATGAGCATGATTCCAGACAGACCCACTCGAGCTTGCCTCTCGTGTAATATCAGCTGCCCATATGGGTTAGGCAGGGATATATTGGGGCTGCGTAGACAGTCCGAGTCAGTGAGCTCTAGCCAGAGAGCTAAAGCACGGGGGAAGTGTGGGTGTTGTACACACCCATCACGAGAGTGCTGCGAGTCAGTCAGAGTCCGAGGCAGAGAGAGAGAAAGAGACCAAGTCAGGGTCAGAGACAGTATCTCTCTCTCTTACCCTCTTTAGTACAAGCTGTTCTAATTTCAAAACAAACACTGTTTTTATTATACTTCTTCTGTTGGAACCCGTCTCATCTCTATTTCCTAAACTTTTTTTCATCTTCTCTCTTTCAGTGTAATTGTACCACCAGCCCACATCATTGGCCCCTACATCTCCCTCCTTTGTATCAGTAGGCATGAATACTTTACTAAAATATATTATAAATCAGAAATACAAAAGGTTGAAAATGCTAAAAAAAAAAATTTTTACAAGATCCCTCTGGCAGTAGAACTAGAGGAGGAATTTGAGATCCTGCCACTGCAGCTATTTTTGCAATGTATATAACATAATCATCTGATTGTAATCAATTAGTTTTTTTTTTTAGTTCTTGGAAATAGATGGAAATCAAGACTAAACAGGTGTTGAAAGGTTTCAAAGTTTCAGCTTTTGAAACCCCCCCCCCCCCCCCCCCCCACCCAAAAAAAAAACCAAAAAAAACAAGAGTTACTATGTTATGAACTTGAATCACAGTTTAAAAAAAAAATAAAAAAAAAAGGTTGTTGCGTATCCTTTACAGGACGTTGCAGAACCAACCCTAACAGCCCCTGGCTGTTGTGTGGTTTCTTCTCTAGGCAAATTACGTCCAGTAGTTTGCCATTGCTTTCTGGACGGTCGGCTTTCTTGATACCACTGTCGAAACCAACGCAAGGCGCATTGCCCGCAGCTGGGATCGAACCCGGCATCCCGGCATTACGAAGCTAAGTGTTCGCATCGACTTAGCCACAGAGCCGACTTGAATCACAGTAGCAGTGTAAATTGTCTCACAAGAACAGATCAGTAAGTTAAGTAAAATACTTTTTAATACCAGTGGCGCATCGGGCATCAGGCATATGATCCTAAACTCATATTTTAAAGACCAATCTGCACTTGATGGCTGATCTGTTCAGCATTTTACCAGCTTCCTTCACCTATCAGGAAATTATCTGATACCCATTTTAGGCTGGGTTGAACTGGTAGCCAAGGTCATTTTGAAAACAAAAACAGACTCGACACAGATTTTAACCCAGTATCTTTGGGCTAGGAAGTGAGCCTTTAACCGCCACATCGCTGCAGCTCCTGAAGAACATAACTGTACTCAATAGTTTCATTTCCAATAGAACACTTGTTCACATGAAGAAAATGTCATAAATTGTCAGTAATTTTATCTATGTTTACATACCTTTGAAACAGCGGACTAACACCTGTGTTGTCCTTTTTCCAGTACCAGTAAAAAATTTTTAATGAGGTAAGGCAACAGCCTGTAAATAAGTGCATATGCCAATAGATAGTTACAGCAAAGATGTATTTGTAATAGAAACAATGACATTCTTACATAACATTTTATTTATTTGATCACTGAAACAACAAAGAACCCAATTTTCCTTCTTTCTAGGGTTTGGCTTCATGTGGTGCCTGGTCTTGTTTCGATGAGTTTAACAGAATTGACTTAGAAGTGTTGTCTGTTGTTGCCCAACAAATTCTTACTATACAAAGAGGTAAGTTTTAAGAAAATAGTTAATTGTGAGGCTGTTCAAGATGTAGGTAAATAAATTTTACTTGTATCATTTCATGTGTGTTTCCATGCATCCATGCATAACACTCTATTCAACACTTATGTACAGAAACACCTTTAGGGGGATGAACAGAAGAGAAAGAAGAAAAATGCACTGGAAATTGGGAGGAAAACTGTGTGCCCGCTGAAATAAGAACACTGAATATTCTGCACATTAGGAATGTAGGAAAAAGGTTTTAGATCGGGAATACAACCCTGTAAATAAAAAGGTATTGTGAATAAATGTTTGGAATTAGATGAGTACAGGCAGAAAGACAGTTCATGATGAAAAATACTTTCTGCTGCAGTAAGTGGGCTATCAAAGCCGTCTTCTGCTGTCGGACTCCAGGATGTGGAGTTGTAAACCTATTTATGCAGTAATATTGATACAGCTGGAGGAACTTGGAGAGAAATATGAATAAGAATATAAAAGACGGGTAGTTTTTCTAGCACCAGGAAATAGATAAGTCGCAGAAAATAAAAACCTAAAATATTTAACTTCAGTGTTAAATCAGTGTAGCTGTACTGAGCTGAAACATGGAGCAGTGCTAAAATATTTATAATAACTACATACATCCAAAAACTCCTACCTGCACAGAATAGAGGTATGTAAATGTTGTGACAGATTCACAAACGTGCTACATTTGAAAGTTTAGGGCATTTGAAAAGAAGGTGCAGAACTGTTTACACAAGGCAAGCAAGCAGTTCAGGCATTTATAAAGTTTTAACGCTGTGTTCTGTCTGAAAATAAAATATCAGCTTTTGGTTTTTTTCTATTAAGTTTGATATTTTCATTGACTTTTAGTGGCTTTAATTTCTGTTAAAATGTTTTCTGGAATTTTCTTGGGGTCTGTTTATGCTGAATATATAATTGTTGTTCAGAATTAACCTTATAGGAGATCTGTTAAAGAATTAATGTATACAGTTAAATAAGTTGAGAAAGCAATTGTTTTAGACAGGCCGGCATGCTCAATAGTTAGCCATTTGAAATAACGTTGTTTCTTTCTTTTTGTGTGTGTCTGCTATATACATGGTCTGAATATATTTGGAGACCAATCTGTTTCAAACTTACTTGATATTTCATCTGTAATATTTTCCTTTCCACATTTCAATGAACTAATGAAAGACCAAATGTATCAGTAAAACTTGAATGGTCATCTTCAGAGGTTTAATATCTCAAATGATATATTAAATTTAATTGTTATTGTCAAAATGAAAGTCTAAATCTATTTATAGTCTTAATCATTGTGCACAAGTTTAACCCTACCAGACCTGAGGCCCTGAACCTAACTGTCCCTATAACCTGAGCTCCTGGGCATTACCACGAAAAAACCAACATGATATACAAAAATATTAGTTACATGCAAACGAGTGGCTAGAATATGATGAAACTTGGAGACATTGTAGAAAATAGGCTTATCTTGAACACCAGATGTTGCCGTTTGATGGACACACCCCCTCCTTCTACTATCAATCTATTTCAAGATTGATCATTTTCAAGATTTTCCTCATCATTCACGCTCTCACTGACAGTGTCTCTTCAAGAACATATTCTTTATGAAATTATCACAGATAATGAATATATATATATATTAGAGCTGTACCGAATAGTGATTTTCACTATTCGGCCAAATACCAATAGCTGAACCAACTGTTCGGCCAAATACAAATGCGAATAGTGAATCATCATCAGGTGCTTTGCCGACTGGAATGGGCGATTATGCCTTGCCACAATCTGCGATCTCCTACAGCATGTATTACTTCATGTGCTGACACACCTCCATGCCATGCAACAGGATGGTCAAGAATCTTCTCTCGTTGTCTTCCTCTATCTCCCCTTTCCAAAGATCTTTCCAGTGGTCACCACATGTTCCATTTTCCCTAATCTTATAACATTGCCGAAAAATGATGACTGTCTCCTTCTGATGTCTGTGAGTAGTTGTCTTAGGGCTCCCACCTCTATCTAAACCTCTTGGTTGCTTTTTTTTCTTTTTCTTTCCAAGGTATTTTAAACATTGTTCTGTAAAACCACATCTCTGAGGCCTCAATAAATTGTTTGGCCTGCCTACCGATTGTCCAGGACTTACAGCCATGTGTTAAAACTGGATGTATGTAGCAAGCAAGAGTTCTTTTTCTAACCTAGAATGACAAAGATAAATTGCATAAGATGTTCTTTATTTTATAAAATGCAGTTTTTGCCTGTCCTATTCTGTTTCTTATTTCAGTAATGCATCTTCCATCTGATGTTATCCTTGTGCCCATATACTTAAATTTCTGTACTTGTCCCAAAATAAAACCATTGACTTTTATTACACATTTTTTATTACACCATTACTTCTGTCTTCCCACTATTCAAACTGAGGCCCATTCTTCCACTTTCGTGTATAAAATAGATCTAAAAAGAAAACATCCATAATGTCAAATGTACACTAAAATTTTACTTCACAAAATGTAGTACAGAATAGTAAACATTTAAAAACATGTTATGTTTTGCATCCTTCAGTCAGTCAGTCTGTGGTAACTAATACAAAGGAATTAAGGTTTTCTTAGTTTTTTAACAAGTAACTAAACTTGTAAATTGTCACTGACAGCTTAGTTAATCCATGAAAGCTTTAAAAAAAAATTATTGTTCCATGTTGTCAGCATTAAGGCAGCTTCTTGTCTCACAGAAGGTATTTCCAGCTGTACTAAACAGACGTTCACTTGATAAGCTCGTAGGTGGTGCACAAATATAACGCTTGACAGTATGAACTAAGGTGGGAAATCTTGATATGTTTATTTTCTACCAGTCCAGAAACAGGTGTAAGGTAACCACTATTCGTATTCAGCCCGACCGCAACTATTCGGCCGAATACGGAATAGTTATTAGGTCCACTATTTGGCATCAAAGTGGATAGGAAGCGAATATTCGGTACAGCCCTAATATATTTCACAGAGTGTGAATAAACCAAAGTATCGATCACCTGTTGGACTGTGAAAAGCCTAGAACTTGATTCATCAGCCGCTCGTTTCATTGTGAATTTTCATAATTTTTCCACGTAAAACAACACAAAAATAATCCACACATGCGGGTAGACATTTGCAATGTCTAACAAAGAAGATTGATAACGACTGGGTGGTTATTTTTAGTCCGCGACACATCGTTTTCCCTGACTACGCAAAAAGCTGAAAATTAGGGCCAGCAGTATAGAGACTGGTAAAGAAATCCCCGGTAAACCGGGCCAGCGGTCTGGTAGCGTTAATACAGCTTATTACATGTTAGTCCCCTAGAGAGACTATTTAAGATTTTCTTCAGGTCTTTTAACTCTTTGAGTCCCCGGAAACACAACATGAGCTAATTTGTTACAACCGGGCAGCCGAATTGACACATCACAAATGAAGGTTTTTAAGCAACCACTGACCAGTAATAAAACACGGACCGCTTAATTTCAACTTCCTTTAGAGTTCTTTGAGTCTGATATCGGGCGTTCTCATTTAGAAATGTGGTTTGAAAGCCGAAAATATTGTATATTTGCAAGGTTTGCCGAGTTACTAAGTGTTTGTTTGAAAATAATATGGCCGCCAAGCAGTATTTTACGTGCATGCCAACATGATTTACGGCTTTAGAAGCCTCAAACTTAGATAAACAACGTGTTTATTAGATTTATCTGAAGTTAGATAACGTTGCGAATTAGACGTGTATCAGTCATTTTTAGAGTCAAACTTTGATGAGGAATATGTCTAATAATGTGTACCTCACGCAAAGGGTTTAATGATAGCAAAGTCGGCTGGCACAAATAGAATAAACATAAGTTAAAAGATGATTTTCTTCAGCGTCAGTTAGTTCTAGTTCTTTTCCCTTTGTTATTTAGGAGCGTAGCTACATAGTTACAGGCAAATTGAGTGTTATATAAACTTCGTTTTGCGTAAAGATACTTATTGTTTTGTGAGTCAGTTTTCTTCACCAAATAATGGTGCTCTGTTATGATGCTTCAGAAGATTCTCTGGAACAAAATCTAATTAATGTATAGATTGAGTTTATTTTTTACTTATTCATTACTAAGTGGTTCGATATTTAATTACTGACACAATTATTTGTTGTAGCTGTATTCTATAATAATTCCTCAACAATCCCTGGTCACTTTGATGCATAATATGTGTATGTTGCGAGGCATTTGAATTAGTTTGGTCTGTTTTAATGTGTTACACTTGTGAAACTTAAAATTTGCATTGCCTCCCCTTGGGCCTCTGATGATAAACCCTCTGGGACTCAAAGAGTTAATCATGAAATAAAACTGTCAAATATTTTCAGTGTACCAATGCTGTCATTAGATCTTATTTTCTCAGAGTGGCACCTCTTAGACTTTTTTTACATTTCATTGTGTGCCAATTTTATCAGTTTTCAGATTTCAAATATTTACCAGAGGTTAACTGTCTAACACTGAAAATAATGTAACTTAAAAAAAATGTCATAAAAGCTGTGAGGTGTTACATGTAAACAGAAGATGAACTGCAAAGATATTGGATAGCTGTAGGCAAATTAAAATCTTCAAACAACTCGCTGTGATGGGCCATCGGGTAGAAGTTAAACAGACACACATATCATTATAACTGTCAGCCTTTTATCAAGTGACATGATTTGTTTGGATATGTCAGTTTCAAAATGGGGATAATTATCATATTCGTTATATTTTTAAATGTTTCCATTATAATTGATATTAATCTTTTTAAGGTCAGCTTGACATTACTTATGTTTTATCATCCTATAAAATGCTCTAAACTTAGTAAATGGGCTTATCTCTAAAAGGCTCAGAAACTTATTTAATGGGCTTAAATGATACAAGAATGTAACTAAGCATTCACACATTTACGTTTAACTGGAATCTATATGCTGTTATTTTTGTGTGTGGGTTATTTACAAATGCATGTGTTGGCACATATTTCTTTTTACTTTTGCACTGCAGGAATCAACTCTGGTTCAGATACACTTCTTTTCGAAGGGACAGAACTGAAACTAGACCCAACTTGCTCTGTCTTTATTACTATGAATCCTGGGTATGCAGGCCGGTCTGAACTGCCTGATAATCTAAAGGTAGATTGTTTATTATATTAATTTTAAGGTTGCCATTTTGTAATACTGTACCGTAGGAGATTCTTCAAGAATACTTGGATATGCTGATGACATTGATATCATTGGAGAAAATGAACTAGAAACTGTTAAAACACTGACTCTTAAAAGAATCAACTCAGAAAATGGGACTAGTTATCAGTCAAGATAAGACAGAACACATGATAATAACTAGACAGGGAAAGGATATAGACTGAGGTCACATACAAGTCGATAATATGAAAATCAAACGTACGGAAACATATAATACTTGGGTGCAAACTTCAGCTGCTCCAACATGCTAAGAGAAGAAATACAATCTGGAAATAAAGTATGCTATGCCCTTCAACTTCTGCTAAAGTCAAAGTGTCTATTATGCAACACCAAGATCAAAATATAGAAAACATTGATAAGACTAGTAGTTTTATACTGCTCTGAAACTTGGAGTCCAACTAAAAGAGATGAAGCCTTATTACAGGTTTTCAAAAACAGAATCTCACGGTGAATCTTTGGACCTTCAAAGATGCAAATAGCGGGGAATGGAGAGTGAGAATCAATAACGAAATTCGTAATCTGTTTAAATTACCACTGATCACTGGCATAATGAGAGCTAATAGACTGAAATGGTTGGGGCATATTGAAAGAATATCAGATGACAGAGAAGTACAAATTAAACATAACGGAGAGGAATGGTCGTACACCGCAAGGCAGACAAAGAAGATGATGAAGAGATAGACCTGCAAACACTTGATGTCATCAACTGGAAAGAGAAGACCAACCAGAAAGATTAATGGAGGCAGGTGATATCTGCAGCAATGAACCTCAAAGGCTCAGAATGCTGAAAAAGAAGAAGAAGATTTTGTAATACTATGTTAGATTCTTTAATATCAGTATATAAGATGTGGCCCACATGTATTGAGAGGAATTGTCTTCTAAAACTACTGTTCGTTACACCTCATAGTGAACACCATAACTACATACCATAGTTCTGTTTATTATGTAACACCACCAGGATTTAATGGTTTCATGATTTAATGGTTTTCAGTCAGTGGTCCTAGAATACAATTATTTTTTGCAAGTGAAGATTCACGGTGCCATGGGATAGCAAAGAGTAGAAATTAATTTGTGTGGAAATAAACTGCATTTTGATAGTGCTACCATAAAGCAGTCTAATATGCGTTGGTGACATACTCGCTTTTGAGCAGGAAAGAAAGATGTGGATGATTATGCCAGTAGTAGTCCTTTGACTGCCAGAACAGACAAAAATAGTGAATTTCTTTATTATGTGCTGCCAGAATACCAGCACATTTGCTGATAATTTGAATGTTAGTAGAGAGACTGCAGAATACTATTTAGGTGTTTTGGATTAGTCATTGTAGAGAATTGAATGAGAACAGCCAGAGTTAGAACAGCCAGATTTTAATCCAGTGAGTAGCTCCTGTCATAGGTGTTTTTAGCAGAATTTACTATCACCTGAAGATCCCCTGTAATCTCTCCCCCCCCCCCCCCCCCCCCCTTTCATAGTAAAGATTGACATGGCTCAAAAGACTGGTGTCTATGGTAAATGAAAGTGTTAGGTCGCAGAGTTCAATGGAGAGGAGGAAAGTCAATCAGAACTGACAACTCAAATAAATTGAAGTATAGGATGAATTCCCAGAATTTTCTGAATAAAAAACTATTCTTCAGAACAAAACTTGGGAATAATCAAGTCACAGTACATTCAGAATTGTAAATAGTTACTATTATCCAACAGATTCTTCTATTTCTTCTGTTTGCTTTTTGATTTACACCAACAGACAAGTTTTTGTGATAAACTTGACTGTTTTTAGGAGTTATCCAACAGATAAGTGTCAAGGCTGAGATGGTCATGGAATATTCATCTAAAGAATCAAAGAATGGTAGGGTCTTGATAAGGTATTTTAGGATACAGCCTTAGACTTACAGGGGTCTCAACTACTCCCTACTATTAGAACTCTCACCTGAATTATACAGTATATTAATAGGTTTTTTTACAGAGCCGATGGTAAGGCCTCAACGGTTTGGAATGTAGTAGCGAATAACTTGGCATTTGGTTTGGTATCTTAGTAGCAAACTAGGGGAAAATGTAATAAATTATGTGCTGTTAAATGCAGGTGTATATTTATTACTATTCCTGCACCTGTATTTATTTAAAGTAGGCATTTCCTCTAACCCGAAACATGCAGTTAACTCTTACAGGACTGAAGTGTTTGGTTTGTTTGTCACACTCTTTGTTCACAGTAATACACCATGTCATAATGCTGAAGTTGTAAAGGAGATTTTTCCCTCTTCTACACTTCATGCGCAAATGGAGAATAGGCCCTCAACCAACCCACTACAAGTCATCCTTCTCTTTGCTGTTAAATGCAGTGCACCCTTTGTCCTTCCCATATTGTCCCCTTCACTCACTAAATCCCTTTTGCATATATTTTTTGTTTCGGCTTCTCTTTTTTTCCTTTCCTTGTTATTCGTCAGTTTCTAGACTTTGGCTTTGTTCCAGGACCTGAGTTTTGCATGCACATCCGTTTGAAAGATCCAGCTTAATTGTATACAGACTGTTGGTTCCTTGCCTCCCAGGAAGAAGCACTCTGACTTTGAAGGAAGCACCCCTAATTAGTCACACACTCCCAGCCCCCCCCCCCCCCCCCCCCCCCCCCCCCCCCCCCCCCCCCCCCCCCCCCCCCCCCCCCCCCCCCCACCCCCCCCCCCCCCCCCCCCCCCCCCCCCCCCATTGACATACTTTTTTTACTAGCAGATGGTCTATTCCTTCTTCCCCTAAAATGGGGCTCCGTCATCCAGATATGAAGAATATATTTTGAAGAATAAAAATAAATTATGCCCATAAGAAGTTATGCTTGTTTTATAGCAGTCGTGTAAAAATTTGGGCTGCACATGTTTAGTGGAAGCATCATATAGTAAATTCATGTAGAAGCCAGATGGACAAACTAGAGCGCATACAGAACACAGCAATGCGGGTCATTCTGGGTTGCACTATAGACACTCCATGGTGTGTTTGCGATAACATCCTTGGTTTGCCGACTGTTGCAGGTAGGCACAAGGTGCTGCAGGTGAAGTCATATCTTAGGGTAGCTGCAGACACAGACCCCCCTTTGCACGAAACTCTGGATGCAGTTAAGGGTCAGCAGCTGATAAGAGGGAAGTCATGGATGGCTCAGGCATAAGACACAATCAGACATGTTTGCATCCTTGAGAACATTAGGCGAGGAGAGGAGTGAGTCAAAGTGCCACCTGAACAGTCAGACTTGTGTAGGGTCATAATCACACTGAGCCGGGAATGCAGAGACTGGCCAGCAGGTGCCACAGAGGTGGAAATTCAGCAATTCATTCAAGATAATGCTCGCTCAGAAGATTTGATCATTTACACAGACAGTTCAGTGTCAAGAGGCAAAAGAAGTGGGTGGGGTTTTTAAGCAAAAGTTAATGGTCGACGTTTGGTGCAGGAGAGCCTGGCATATGATACCAAAACATCCAGCTTAAGAATGGAGGTGGAGGCGGTCACTGCGGCTTTTCGCTGGCTAGAGTACATGACACACACACACACATTGTGATTGTAACTGACTCAGAAAGCATGCTGAAGAAGATCGGGACAGGCATGCTTCGTGCAGAGTGGCATGCCTCGCTGCGGAAGACACGGGTGAGGAGTATTGTCTGGATTTTTTCACCAGGGTTTGCCGGTATGTTGAGAAATGAACAGGCCGACAGACTGGCTGGCTCTGCACAGCTTGGTGGAATACTGATGCATTATAGGGCAGACAGGGTTAGTGCCTTGTGGGAGAGCTTGTACAGTTGGGAGGAGCAGATTGATCACCACAGTGTGGTGAGATTGATGCAGTTGGAAGTAACGAGAGGATCTGGCAGATGCTCGAGGCTCAGAAGAAAGGCAGGATGGACGTTTAATCAGAATGCTACTGGCACCATTAGTATCGGAACTCTTCGCTGGCTGCTGAAGATGGGGACGGAGCACTTATGGGAATGCCCCGAGTGCTGTGATGTCGGTTCTTGAATCAAATCAAATCAACGTAGAAGCCTGCTTATGTGGGGAGAGTTGAAGATAAATCTGATTTTCCAGATCCCTATTTAATTTTAGTGTCGGTTGGGAACAAATTGCAGGCTGCACCATCTGAGCTTATATCATCAATGTGGATTTGGATCTGTAAAATCAGTTACACTGGACAGTCTGGTTATAAATATTCCAATATAAGATGATCTGTACACCAACCTCACGCTGATAGATTGATCTTCATTGTGTTTTTGGACAGACAATATTAAGTTTTCTATTCCCTTTACGCTGTTCGAAAGGAGGACTGTCATCTGTGTAGTGAAGTATGACCTGACATTTGCTCATAGGTCTATCTTACCCTGCCTGACATCTGTCTGAGGTACCTGGGTATCAGTTTTGATAGAAGCCTATCCTTTAGGAATCATGTGGAGGCAGTTGCAGTGAAATGCCAAAAAGGACACAATGCTCTCAAGATTATGGCAGCAATAGGCCTGGAACAAAGAATGCTGTTCACATTGTTCCAGCATGTGATCCTGTTGGTGATTGACTATGGGCTTGGAATGCTTGTGACTTGACGTGTCTCTCGCATGTCTTTGTTAGGGTTTCCCTTAGTAATCACTGAAGTGACTTAATGTTAGGTGGTGGCTCGCATTGGTCTAGAAGGTACTCCGTAGCTCCAATGACCATCTAACAGTGGTGAGGGGACTCAAATTATGATTCCCACTGCAATAATAAATATACCTGGGCACAACTTGGCCTGACTTCCTCACCACTTAGAAGCTCCCAGACTAGATAGCAAACATGTCATAGTCAAAATATAACACAGCTATGAATCTGACTAAACAACACCACATTTACAAACAATCTAACCTAAAGAATTAGAAAAGATTGTTGTTGCTTTGCCAATGGGTATCATAATGTTGGATCTTCCTGAGAGTCAGAATTGCTACCCAGATAGGAAAGAGTTAAGGTGAAGGAAACATTAAGATAATTCTCATTTGTTGGCTCAAAATACAGGATAAACTTACTAGAACAATAAGACACTGACATTCATTGTTTTTTTAGACATTTTAGGAGAGGGAGGGCACTCGAGAATTTATTAACTACTGAAAACTTTGATGAAATGAGAGCAAGAAGAAGGTAAAGAGATAAATTGAAACAGTGAAGATACAGACAAAAAACTGCACAATTTAATACCTGTCATGTTTTGCTACATCTCATTAAGTGCATATTACAGTAACAGTTGATTAAAATGAAGTAAATAAATGAATCTTTCGAAAACACAAAATCAACTGCATTAAAAAATGTTTCACCATGGTAAATGCGAGGTGAAGAGCATGTTTGCATAATTCTAATTCAGGACTAAACATTTTATAGCTGCTGGTTCTCAAAAATCTCTAGTTGGCTAAAGTGTAAATAATTCAAAATGCATCTTCCTTATTTACAATGTTCCCAGAATTCAAAATATTGTAGTGTGTTGCTGGAACAAATCTTTCTGGCATGGTTGAACAATAAAGAGATAAATGCCTGGGTGGCCTGGCCAGGTGGATTGGGGCCAAACAAAAACATTGAATTGATCCATAATTCTGGTGATTGTGTGAGGTGGCAAAACATGACAGCCTACGCTTACCAGCATGGCACACGATGATGATACAATGGTTTTCTTGGTCAGAAGCAACGTTTGCATTTCATTCAATTTATTATTTTCTGTCAGTTGTCTAAGACTAAAGATGGCATTTGTGCTTCTCTTGTTTTTCCCTAAATCCTAGCTGTATTCACTTAGCTGGGGTCATTTATCTGTCTAAATACCTATGTTAGTCATAAACAAAAGGAAACATCTAGAAGTAATTAGCTTAATACTTTCTTGTTTAAAAAAAAAAAAAATTTGTGTTACTAGATTGTTTCTACTGTTTCAGCATAAACAGAAGTAAAGTCTTAACTATATTTCAACAGTATATATCTCTCTCTTTTTTCTTTTTTAATACAGGCTTTATTCAGAACAGTGGCTATGATGGTGCCAGATTATGCACTCATTTCAGAAATTTCATTATATTCTTGTGGATTTGTGATTGCACGACCATTGTCTGTGAAAATAGTTGCAACATATCGATTGTGTTCTGAACAACTGTCATCACAAAGCCACTATGACTATGGAATGAGAGCAGTAAAGTCTGTGCTTACTGCTGCTGGAAATTTAAAGGTCAGCTGTTGGATTTTTGTTGTTGTTTGCTTTTGTTTTGTTGTGTTTGTTTGTTAATTTAACCTATCAGTCTCACTAACTGAACCTATTAATCTCACCTTGTGCTATGGCCAGACTAATAAGCATCTGATTAACCCTGTTGCCAAGAGAGCAGTTTTCTGACTTTTGCAGGTTTTTTATGACATGGCATTTTTGGGCAGTGATCCCTATACCTGTATAACAGCTTTAGTACCTGTTTCAACTGCATAGTGTATCCACATAGTGGGCTTGATTATTTTTACCAAGAAATTATTTAAGATATAATGTGGGGTGGTTCATTTTATTATTATTATTATTATTATTTTTAATTGTGATGTCACAGTGAAATCACCATAACCTCACAATGCAGTCACTTTGCTTTATGTAGTTGTGTCAACAAACACCAGTTTTCATGAAAGGGCATGTTAAAATAGCTGGGCAATAAATAATAAAAACAACAATTTCATTAAAAAAAAATAATAGAGGTTTCAATGATCACTCATTTAAGCTCCTGATCAAGTATTTAAAGAAGAAGACTATAATCTTGTGCCTCCCTCTAATTTCTTTGCTTAAATTGATGCACATAATATTTAATTTGATGCTTTATGAGGTTTTCTTAATCTTGAAAAACTTAAAACAGAGGTAAGTATTTTTTTTTTAAATGCCCACCATAAAAAGGATGAACACATGACCAGCAGATAAAGATGTTAACCCCTGCATTACTGCTGTTCCAAATATAGCTTTTATTTTAAAAATTGATAACAGAATATTTAACTCAGTATGGTTCCAAAATAACAGTGCACAAGTTCTTAGACATTTACAGACAGCTCATCAATTTCTAATTTGTTGGCATCAGATCTAATATGTTTACTTTTTTGTGTACTCTGTGGCTGGATCTTTGTCTGATATCTGATACTTGGTCCAAAAATAATATGTTTAGACTGTTTGATATTATTTTTATGAATGTTATGACTACTTATTTATTATGGGTATACTATAAATTAAAGTTTAAGTAAATCTGGTTTCACTCATCACTATTTAGCTGGTCCTTTGCAGAAAGTCGCCTTAATCACAGTTTGCCTTGAGAAAAAAGAAGAAAAAAAACTAGGTCTCTCGCCAGCTCTTGTCTCATGCACTTTACTATTTAGTTTGTCACTTATACCCTGTGCTTATCTTTGTGCTGGTTAACCCCCCCCCCCCCCCTCCCCCACCCCTCTTTCCCTGGTACTATGCCTTCTGCTATTATTCTTTCCAATCCACTGTGGAGCTTAGTATGGCCAAGATATTTCAGTTTTCGAGACAAGATGCTTTTTACTAGCCAATTTTCCTTGATTTTCAGATATTTTAGGATGTCAGTATTTCCTTTCTTCTTAGTCCACGATATTCTGAGAATCTTTCTATAGAATTTCATCCCCAAAACCCCTATTTTCTTCCTTAATGACTGTGACATGGTCCATGACTCACATCCATATGTTGCTTCAGGGAAGATGCATGCTCTCAGAATTGTGATCTCTGTTTCCTTGCTAGTGTAATAGGGTGACGTCATCACTTGTTAGTCAGGAGGTAGGATTTTGCGTATTAGTTGAAGAGACCAAAGTCAACAGGTCTTAGCAATCCGGACATTCTTTTCTTGAACCATCGTTTGTTTTTTAGCAGAGAGTTATTCGCAAATGAATAATCTATGAATAGTATCTAAGGAAACATTTTACAAACTTGCCCTAACAAAAAGAATGCAGTAGTACCCTTTCTAGAAGTCTCCCAGAAGGCCAACTATCAATGTAATTGGCCTATTTTGGTGCAGAGTTATCAGGACCATCTTTCACCTCGTCTATATTCTTCAGCTGACTCCTCCTGTAGCAAAACAAAAGATGAACCTGGGTGTGACATTAACGTACGCAAAGCAGACATCTGTGCTACACTTGTGTTTATAATATAATGTTATTGCTGCTAGTTTTAGTAGCTGTGTAGAGCATTTAGACACATTTTATTTAGTTATTAGTTATTTATTTGTATTTGTTTTAGCTGAGGTATCCAGAAGAGGATGAAAATATATTGATGCTGAGATCAATCATTGATGTCAATTTGCCAAAATTTCTTAGCCAAGATCTGCCTTTATTTGCTGGTATAACATCTGATCTGTTTCCGGGAGTGAAACTGCCTGAACCAGATTATATTGTTCTCAATGAAAATGTAAAAGCTGCCTGCTCAGAATTCAATTACCAGTGTACGCCATTTTTCCTAACCAAAATTCAAGAGGTAGGCAAAAACAGTGACATATATGTTAGTGTACATTTTCATTTTGGTGCAGCCTAGGACAGATTGCTTTTAAAGGAAAAATTGCATCATGACATCAATAATTCTAATTTGTTGTGCATTTCCATGCGTTGTCAACTATTGCAAATAGGCTAAAGGTGCTGCAGGCTAAGTCATACCTCAGAGTAGCCGCAGTCAAAGAACACCCTCTGTATGAAGCTTTGGCTGTAGGTAAGGGTCAGAGGCTGAAAAGGGGGAAATCGTGGATTTCTCAAGCAGAAGACACAATAAGACAAGTATGCATGCTGGAGAACATTGGGCGAGGAGAGGAGTGGGTAGAGTACCAGAGGAAAAGTCTGACCTGTGTAGGGTTGTGATCACATTGGGCCGGGGGAGCAGAGAGTGACGAGCGGCTGCTATGGAGGTGGAAGTCCAACAGTTGATTCACGACAATTCACGCCCAGGTGATCTGATTATCTATACAGATGTTTCTGTCTTGAGAGAAAAGAAAAGTGCCTGGGGGTTTGACGCAAAAGCTAATGGAAAATCTTAAGTGCAAGACAGCCTAGCATACAACATCACAACATCTAGCATGGAAATGTAGGTTAAGGCGGTAACTGCAGCTCTCCGGTGGCTAGAGAACAAGATGCATATGCATGTTGTAATTTAAACAGACTCTAAAGGCATGCTGAGAAAGTTGAAGACAGGAATGCTTCGAGCAGAGTGGCAAGCTTCACTGGAAAGGTCACAGGTAGTGAGAATACTTTAGATCTTTTCTCCAGGAAATGCCGGCGTAGTGGGTAATGAACAGACAGACAGATTGGCTGAATCTGCACCACTGAGTGGTGAATTGATACATGACAAGATGTGCTCCAGACCTTTTGGGAACAAGCATGGAATTAGTAGAAAAACATTATTTTTATTGCCTATAGAAAATAAGGCACCTGGGTGTAACCAGAGGGTCTGGCCAGCTCACTACACTCAGAGGAACAGCAAGACAGACATAAAACCAGATTGTGATTAGTGATTAGCAAGGATTGTCATCACAGCACTCTGGACAGATCCATAGGTGCGCTGATCTCCTCCTCAAAAGCTCCACAAGTGTAAAATGACTGATGACGCCTGTTCTGTGTTGGTTAATAAATTCACTGAGAGTGTTCCTGCTGTTTTTTCCTTGTTTCTGAGGGGTATTAACATCTTGCTGTCAATTAAAGTTGGAGAGTCTGACTATTTCAAACCAGCCCCCTCACTTGTATGTTCTGTTATCCCATAGAATGTTTGTTGCATCTGTTTTATAGGCAGTCTCCTTAATTGCATCCAGTTTTAAATGCGAGTTTTCCTGGATATTGGTAAAAGCGTCTTTGAGCTTTTGTTGAAAGCCAGAACATTTTTCAGAGTCTTTAGTTTTATAAATATGTAACCTGTTTCTTGGAGTAAAATTTTTTTTCATCTGAACTCTTGTAGCGTCGGCTCTGTGGCTAAGTCGATTCGAACGCTTTGTGATGCCGGGTCATGCGCCTTGCGTTGGTTTCGGCAGTGGTATCAAGAAAGCCGACCGTCCAGAAAGCAATGGCAAACTACTGGACGTAACTTTGCCTAGAAAAACCACACAACGTCTAGGGGCTGTTGAGGTTGGTTCTGCAATGTCCTGTAAAGGATACGCAACTAACCTAACTCTTGTAGCAGCTAAGGAATGGTCAGTGTCACAGTTAGCTCAGTGGTAGCCTCGAGTTAGTGATATTAAGTTCAGATGCTGCCTCCTTTTGCTAATAAGGTCCAGCTGATGCCGATAGCCAGAACTTGGATGTGCCCATGACACCTTATGATGGTCGTTAGTTTTTAAAAAGAAGTTAGTAATGTACAGCTCACTTCTAGTGCAGATTTCCAGTAGTCTTTGCCAGTTTTCATTCATGCGACATATGTTTTCCAAAGCCACGAGTTTGAGTCTGACCCCATTAAAATCACAAAGTATATAAATACCTTTAGATTCATGAATTGCTTTCACCGCATTAAGCAGTTCCTCATGAAAAGAATCCTTTGCAACCTCAGTGTATGTTAGTGTGGGTGCTTGTGTGGTAACAGGGGTGGTAAAGACCACTTGAGATAAACAATCATAGGGAGAGAATGCGCTGGTTTTCATAAAGAGTGTACAAACTTTCTCCAAGTAGGATGACCATAATATTTTGACACGTGGTCCTGACATTCCATGTGGCATGCCAGAGCTTGAAGTTATGTTTATACTAAATAAATATATACACAAACACACACACACACACACACACTATGTTTAGACTATATTTATAATATTACTATGCAAATACAAATAGCAGACATGCCCATGGACATTAACTCTTTTGATATCAAACAACTCGCGATATATGTTGCTGAGTCAATTCAAAGATAATAAAAGCTTCTTGCTGTGTCTAATACAGACAGTTGTTATGTTGATCCTTCTTATTTGAATTATTAGGTTAGCTACTTAAATCCTGTATTTGTTCAGAAAGCATCAATGAAGATTTACTAGTTTATGGTATGCTTGAAAGTACAAAACAAAAAGAGAAGATGTGGAACATTTTTTTTATAACTAGAAGACTGGAATAGAAAAAAGGCATGTAGATTTTGTATGGATGGTGTATCAGCTATCCTAGAGTCTGAGACTATTTACAAAAAAATGCTTGCTCCCTAGGTAGGATGATTTATATTTTGAGCTGAAAATGGGATATCCCAAACAAGTCAGCTTAGCCCCCGACCACCCAACCATCCCAATCCCATGTGTGACATTTTTTAATGTATGTGGTTTAATATTATTATTCTTTATTTGTTTATAAGCCTGAACAATAGAGTAGCCCATTCCTGGAAGTGTTGATAAGATAAGGATGATTTCTGTCTAATTGAAAGTCCAGAGTTGTTATTATACATACTGCTTTTAGTTTTGCTAAAGGAAAAAGTAATCATTAGAAAGGTTTTTCCAGATCTATGAAATTATTTTTCCAGATCTATGAAATGATGATTGTTCGTCATGGATTTATGATTGTGGGTGATCCTATTGGTGGAAAAACGTCAGCATACAGATCTTTAGCAAATGCCCTTGGAAGAATTAAAGAACAGGTTTTAACAGCTTGCTTATTATGTTTCCGTTGACTGTTTTTATGTGTCATTAATTAGTGGTAAAATCTTAACATAATCAAAGAATAAATAAACATGCTAACATGTTTTAACTGATTATGAAGTTTATGTATAGGACTAAAGAAGAAAAAAGATAAGTATAAAGTCATTGCTTAATTTTTTGCATTACAAGTCAGCAATCCAATCAGAACCATATTATACCCTAAAATGAATGCTCTGGAAACAAGCTGCTTTACTGCAGTCTCTTCGGACTGATTAGAGAAAGCAAAACTTGTAGTGTAGAATCTGCGTCGGTTTGTTCAAAGAACTGCAGATGTCACAGCTTCACTGCAGTGTCCTTGAGAGGACCCCCCCCCCCCCCCCCCCCCCAAAAAAAAGATCAAATCTGTCCTTTTTAGTCAGAATAAGATTAAAAGAATAACTACACTTTTAAATGATATTTATAACAGTGGGTATATTCCAAATGACCTTTTAAAATCCATATTTATAGCTCTGCCGAAGAAACCAGGCACTTTAAAATGTGAAGACCATCGCACAATAAGTCTTATGAGTCACATGACTAAGATTTTACTGAGAATAATTATGAGAAGAATAAGAAACAAAATTAAACCAGAAATAAGCGATGAACAATGTGGATTTGTAGAAGGAAAAGATACAAACAATGCCATATACATCCTAAGGACATTGTCAGAAAGAGCTATAGAAGTAAAGACTGATTTGTACTTATGCTTCATAGACTATACAAAAGCATTTGACTGTGTGAAGCATGAAGAAGTAATCAAACTGTTAGAAAAATTAAACATTGATGGGAAAGATCTAAGAATAATAAAGAATATGTATTAGCAGCAAACAGCAGCTATAAGAATTAACAACTGTTTAGGTACATTTCAAAGCATAAAGAGGGGCGTACGACAAGGATGTGTACTTTCACCTGATTTGTTTTCAATATACAGTGAATATATTATGAGATCTTTAATTGATATGCCCGGAATCGTGGTTGGTGGGCACAATATAAACAATTTACGTTATGCTGATGACACAGTCTTGATAGCAACAAGTCAGAAAGAATTACAGGAAATGATAGACATTGTTGTGTTAGAAAGTGGAAGAATGGGCCTCAGTTTGAATAATGGGAAGACAGAAGTAATGGTGGTATCAAAGAAACAAATTATTCCTAAATGTGTAATAAAAGTCAATGGTGTTATTTTAAGACAAGTACAGAAATGTAACTCTTTGAGTCCCAGGGGGTTTTGCACCAGAGGCCCAAGGGGATAATATGATTTTGACTTTTAACAAATTCAGCACTTTAAAACAAGCCACACAACTGCAGCTGATGTCCAACATACACATATCACACATACAATTAAACATAAATGGATAAGGATTAATATTAGCATACTGCTACAACAAACAGTTATACCGTTCGTTAGTTTTTAGTAGAGAAAACAGTGACTTAGTTTGAGAGGTGAGTAAATTATGAACAAGTTTTTTCCACTTACCTAGAAGCTGATCCCAAAATTCTTGATATAGTATATCCAAAATGCATCACAAAGGAAGGTAAACCACTTATAAGTATGCACAGCCAATATTAAAACAAAATGTGCAATAGTTGTTGTTCCATAGCAATTTTAAAAACACTACCATAACACATCAAAATATATTCTCCAGTGGCACAAACAGTGAATTTTCTAAAAACAATTGAATTCCTCACATAGAAAAAAACTGTAAAGGCACTGTAAACATGTCAATCTGTTCATAGATATATATCTATGGTTTAGGATGATATGGATAGTAGTACTAGAAGCGCTGACATTTGGATTAGCTGGTGTCGCGTTACGAGGTGCTTCTCTTGTGTTGCCATGGCAGAATTAGTCAGTTTTGTCCTCTTAGCAGGAGGTAAATTACGCATACATCCTCATCAAAACTTGACTCGTCAACGGTTTGGGGAAATTTCACGTTTCTACTATCATTATCCAACTCCACATTACTTTAATCGATCCACTGTTTTATCAAATTTGATGATTCTAAAGCAGTAAATCGCTTTGATGGGCGTGAAGACGATGACTGATTGGACATATTGTTTTCAGACAATTGTTTGGTAACGTAGTAGACCACACAAATATTGATTTAAAGCGTTAAAAACTCACCAGACCCAAACGAATTTACTCCACGTGTGTTCACTACACACTTGAGAACCGGAAAGGAAGTTTAAATTGAGCGGTTCGCGTGTAATTAACGATAAGTGGTAAATTAAAAACCGTCACACGTCATGCGCTGCTTGGGCCGCCAAGTAGTAAAAAATGAGCGCGTGATGCGTTCCTTGGGACTCAAAGAGTTAAGTATCTGGGCACATGGATAACATCAGATGGAAGATGCATAACTGAAATAAGAAACAGAATTGGACAGGCAAAAACTGCATTTTATAAAATGAAAAACATCTTGTGCAATATATCCTTGTCATTGAGAGTTAGAAAAAGAATTCTTGCTTGCTATATACATCCAGTTTTAACATAAGGATGTGAATCCTGGACAATCGGTAGGCAGGCCAAACAATTTTTAGAGGCCTCAGAAATGTGGTTTTACAGAAGAATGCTTAGAATACCTTGGACAGCCAAAAAGAGCAACCAAGAGGTTTTAAAAGAGGCGGGAGCCCAAAGACAACTTATCACTGACAGTCATAATTTTTCGGCCATGTTATGAGAAGAGGGAAAATAGAACATGTTGTGACCACTGGAAAGATCTGTGGAAGGAGGGATAGAGGAAGACAGCGAGAGAAGATGCTTGACAGTCTTGTTGCATGGCATGGAGGTATGTCGGCAAACGAACTGATACATGCTGCAGGAGATCGCGGATTATGGAGAGGCATGATCGCCCACGCCAGTCGGCAAGGCACCTGATGATGATGATGAAGATTAAAAGAAACCTTGTTATAAGAAATATCCATTAAATGTATGTCCTTGTCCTTGGGGTGCATTTTTGAACAGATGCAAGATACAAATTTACAACTGTAACTACATTAGTTAATTATTAGTCAGTTATAGGGCACTAGAACAGAAAATAACTATATGTGAAATGCACTGTCTCTGCAAGGTCATTAACAACACAAGAAGAGACATGGCTACTAATACCAGCATTAGTGAGTAAGAACATGTCTGGATTATATTGACAGACAAAGAATGAAAGGATTCAGCCATCTAGTGAGATTGCAGCCAGACCAAACTGTATATGACACTTTTTGCAGCAAAACGTCTGGGAGGAAGGCGAGAGGAAGACCAAGAAAGATGGTGTAGCTGAAACCTGCAAAAAGTTGAACAAATCCATCACCCAAACCACTTGAGAAGGGCAGGACAGATACAGAAAACCACAACACTGGACTACAACCTGGTATCAGCAAGATGATAGAAGAAGAAAAAGACTACAATCAGAGTCACTGCACATGACACATTCCAGTGGTTACCAAGGCTGATGACATAAAACATTAGATGTTTGAGTCAGCATCCTGCCTGTAGCCACTTGCTAGACATTCCAGGCCTCTTTCTTAGTTTGCAGGCTCTACAGAATATTTCCTGCATTAGAACTGTCAGTAACCCAGGAAGACTAACCTGATCATCAGATGCACACTGCTGTGAACAGATACAACACTGTTATATCCAAACCAAAAAATACCAGATCAACAAGGGCAATGAAGGGGTAGTTTTAATATTTATCTTTTTGAAAATGACAAATTCCCCCTCTCCCCCTCCCCCCTCCAAAGAAAGAAATTGTTGTTTCTGCATATGTTCATTGTATATTAGGTTCTGGATGAATAATGAAAATCTTGTAAGACTTTATCACATACGTTTTTAAATAACAGCACACATGTTCTATACAAGCAGTATATCTCATCCCTAACTTTCATTTTGATTTCCAGGATCTGATGGAAGAAAATCGAGTAGAAATTGTTATAATTAATCCCAAAGCTATAACAATGGGCCAGCTATATGGACGATTTGACCCTGTGTCTCATGAATGGTCAGATGGTGTTTTAGCAGTATACTACAGAAATTTCGCTGTTTCTAATGTAAGTTTTTATTTTTTGAATCCTCATTTTGCCACAGATCTTTGTTCTACCGTAATGATATGTGGCTCGCTGTACAAGCCTGTGACATACAATCTGTTCTAGAAACTGAACACTTACCGAGCACACACAACAATCTTTAATGCAAATCACAGACTAACAGTAGGACGGTTGACTCCGAGAGGTGTGAATACCTTTACCCAAAAAGCCGGACGTGCTAGCTTCCTCAGCTCACTAGACATGCCTTCCTGTTCCTATGGCTAACATAAAGGTCCCAAACCCACACTGCTCCTGATACGCTCTTAACTTATGTCCCTGAACTCCACCAGGATCATGTTGTCGCTGTAAAGTGCGGAGACAGTGTGCATAGGATAGACAGTATCACAACAGCCAGTCCAAAACCAACTCTGATAACCAAAATACCTCAACGCTACTTACATGACACATTATACAAGATATCACTACCGTCAAATCCTACAGAAACACAGCAGAACTATAATATCCTAAACGACTCACAATTATCACAGGCTATCACTATAGTATCACTACGATGCTAAGATTCTAAATCATCACCACCCAAGCTGCCTTCTCTCTATCGTCTGATGTCCGATCCCCTGTGTCCGATCCTCAGTGGATTTGTAATTCGTAGTGGCTATTTCATCTTCAAAATTAAAAAAGAAATTAAAAGTTATTATCAGTCAGGTTAATCCTTCTAATTAACATTTTTAAGTGTTATTCTTGGCTTGAGTTTTAATATTACCTTCCCATACTTTCTAGCGAGTCAGTTAATAAAACCGAGGGAGGGCGTCCCTCAGAGCAGTGTAAAAGCACTGAGTGTTTTCCTGATTTGCATAATTGACCTTACTAAATTTTTTCAACAACAAGTATCCAACATTCTACATATAGATGACTTTCCACTTCAGGCTGACATAGATAACATTCTCAGCAGCCTCCTAGCTATTTCAAATGTCAACAGAGAAAGCAGAGAACAAGACAAAGAATTTGGGTATAACACTGAAGAAAACAGTTCCTACCACAACAGTCTATTCTCTCTCCCCACACAAAGAAAGAATATCCATAATGTTAAAAAATCAACCAATATTTCAGACATAGACACCCATATTGTTTTAGTTATCATTTAGACCATTAGACAGCCATGGAAGCAGACTTTGAAGGAAAACAAAATGTATTCAGAGGTAATTTAAAAGACCCTGTCACTTCTTATACTCAGGAATCAGTATCATTTTCATATCTGAATACATTTTTTCACACAGTCAATTTTGCTTAAATAAGTCACAAAAAGAGAGGTATGAGAATTTTCATTATAAATCATAATGGCAACACAGACACAACTAACAGTGTCACAGGAGTGGCATCAACACTTCTTTTGTTTATGCACTTAAATTACCCTAGGAGAACTAAATCATCTTATGCCCTGCACAGGATAACATCATCTTTGGATTATTTTTTTTTTTTTAACACACACCAGAAATGTTGTCCACAAGAACAGGACTAGTCCTGCACTGGACACTAGCCCATTTGTATCAACAGAAATAAAAATGCATATATAAGCTCATAAAGACTGCATGGTATCTCATACAGCTGAGCTCATCTTAACCCACTGTTAAGTTAACTCTTGCACTTTCCCAGATACCACATATTTTAGTGTGAACTAAAAAATGCCCAAGCTTCACAATTATTAAAAAAACACTTATCATATTTCATATTTTTGCAACAAATTAAATGGAGGAAAACAATTTTGTTTACCTTGTTTGACATCATCATATGGCAATAGATTGGTGCGAAAAAGGCAACAGAAAAATCTTCTATGTCAACCAAATTTTCTTCTTCTTCAGCATTCTGAGCAATTGCGATGCATTGCTGCTGATATCAACCGCTTCCACTTATCTCTCTGGCTGGCCTTCTATTTCCAGTTGATGACACCAAGTGCAGGTCTGTCTGGACATTATCCCACCATCATCTTCTTGGTCTGCTTCGTAGTCTACGACCATTCAACCCCCTTGTGAAAACAATTTTTACCTCTCTGTCATCTGACATTCTCTGAATAAGCCCTGGCCAAAAGGCGAAAGCTCATGCGCCGCTGGATCGATAACAACAACAACAACAACTGAATATGCCCCAGCCATTTTCAGTCTATTAGCGCTCAGTGATCAATGATTATTTAAACGGATTATGAATTTCTTTGTTTTGTTGCCTTATAATATTAAAACCTAATATTCGCATCCAACCACCTAGAAGATTTCAAGGAAAATGAATCTTAAAGTGCTGAAACCACGTACCAAGCACCTGTTTGTGGACACTGCTTCATTAGATAGGCAAAATGTGGAAAAAAGCTGGTGGATGCTCAAGGAGATAATCCATGAAATAGCCACATAAATCCTTTGGCGCCCCACCAGGAAACATTACGACTGGTTGTTATTAAAACTCAGAAAACATAAACAAACTAGCTGAGAAACATCACCTCCACCTAGCATATCTAAGTGATCTAAAACCTGCATCAGAGAAAGATGCCTTCAATAATTTATGGAAATCAGCACAGCTAAAACACTGCCAGATGAAAAACAACTGGTTGAGCAAAAAAGCAGACAAAATTCTGGCAGTTGCAGATAAGCATGATATAAAAAACTTTTATGATTCACTAGGTGCAGTGTCAATGACTTATTTATTGTATAATACACATTGCTCGTGTTGTAGGCCGAAAACAGATAAATCTGCTTAAAGACACATAAGCCAAACACCTGAGGAGCACACACTAAATCTTTAATGTACAAACCTTAAGAGCTGCAGATGCCCCTTATTCGAAACAAAAGCCATGCCAGCTTTATAATTACTAATCACGCCTGCCCGTTCCCATAAATAAGCATAGGGCTCAAACCCACATCACTCTCATACAGCGCTGTCCAAAGCCGCTGTTTCCAACACGAGGATTCTGAGGCGTATATAGAGTAAATGGCAGAACGTATGCGGGTAGATGCTAATGCCACAACTAATGTATTACAACCTTGACTAAATGTTTCAACAGAATCTACGTAAATAATTCTTACCCACACAGTAACACTACGAGACTGAATAACTTCGTCAAAGAACGTACAATACAAATTACAGCTATAAACTAATTGAAACACATTTTTAACAGTCACTACACTGGTTATTAACACGCTGTATTCTAACAGTCTGTTACACGATGTCACTGTCACAAAGTCTTACAAAATTCTCCCCTGATCTTACTCTGAGCAACACTTTTGTCTCTCTTGACCGTTTACCCCGACTTCGGGCAGCTCATGAATTTGGCCAAGCCTTAAACCTCAGTCCAGCTCAGTCACCACGACTTATCCCGTAGTCGGTCTGTCTGGTCTCATCCTGAGTTCATGTCTGGTCTCACCCTGAGTTCATGTATGGGTCACCTCGTACAGACATCCCATGCCTGTACAAACTTTGGGTTTGTTATAAGCACTGACAGAACTGAAATAATGTTCCAGTCATCCTCAGGAACAAGTCTACCTGAACCAAGCATCACAGTATAGGGCAAAACACTAAAGACAGTAGACAGGTTTACATATCTTGGCAGCTTACTTGCTCAGAAAGTTAACATTGATCTAAAGAAACGGCTGGAACCTACATCAGCATGACTGAAAAGACAAGCCAGGAAAGACACTGAAACAAATCACAAGTCATGTGGCTTCAATTCTTTGTCCACACTGCCCAAGAACTTTCAGTGCTTCTCAGCCATCTGCGCAAAACCTAATCCAGTCACCATGGTGGATTGCATAATGTGTGATTGTGGTAGTCAGTGGGTTAAAGATTTACAGCAGGAAAGAAACTGAAAACTTTCAAAATGAATTTTAGAAAAAAATTAAAAACAAAACAAAACTAAAACTAGACAGTAATAAAGCTTAACAGTTTGAAAAGGTTTGGCAGAAATAAGCAGCATGTTCAGACACTGAAAAAGACTCAGTAAACTCGGAGCAAACTTCTACCTTGTAGGTCTTGCTCACTTTGTCACATGCTGTTATTATGCACCAACACAAACTTATGCTTAAGCTTGACTTTAAGATCAACTAGACTGTTCCATCCATAGTAAAGAAATCTGGCTCACAAGACTGATCCTGCTAGACAAACGATAGGGCACTCTTCAAGTGCACAGTCCTGTTTATGACCCATATTACAATGATGCACAGCAAATGTTGATCGCTGAAAAATTAACTTTTACATATAACTTATTTTTATTAGTTTTCTTGGTGTAATGTAAATTAGCTGATTACGGTACAATTTCAAGTTTTATTGTTATATCTGATTATGTTTGTATAATTTCAAGTTTTGTTGTTATAGCTGATTATGTTTGTTTATATTCAAGTTTTATTGTTATAGCTAATTATGTTTGTATAATTTCAAGTTTTAAACGTTTAATTTTCACAATCCTTGACTATATTATGATTAGTGCAGACTGAGGACTATCAACATAGTACTCCAGACAGATCCAGTCTAATCGCAATCTCCTCCCATGCCAGACTAATCGATTGGTGCTCCAGTCTCCTCCAAAATAGCTCCCAATGCATACAGTGACTCATCATGACTATTATATGTTGAATAAAATAAAACACGTATTGTCTTTAAAGACTGTTCATGTCTGTCTGTATGCATTTGTGTCTATGTTTGTATGTAAACAAACATGATCATACTAGGTAGCTAAAGCACTGACCATATAAACATAATGATCTTCCTATTCAAGACTCCAGATCGCAAGTGGCTAATATTTGATGGCCCTGTTGATGCAGTCTGGATTGAAAATATGAATACCGTGCTTGATGACAATAAAAAGCTCTGCTTGATGAGTGGAGAAATCATTCAACTACTACCCACTACAAATCTCATCTTTGAAGCAATGGATCTTGAAGCTGCCTCGCCTGCAACAGTGAGTAACTATAGGAAATGTTTGATGACGCAATATTTAAAAGAATATATTAACTAATATGTTTTGATGAATGCATTAGCTAAATATTGCTAATTTTGTACACATATCTTTTTATCTCTAGGTATCCAGATGTGGAATGATTTATATGGAACCATCTACACTAGGCTGGAGACCATTGGTCAAGTCATGGCTTCATTCAAAGCCACCATTCTTTCTTGAGAGCATGAGGACTATAGTCAACAATTTGTTTGAACGTTTTGTCGATGCAGGCCTGTGTTTACTACACAAAGCTGGAGTCAAAGTTTGTAGACTAAAAAAGTTTTTTTTGCAGCATATGTCATATCTGTGTATCCTTTAGATACAAATATATCTGGAGGTGCATTGACTCTCTGGAATGTTAAAATATTGTGATAGTGGCTTGTATTGGTCTGTGTGGCAAACCCGCAGTTCCAGCAACCATCGAACACCACTCCATGGATAAGGTAACTCAAGTTATAGCCACCTAGTATCTTCCAGGGCACAACTTGGCTGAATTGAGTTGCGTTGAGTCAAGAATTGACATCACAGCACTTGGGGCATTCCCATGTCTGCTCTGTCCTCATCTTCAGCAGCCAGCGCAGAGTTCCAATACTAATGGTACCAGTCGAAATCTGGTTATATGTCTGTCTTGCATTTTTCCTGAGTGTAGTAGCTAGGCACCCTCACTACTTGTGAAGCCCCAAGGGTAGATAGTGTCACTATCCTACTTTGATACAGTGATTACAGTGCTTATTGAGAAAACAACACACACACACACACACACCTGCGTGCGCGTGCACACATACAGTTAAACACACAAACTGAATAAAAATTATCATTGCAATGAAGGACACCAAGTCTGTTTTGAATTTAGATTGAAACATAAAATAATAATATCACATCAGAAGGAAGCTCTAGTGGCTGAAGAAATAAGTGGACACACAAACAGAAGGACACAAAAAATAGCTCTGATAGTCAGACTATCCATTGGACTACCAAGGATCAGATGTCATGATCATCATGGCATCCACAACAATGTGTTTAACAGGTATAAACCTCTGGCACAACATTTCCGGATGGCTGTAACCTCAGGACCTGTAAAGTAGACTTATCTGACTGATTCCAGGGAAGACTTGAAACCTTCTTCTTTAAAGTCACAAAGTTGAACGTTACAAACAGCTCCCTTATTGATGAGAACCTGAACAGCATACAGTAATGAAGACACAGGAGCACCTCAGGATCTCCAGGCCTTGAAAAATATAGAATAAGCAACCTACACAAATCAATGTCAAGACAGAGTTCAAACTAGGATGGTCAAGCTGAAGATTGAATTCACATTCATGCTCCGACTACTCTCAGACTGGCAATAGGACAGTGCAACTCCTGTCGGCCACTACCATGGTTGATAATCATAATGAGCATACAAAGTGTCATGTCACCAAAAACACAGTCTTGATGAAAGTCTTTGGCAACCTAGGTAACTCCTTCTCTGCAAGGTAAGACAGTAGATACAAAGTCACAATACTCCTGGCACTTCCCTCTGATATATTGAAATTCTACACAAAAGTAACTTACAATCTGAATACTATGCAGGAACTCTAAAAGGTAGGCTAAATATTCACTAATCACACTAATGCAGAATATCATACATGAAGGCAGGAAGTAATTCTGTCCTAGAATATATTTCTAATGATCAGTGTCTATCTCCCCTTGCCAACTCATGATAGTGATCCTGCAGTATAATTAGGCACCTTCCTTCAAAAATGTTCCTTAGTTAATAATTCTAATGTTTGTAAAACTACAAGATAAATGTTGGACACTTGGGTTGCTGCTGATGGCTGACCCATACAGCTATGGTGATTAAAGGGTCACCTGATAATGCTGAATTAGGATTAATTTTCTAGATACCAAGTGTGGCAAGTGATCTCAGTCAGTCCTTGGCTGTACAGTTCAAATTGTAGATACCAAGTGTGGCACATGATGTTAGTCAGTCCTTGGCTGTACAGTTCAAATGATAAGTTATAATGGGATACTTGTAGTCATATGGGTTTGATGGTTGTAGGAGCCTGGTGAAAATGTTGTGCTCCAATTCGGATGCTGCTCCCCAGTTTTGTCAGGAACAGTACTGATCACCTACTGGGGACGCAATGAAAATTGGCTTTAGACAATTAGAAACCCATGCGCCTTCATACACACTTCCCACAACACATATTACTCTGTGATAGGCACTCAGAAGACAGTTATTGGCAGTCCTAGGGATCAACTAGACCTAGTAGAATGTAACTAAAAGGTTTCACACATTGAGTAAGGATCAGAAACACTCATGTTGACTACACTATTCTTCTCTTAAAAACACAGTGCAAAAATAATCATGCAAATGATTGGAATAAGATTCACCAATCTATTTCCATTAAGAGAGTTTATGCTAATTCAGGTGATCACACATATATCCTTTTTTTCTGAGAATAAAGGACAGAGTATATAAACTTGACCTTCTGTCGATTATTCCTTTCTCTGATTCTGGCAGTCAGGATTATCTCCTACGGGGTTTACACGGTATCCGTGCAAGCCTGATATATTTTAAAGTGTGACTAGTGTTACAGCCAAATCATTGCATATTCTTCTTATTTATTCTCCTCCTTAAATGAGGTATACAAGCCTTTTATTAATCCTTTACAGTACTAACTTATGTATGAGTAAGGTTATTTAACAAGCGAACGTTGGTCTTTCCTTTTTATTTAGCTGTGAATCCCTTCTGCCCAAGGAACGGGGTATGCTCAAAATGGGGTTGCACCTTATAGCAAGACAAGTCCTAATGCTGAAGCAAATAGAATCTCATACCTACGCTGTCCTCAAAGATTCCTCTAGGAAATATTCACCCACATAAGTTTAAAACTGTAATACTTACCAATACAATAATAAAAGACTTTGGTGAAAAGGATTATATTTGACTTTTGAACATAAAAATTTCTAGCTGTGGGGAAATAATCTTGAATTATGTCAAAAGCAAAAAATGCGAGTTCCAAAGGTGGGAAAGATTTCTTCTTCCAAACCAATCAGTGGTTTGGTCATGGATAGTGGTGTGACGAAACAACCTCAGTGTTTTCAGAAGTTAGTACATGCAATAATTTCTTCTGTTTATAGAGAGACAGAGAATTATATTTACTATGCCCTAAGCCGAAATATTACTAAAACCACATGGGGTTTAAAAATTGTTAAAATTGTTTCCAGTTCTTAGTCCAGACAAAGCAACCAAGCTTTGGTTAATATTACATAACATTACCTAATATAGCCAGCTGGTCTACCTGGGAAAGTTCAGACATAGTGGCTGTAAGGTTTGATTGTAGAACTGAAGTGTCATATAATTATCTCCTGACCAGAGACCATTAGGGGCATGCAACTGCTCAAAAAAATAATTATCTCCCCTGAGATTATCTTTCTTGAACTGCAGACCACAGAGTCATAAAATGGTTATATAACTGGCTAGATTGGGCCCTTTCAACAGATAAAATAAGGGGAATTAACTTGGTCAAGCAGAAAACACATTGGCACCCCTGACCGTATTTTCACACCTGTCAATGACACAGTCTGTGACTATATTTTTACCACTTAAGAATGTTTGATCAGAGGGATTTCAGTAAGAATTAACTGACAGCTAATTGATAGCTAATTTGATATGCAAGTTACTTCAGGGCGTGGCTTAGATCTTCTCCAGTAGGACAGGTTAAATACTAGAAATGGGAGGAGTTTAACTTTGCAGATAGATAGGTACTTATACTGCTAGCATCTTAAATTTACCTCATAGTGCTGCCAGCAAGCCACAAACTCAGATCAACAGTAGAAAGTCATTCTAGCTGTTTGAGTCCTGTTTAGCAAATTGCTGAAATGTTCCCAGATATGAGTGTACATTAATTTTAATATTTTATGGTTAGGAGCTAACTCAGTCTACTTTTCCTTTCCTGATGTGTCTAACATAACATTCTGCTTGAAATAGTTCTTTGTGAGTATTCAGTTATCTCAAGGAACTGCTAAACTATTCCTATTTCTTGTATGTATGTGTCACCTGTTTTTCAGTGCATATTTTCATGTGTATAAAATAGGACTTGTATAATGAAATGAAATTGTATCAGTTAAAAACCCAAAACATGTGCCTGGACTCTGGGGAAATGCCCACATGTGCAGCCATGTGGTTACATTTTGATAGCTCACCATGTGCTTACTGTCACTAGAAAGATAATATTCCGGAAAACATGCACATATAAAATGGTTTAGGTTTTCAGCCATAACCTGCTCCACGTGTTCATGTAAAAAACAATGTCAGCAAGTTTCAAAGTCTGAGTGAAGACGGACAGCAGACTTATGACGTCAACTATCATGACGAACATGAGAGGAAAGACAGGATATGTTAGACGCCAGTGTGAGACATATAAGACATTCAGACTAGACTGGAGAGAATGTGGAAGATGAGGAGGAGAGATGTTATATATATATATATATATATATATATATATATATATATATATATATATATATATATATATATATATATATATATATATATATATATATATATATATGTGTGTGTGTGTGTGTGTGTGTGTATATGTGTGTGTGTATATATGTGTGTGTGTGTGTGTATATATATATACATATATATATATATATATATGACACTGCCTCACAGCTGTCAGAGATTTTATCTTGCCTTATCACTAAGTTACGTCAACACCTTGTTCGTAAATTAGCATCATCATAAGTTCTCTAATCCCAGGTGCTCGATTTTCTAGCTGAAGCATCTCAACACTATCATACCATCAGCCAGTGACTGTGTAAACCTCAAACTGGTGAATGTCATCTAAATGATTTTAAGTAAATAAAGCTGTATGTCAGGTTTTATACTACATCGTTTGTTAAATTCTAAGTGTGTTCAGTCTTACCCGTTTAACTAAACTGTTAGATAAAATTACACTTTGTGGGAGCTCTTTAATAAAATTTTTCGGGAGGGGTCACCTGCCCTGTTTAACAATTCATTACTTGAAGTAATCTAGACATCTAAAACCCCTTTCCTTCTCCTTTGGGTACCAAGTGCAGTTGTTGGTGTATTTACATGACGAGCCAAATATGACTGTTTTCTTGGATATCCAGGACTTTGTCTGAGATCAACATAGCTCAGCTAATAGTCCAGTTTCTCTGGTGGAGTTGAAAAGTTGAGAAGAAAAGTCCTACTCATCACAAAAGCATTTACCCACTTTGGGATCCGCGACAAGTGGTCTCTCTATGAACCGATTCAATTCACCTGCGAGTATACCCCATTAAAACTTATTCCAGGTGGATTTAGGATTAAACAGGTACCAGTTTTGCCCATCAAGACTTAGACATAAATTATACTATTTTATTACGTTTACCCTTAACAGTTTGGGAGATCAAGATAGCTTCTCTCACGTTGTGTTATTCCAAAGATCACATTGGCAATTAGCATCGAGGGAAACAGGATAAATAACAGTCCAGAAGCGAAGGGGTGTTGCACTAGCTTCCTGACAGTTTAGCTAACATAGTTTTTGTTTTGTCATGTAAGCATGTCTTCTTGTGAACAAATAATTGTACAATCTGTCGTGCTGACGCTGTGAGAAGTGAAAAGAAAATGAAACATTTTTTCAGCATTTAAATTAGAATACTTGAATAGTGAAGAAAACAGCACCGAAGTTTTGACATTTACAGTTGTTCATAGATCAATCAGCAAAGGCATTGTGATAGACAGATGAAATGCATAGGGCAGTGCTATTCAGCTAAGTTTACTCAGGGGCCAAATGTTGACAGTGGGGATTTTCATAGGCCAGAGACTTGGGCCCCAGCTTAGAAAGATCACAAAATAGTTAGCAGTAATGTGGCGGGCCACTTATTAGGCCTCTGTGGGTCACTAGTTGAGTGGTCCTGGTTTAGGATATATCAATAGGTAGAATAAAAAAATTAGCCTTATGCTGAAAAATAGAGACTCAAGAAGTAAAAAAAGGGCAAAGCAAGATCACATGAAACAGAAAGGTTAAATTAAGAAAATAACAGTTAAAAAAATTTCAAATGTCAAAGGCCAATGGAGTGATTATTCTGTAATACAGTAGTGTTAACACACCCTCACCTGAAACAAATACATACACACGCCCGCACACATTTAATGATCATGATGGTATCAATTTAAAATTCAATTTTTCTGAAACCCCCCCCCCCCCCCCCCCCCCCTTTCCTCCTTTTTGCTCGCACATTTTAGGAATTATCTCCAACTACTGATCACAATTTGGTTTTCTCGCTGATACGACTAATGGACAGCAACATGGATGAATTTCACAATGATGCAAAAATAACTCAGCTGGATGATAAAGAAATTGTTATGTGGCTAGAAGTATGTACTGCTTTGTTTGCTTTAAGTAAATTGTAATATTAAAATAGAGAAGAGTGTCACAACACAATTTATAGTAAGTTTTGTCATTAAAACACTTGTGTCAAAATCAAAATTGAAAATACAGCGAACTTTCCAAATTATTATTATTATTATTAGGCACATCAGTTGAGTTATTATATAAGCTAATACATAAATCCATCCTTTATTTAGTTGATCTCTTGCCAGTTCCTCACTCTGTCTAAATGCTTAAACTGTGTGTGATATTCTTGCTGCTAAGCAAATTTGCCGAATTGTTTTTAATGCAGTCTGAATAATGTTTTGAAACAATTCAGTCAAGAAGATAATTGGAATACTATAGGAAATATCATCCCATTTAGCTTATTGATTGTATTATTTTAGTTTTGTTTTTAAAATTATGTTTAGCATTTATGCGTATCAGATTTCATTCTTAGCTACAAAAAGAAGAAGAAACAATTGTTTGACCTGGCTATCCTCCGAATAACAGGCAGGAAAGATGGAGGCCGCAAATTATCCTGACGAGCCACAGTCACGTGTCATGTGTTGTAAACATTAAAAAATTGAAGTCAAAACTAATAAGGAACGAAAAAATATATCAAATGGACTACTTACCGATAATTTTATGCTTTTATATCTGGAAATGATGGCACAGAATTTGTAAATATTTCCCAAAAATATGCTGTTTGTGGCTGTTACGCCATTGAAACTCGGCTAAGTACAGTCGGAACAAGGCGCGGCTCGTACCAGATTGGAAACGCAGCTTTCTCTTTAGTAACATACACAAACCGGCTATCCTCCGAATAACGAGCACAAAAGATAGCGACCAAAAACAGGGCCTCAGTCACGTGTCAATTGCGCACTTGCGGCGACTCAATTTGCGCTTTTCCGGCGACTAATGCTACCGCCGAGAGTGGCCCCCACGCCACTCACGCCGCTTGTGGGTCCTAGCCATCTAGTTTAGCCCCATCCACGCCGCGCGTAGCGGTGCAGGGAGACACTCTCGGCGGCGAGTTTAACTCGACGGTTTGTTCCGTTTCTCAAAATTGTCAACAGACACTAATCCCAGTTTTCCCGCGATGTGCTCGTGACCGCTAGTGCGCAATTGAGGCTCATCAGGATATTTTGCGGCCGCCATCTTTCCTGCCTGTTATTCGGAGGATAGCCTTTGACCTATTTTGGAATGATTGCCATATAAGTAGACTTACATAAGATGACACACATTGGCAAGGTATCAGCAGCTCTTAATAGCTTGAACAAAATATGGAACTCTAAATTGAATAGATTTAAAACCAAGGTATGTATATTCAATTTTAATGTTTTTTTAATTGTTACATATGCAGGTGAAGGTTGGTGAGCTACTAAAAACATGGAACGAAAGTTAAGTGCATTTGATAACAAATGTCTGAGAAAAATTATGAAAATAAAATAGAAGGAATTCAAAAGGAGTGGAGAAATAAGAGAAATATCTGGACAGCCAGTAACATCAACAGTTATAAGACAGAGAAGCTGTCATATTACTGGACACATACTGAGAAGACACAGCAGATAATCACCAGACAGGCATTACAATGGGAAATAAAAGAATTAAGGAGGCAGCGATGTAAAAAAAAAAAAATTTATCCCGAAAGCCAAAGCTGGTGGACTAGATTCCATTCATGATATTGAACTGAATGAGCAGGATAGAGTTGAATTGAGAAAAAGACTGCAAGCTCTATATGACATATAAGGACACAACAGGAAAATGAATGAATTAACAGTTGGCATATAAAGATAGTTTCATGCTTCAGAGTTTTATTTTTATTAGTTAATGATGCACATTACAGAGATTAGATAGAAGAAATCAGTCCTAACAAAGAAAGCTGCTTCAACTAAACAATGATAAGGGGATTGCACCAATTGTTCTTCTCAAGCATCTGAACCTGTGATGTTCATAGCTGCATATATCACCCACCTCTATTCATCTCTGGAATTAGTCCTCTCTTTCCACTGGGTGACTCCAAAAGTTTGTAAGTCCTGCCTCTATATAATCTCTTCACTGATTTGCCTCATGGTCTACAGTTTTACCTGGTTGACCTCTGCTATCCTGTCAACATGGTGCAGCCATTTTTGTCTATTAGCTCTCATGATGCCAGTGATCAGTGGTGATTTTAAAGAAATAATTTTGTTGTAACTTCTCCCTGCTGTTTGCACCTTTGATGTGTCCAAAGACTCGTCGTAAGACTGTTTAAAAAAAAATCTATAATAAGGCTTCATCTGTTTTAGTTGTGCAGATGAGCTGAGCACATTTTTGGAATATCAGATTACCTGAGACGGCTGTGCAGCATTGACCCCCAAAGCATGGCGGTATCATAGATGACAAACAAAGACTATCTAGGAAACTTAAAAAAAACATATAATCTCAGTAATGCTGATAATTCTAAGGAAAATAAAGGAAAGCTGAGAGAAAATTATTTCCCTAAGTGGTAAATACAGGGTACGTAGAGTGAGATTGAAGTTCACACTACAGAGTTGCTAGTTGTATCTTTCACATGAAGAATTATGTATATTTTTTCACAGTGCATTTTCTTTTTCTCATTTACGTGGTCAATTGGTGGCACGTGTGATGAAGCAGGTAGACTGCGCTTTGACAAATTAGTCAGAGAGCTCATAGAAGTAAGTAATTTATATTTGTTCAGTTTATTCAGTAATATCCTCATGTGTCTGTTAAAGAGAAAAGGACATTGTTTACCATAGTTTTTTCCTTGTTTTTTTTCTTCTTCATTATCAGTGCAAGATCTAAAAACTGATGGCAAAGGAAAACAGAACAATGAGAACATGAAATTTCTTTAACACTGTGCTGACTAACTTTCAGGATCTGCAAATGTCCGGTCCTATCCCTTGGACCAACTTCGCATGTGCATTCGTCACCTCTGACAGCAAAAGTCTAACTCCTGGCCTTCTCATGGCGGAACTGTTTAAATTAACAGGAGAAGGGGCGACGGCGAGTATTTGGTGCAGTTAAACCAGATGGATACTTGAGTATAATCAGTCTACCCAATCAAAGCTAGGTGCTGAAGTCGGAGGCAACCAACCAGGAGGCACACCACAGCAATCAGGATGCCACGCACACATGCCATGGAAATACGTCTTAACTTTTCCGATCTGCAAATTAGTGTCTTGTAGTCTGCAAACAGGCCCCCTTAGCAATAGTTTTTTAATTGAGCTTCATCTGGGTGTTTTTATTATTCCAAGATCATTGCGCCCACAAACAATACCACTTTGAGCGGATACAAGTGCTGTTTAAAGTTACAATGAAATTTCGAAAATTTGTGTTACCAGCGCATATTTATGATGAATGATGAAAACCAGTCCCGTAGTATTGATGATTCCAAATCTGACAACGAATGTAGCGCTGAAAACTCTTGAATAAGTAGAGATTCACCTGTAAACATTATCATCATATCGCAACTGAAAGTAGCGACAGCGATGATAGACTTGATGTAGCAGATGATATAGGTACATCTGAAGAAAAGTGGGTGTGGCACAACAAAGCAGCACATTTCTACAGCTGAAAATGCTTTTTGTAAGTGAAGAAAGGCTGCTCAAAATGAACTTGTTAAGCTGCTTGACAATCTTCCTCCATACGAAGAACAACAAGGTGCCATGTCAGTAACAATTGGGTGTGAGCTGGTTGACTTTTAAAAAAAAAAGCAATTGAAACTGAAAAAGCCAGATTATCCTTTTTTGTGTGACAAAATACAAAGCATGTTGACTGTTACCTGTCATGAAACTAAGGCAGTTCACCTGATATCTACTGTTTACTTCAGTGGTGTTATAGACAAGACAGGAAAAGTGGAATTCTTGAAAGAAGATTAATAAATAAGCCAGTTCTTGCAGAGAAATACAACAGTATGGGGGTGTCGATCACTTTGGCCAGCTGGGTGCAAACTACCTCTACCACCTATATCCTATAAATGATACCTGCCATTATATTATTTTTTTTTTTTTTTTAGTTTACACTGCTCTGGTCACAGAGCATATAAGCTACAACACTGCCAACTCTATATATAAGATCACAGCAAAGAGGTTCAGTCAGGATATCAGCCTTGCTCTTATTGGACCTGCTGTTTTTCGGCACAGTGTAACACCTTCAAGATCACATGTCACAGCATAATGACTTACTGAGTGCCATTTAAAAAATAATATCAAAACCACATACTGCACAAATTGCAGTACATTTCTATGCTTGACACCCTATTTCAAGCTATATACCACACATTTGAGGATTATAATCATTCCCGACAAATACAGAGGGCTACAGCTACAGCTTCAACTCCAGTTAATGAAGGAAGTAGCTCAGGCTTCAGCTAGAGGTGCTTTTATAATCAATCATTCACAAATGCTCATTGTAACGTAACAAATAAACGCACAATAAATGAAACAAGTTTTTTTTCCCTCACTTTATTTACATTTTATTTGCTTCTAATTTTGAAATATTTGGTCTGTTGTTTAATAATTGCTCCTATTGAGCTAATTTATTTCATTGCCAGCCATGTTCCCAACATTTTATTGCACTGACATTGAATAAATTCACTTAGAACTGGAAACAGATAATAGTTTAAGAACATGTCCTAAAATTTCTATAAATAGCCAAGCAAATTCTAGATGGTCACCATGATCATGTGACATATTTGCATAATACATCTTGTTTTCATGTGTAGCAACAATTTATAAAGGTGCTCTAAAAGTTTAAAAATCCCACGTCTCTTTGTATTTTTTTTTAAATTTTATTAGAAAACCAGTTATTTTGACAACAATGTTCGATCACCTTTAGTAATAGGAGACAGTAATGCCCCAATTGCTGTTCAGCTGTGTTAAATCCCTGATGCAACATTGTTGTGAAGTGCTTTTAGAAAAAATGTGGATAAAGCCAACTGTAAACTTTATCAGAAGACAGCAAGTAAAGTGATTTGCCAACCTACTGAGGTATCAACCTTATTTCTTCTCAAAATGCAATATTAAGATAGAATTTGAAAAATAATTTGAAACCTTATTTCATAACTTTATTATAAGATGCACCCGGTGAAAGCTGTATCAGAAAAGTTTGGTAATATAGCAGAGCAGACCTAATCACCCATGTACCACACATATGTAAAACACAAAGAACTAAAAAGAACATTTAAAGTTGCAGATTCATTTTTAACATTTTTAGAATGAGCACATCATGCACAAATGAGATTCTATTGTATTTATATAGTAGTTACCCTTTAGTTTTCCTTGGTACAAAAAAGATTTAATGTGCAGAGAGGAAACATATGCAAACCTTTTGATTAAGTTGCCACCCTCCCATCAGCATGAGAATTCTTTGTTGGCAACTAAAAAATGGAACAGAGCAAATGTTGGATTGTCTCTCATTTGGGTGAACCTGCTGTATCATGCCAGGGCTTTAAAAAGGATCTGCCTTTTTACCAGGGCTTTTAATGAATATCTGGTATTATCTATTTTTTATACCAATGTGAGAGTTGTGCTCTTCCTGTGGAAATGGAAAGGAGAATTCAGGCTTTCAAATGTAAATGCCATAGGCACATTTTATGAATTAGTTATTTAGAACAAACTAACGTATATGTCAGAAACAAGATATACAAATTTGCAGGACATCAGGTGCCTCTTTTGGCAGTGGTGAAATGCCGCAAGCTAGCTTGGTTCAGGTACGTAGTGAGACATGATTTGATTGCAAAGACTATTTCAAGGAACACTGGCGACGGGGGTAGTCGAAGAAGAAAAGGGCAAAGAAGAATTTGGAGTGAAAACATCAAGAAATTGATAGGACTAAGTTATCATACACTTATTCCTCAAGTGGAAAACAGAAAGATGGCGGGTTTTATGTGCTAGTGCTTCCACTGATACACCTCCATGACCCAGGCGGGTCAAGGCTTATGTTATGTTAATGCGGCGGTTCTCAACCTATGGTTTGCGACCCTTTTTTTTGATCGAACAACTATTTCACATGGGTTGCCAAAGACCAACACAAAACAAATATTTATTGAAGTTATGAAGTAGCGACAAAAATAATTGTATGATTGGGGGTTATCACACCATGAGGAATTGTATTAAAGGGTCACCACAACATGAGGAACTGTATTAAAGGGTGGCTGGATTAGGAAGATTGAGAACCACAGTGTTAATGTATACACAAGCAGATAAAGGCATTAGATGTTGGGAGAATTTCATCGTTTGTTGAATATTTCCTTGGTTGTATGTGCTAGCTATTGACTTGTATAAATTTTCAAGAGAAATCCTAAATTTGTATTATGTTACAATTTCACAAATGAAAAAAAAAAAACTAGTAACAAGATTATGTTAAATAGGGATGTTTGCAAATATAATTCCAATATATGCCAACGTGTTTTTTTTCTCAATATTTTCCTTAGGGTCCAATGACAGCATCTACAAGAGGAGCTCTTGCTTTTGTGACATCAGTTCATGCACCAGATCCTCCTTACAGTTTGCCATATCCAATAGAAGGCACAATCTATGATTACCAGTTTGTAAAAGAGGTAGAAAATGTTGCATTTTTTAGTTACAATTATTAACAGTTTTATTTTGCCTGTCTGACTAGAATGCCCTGGTACCAAGAAGCACAGAGAGTCACATTAAAGAAATATGTTAAATACAGAGCAAGGTAAAAGGTTAGTTGCATATCCTTTACAGGACGTTGCAGAACCAACCCCAGCAGCCCCTGGCTGTTGTGTGGTTTCTCTAGGCAAATTTACGTCCAGTAGTTTGCCATTTCTTTCTGGATGGTCGGCCCCCTGATACCACTGTCAAAACCAACGCAAGACGCATTGCCTGCAACTGGAATCGAACCTGGCACCCCGGCATTACGACTTAGCCACAGAGGAGCACGGTAAAGACCATTCAAAAGCATCAAGAACAACCTTAGACAAATAAAGATTAACTTACATATTGCTTCACAAAGAGCACATAGACAGCTCTCCCAGTCCAGGGGTAGGCCTACATGGTTCTTCTGGGAGTTTTCTCCTGTTTTACATCTGAATCCTTCTGCAGATGTGAAGACTTGAGTTTGCAATCAATTACCTGCCCTGCTATTTTTTCTTTCTTTGTGTATAGAAAAGCTACCCTACCCTTAAGAAAAACCATATTTAAGCCTTGGCTATCATGTTTTTTTTTACTGCTTACCCACTTCAGGCTGCAGGCTGCACCTATGGATATTCTATAGGAAATATGGCTTCTCTCCAAAGTTGGGTTAGCCATTGACAGAGCTTTCCTACTCTAACCATTCTTGCTGCAAAAATTGACCATTGTATGGCATTTGCTCTGCTGTGAGCGATGGCAGGACTTCAGAAAACATCTTTTTCAGTGGGTGTGGAATCCCCACTAACAGATCCTAGCTTTGGTTTGTTTGGTTACTTGTAATAATAATACATCCTCTTTAACTGTCAATAGTCATGAGTATTTTATTGTGATGCCGGGTATATCAGCTTTGCCACAAGGCTACCTTAAATGACAGTAAGAGTCTACCTTTCTCATTAGGGAACCTGCTGCATCAGATTAATTTCCATATTAGGTCTAAGTTTCAAACTGATTTGCAAGATTTGCAAGGATCTGACCACAAAACACATGTAATGGTGCCACACACCATATGTCATTTCAAGTCAGAGAAATTTTGCAAGGCCTTTTCTGTACTGCTCATTGACTCTCTTCAGGTCTTGGCAAAGACAGTTTCTCTCATTATGTTAAATTTCTCGGTGACAAACTTGATGGGTAGCATGATTATTTTCTTCTTGTAGTAAAATGCAGTTCTGTCCACAAACAGAAGAATATACAGGTCAGCTTCCCGATAAGTTATAATTAAATGTTGAGGCTAGGAAGTCTTTTGCACCATACAACACCAAATGATGATGATACAACTACATACAAATTGTTTCACTTTTTCTAGTTGTTTGAGGGTTGAAGCCCCAGCGGGGTCACAGTATAATGGGACTTCAGACCTTAAACAGTATTTTAAATTTTAGGTAGTTTATGAAGAATATCTTTCCTGTGACGCTCAGGAGAGAAATTGATCTTGACTGTTTAGTACTGGATCAGTATTGTTAATTTAAGATGTAGATTCCATTGACTGTCTTCCATGCCAAAGCTTACGTACTTGTATCTCCATGTGAATACCATAATCTAGTAGAATCTAGTTAATCATCTTCTGATGCATGTAGTGTACCTCTTCCACCCCCCTCCCGCTGTGAACACAAAATACAGATGTGGGAAAACATGATAGGCTGTTTCACCCAACATGGCACATGAAGATGATGATCATTGTTCTGTCTCCCTGTTTACATTTTTGTAACATCCATGTTTAAAGTGTAATTGTTCTATCTATGAGTCCGTTAAAAAAAAAATTCAAAAAAATTGCATCTGTGTCATTAGATAATATAGGAAATAAAAAAGGAAATTAGTACATTTAGAATAAATTCTACTTGAATAAAACATATGGCAACCTGATTTCAGTTTATATAGCATTTCATGTCATGAAACTACCACGTGGAATAGTCAGCCTACCAAATACTATCGTTCAGTATTTCTGTTTATATAAGAATATTTGAGTGTTATTTTGTAACGCATATTTTATTGTTGCTTTAATGTATTTTATCTTCTTATTATAGAAATTTGAAAAGCCAAAGTCTAAAAAGAAAGGTGCAGATGAAGGAGAGGAAGATATGTTTACAGAGGATTTAATGGAACTGCTTACAAAAGATACTACAAGTGGAGAGAAAAAGGTTACAGAGTTTTAAAAAATGATGAATCATTGTATTTTATATTTCTGAGATACGTTGATGATGAACTATAAAGTGTGCTGTGTTTGAAATCTGTCCAATATTTATTTTTTTTAAAAGAGATTAGACTATGACCATTTCCTATATCCTTATCTACATAGGGATTTATCTTGTATTTGTCATTTGTCTTTCTTTTATGTGTTTAAGGCTTCACAGGTGTTTCACTATATGTTTGGAAAGGGAAGAGCTTCTGCCAAGAGGTTTGGGCAGTTACTGGCCAGTGAAAGATGCCTGTTCAAATGCAACCACTTTTGCTTTTGATGTTTATGATGAGCCCCAGAATAGAGAGGAAACAGTAATGGCTGTCTCATGGGTCCCCGAGTGGGTAGATCATTTTGTTATGACTATGAGTTTAACTCTAACACTGCACCTTCACCAGAGATACTGGACTAATATCCAAGCTATGTTGATCTCAGACAAAGCCCTGGATATCCAAGAAAACAGCCATCTTTGGCTCGTCATGTAAATACACAACAGCTGCACTTGGTACCCACAGGAGAAGAAAAGGGATTTTCGATTTTATTATTATAATTATTGAATTACTAGACAGGGCAGGTGACCCCTCCCGACTACCTTCTTCTGGTAAAGAATTATTAATGAGCACCCACCTACTGTAATTCTATCTAACAGGGAATTTAACAGTGTAGTGTAAAACCTGACATACAGCTTTATTTACTAACACTTATTTAGATGACATTCATCAGTTTGCTACGTTTACACAAACAGTGACTGGCTGATGGTATGATAGTGATGAGATGCTTCAGATAGAAAACTAAGCACCTGGGATTGGAGAAGTTATGATGATGATAAGTTTTCGCGTACAATCAGGACGTAACTTAGTGGTAACCTTTGACAGGCATTAGGCACTGTCAAGCTTTTCCTACTCTTCTTCCCAGCTCGTTCCCCAGCTTGTTCCAAGCTTGTTTCCCAGCTTGTTCCAAGTTTGCCGATCTCCCACACAATGTAGGTTTGTGCACGTGGACCCTCTTTTGCTATCATAACTGACTGATCTTCACCCCGATGGGATCTGAGAACATTCCAGCAAATTGCTAAACAAGACTCACACAGCTAGAATGTCTTTCTTTTGTTGATCTGAGTTTGTGGCCTGCTGGCAGCACTACGAAGTAAACTTTAGATCCTAGCAGTTTAATAGCAAAGTTAACTCCTCCCCTTTTCTAGTGTCTAACCTACCCTACAGGAGATAATATAAGCCACGCCCCTGAAGTACCTTGCAGATCAAATTAGCTATCAATGTGCCTGTCAGTCAATTCTTAACCGCCCCTACTCTGATCAAACCTTTTTAAGTGGTAAACATCTAGTCCCAGACCGTGTCACTCACCGGTGTGAAAAGTTGGCCCAGGGGACGCCATCATGCCTAGAGTTTCCTACTTGACCAAGTTCATTCCCCTTATCTGTTGAAAGGGCCCAGTCTGGCCGGTTATGAAACCTTTATTACACCAGGGTCTCTGGTCTACAGTTCAAGAAAGATAATCTCAGGAGAAATAATTAGTTTTATGACAAGTTGCCTGCTCCTAACGGTCTCTGGTCAAAAGATAATTATATGACACTTAAGTTCTACAATAAAACACTACAGCCACTATGTCTGAACTTTCCCAGGTAGACCAGCTGGCTTTATTATGTAATCCAAATGTTACATAATATTAAACAAAGCCTGACTGCTTTGTCTGGCTAAGGTCTGGAAACAATCTGAAATCCCACATAGTTTAAGTAATATTTGGGCGTAGTGCCTAGTAAATATAATTCTTTGTCTCTCTATGACCCTAAGAAATTTATTAAACATAATAAATTATGAAAACACTGAGGTCATTTCTTCACAGGCAGCACTTGATTTTGAGGATGCCTCCAATAGTCATTTATGATATTTTGAAATCTGCGCTCCTGGAGATAGCGGACTTCCCTGGCTGGTGAACTGGATAGCAGATGTCCTGCATTCAAGTATAATTGCTCTCCACCTGGGTACATGGATCTCAGAACCGCGCAATATCACCCTGGGACTACCCCAGGATTCTGCAATGTTACCAGTGCTCTTTGGTGTATATACAAGCAAGATTGTACAACCTCAAGCACCTGGAGTTAGACTGATATTGACATTTGCAGATGTTGTTCTTGCATATAGGCAGGGAACTGATGTCTCTAGCCTCACAGTTGGTACCTCACTTTCAATAGAAGCCTGCCCTTCAGGGATCGTATGGAGCAACAAAAGACACAGTGCACTCACGATTATGGAAGCAATGACATGACAAAAAATGCTGTTCACAATGTTCTAGCATGTGATTCTCTCATGTAATGCTTACCGTGTCAAAATATCAGCTGATGAAGCATAAACCCATATAGAATGAAGCCATGTGGGTAATTCTAGGATGTACAAGAGATACCCAGGTAGTATGTATGCATTGCCAACTATTACAGAAAGGCTGAAAGTCCTGCAAGCAAAATCATATCTCAGAGTAGCTGCAGATAAGAAGCAGCTCCTGCTTGAAGCATTGGGTAGAGCTAATGGTCACAGATAAAAAGAGGAAGGCCCTGTATGGTGCAAACAGAGATGCTTTTATACATGTGTGGGGGCTTCATAATATTGGGCAAGGATAGGAGTGGGTCAAAGTGCCTGAGCCACAGTCAGACTTGTGTAGGGTTCTAATCACATTGGTGCCATGTGAGCAGGGACTGTCCAGCGAGTGCTGCAGAATCAAAAGTTCCACAAATGATGCATGATAATTCTCACCCAGGTGATATGCTTGAGAGCCAGCTGCACACACATGTTATAGTTGTAACTGCTTGCAGAACATGTTGAGAATGATGTATGACAGGTGTAATTTATACAGAGTGGCAAGCATTGCTTCAGAGGTATGAGGTTGTTAGTGTTCTTCGGATATTTTCTTCTAGCATGCCAGTGTATCGAGAAACAGACAGGTAGACTGGCTGGTTCTGCACCACTTGGTAGTATAGTGATGCACGACAAGCAGATATTGTAAGACTCCATTTGCAACATTGCAAAGGCACAAGTAGATCATTACCATCTAAGGAGAATGGTGTTGGAAGGAATGACCAGGGAATCTGGCTGATACTCAGAACTCAACGAAAGGTGAGATCAATGTACAATCAGAGAGTTACTGGTACCATCAGAATTGAAATTCTGCACTTGCTGATGAGATGGGAACAGAGTGCTTATGGGAATGTCATGAGTAAGGTGATTTCAATTCTTGATTCAACATTCACTATGTTAATGTAAAGTAATAGGTACTGCTTGGGAAATTTAAGATAAAACTGGATGTCTTCTAAAAAGCACCCAAAATACACAGCAACCTTTCACTTAAGGTTTTTGCACACTGTCAAAGACCAGATGGAGCCTTTTGCTGACTTGAAATTAAATAACATATGCATGGGTAATTAAACCAGATGCACGACAGGGTTGATCCCTCAGTTTTCCAAGTCAAGAAAGAAGTCACTTGCTAAGATAAAACCACAAACTGTAAATTTTGCCAGCAAAATAGTGATTTAAGGTAGACAATAAATTGTATAAGGGCATGGCACAAAAATTGTGTACCATACTTGATCAGTGATTTACTAGAGTATAAAGCAGAGGTCAGCTCAAATGAGTTATTATAGTGAATGTCTGTTGAATTTTCATTTGCAGTGAAATGACAGAGTAACTTGGGCAGCAGCTTTGCATACTGCATGAATGCCAAAGGTTTGGTGAGACCCAAGCAAAAATCATTCAGGAGATTTTTTTTAAATGTATGGTCTGCCACCATGAGCACCACACAGATTAAAGAATGGTATAGTCACTTTAAAGGTGGCTGCACAGTGGTGGAGAGCTGAGTATTCTCTGCTAGACCTTTTACAAAGCGAAATAAACAAGGTCATAGCCAGTAGTAGGTATCATTCATGCTGTACTGTCATGTCACCATCTGAGAATTTACAGACAAGATGGGAATAATCTGGATTTAGTACATTCGTTGGATGGAGGGCCTGGTCATGCAGAGACTATTCACATAGTCTGCACTCTACTAGGGCAAATTATGTGTGGCAGAGTTGACCATAGGGTTTAGTCTTAAAGCCAAAATCATCCAATTCCACTCCATGTAACTAAACTAGTCTCTCCAGATCTATGCCCCCGAATAGCTGTTGTGAACCACAGGTCTCATGTACCTACTGTGTGGTCAGTAAAAGACTCTGTTAAGGCATATTGAGTATATTCTCCTAGCCCAATATTTTTGTCAAATATTGAATCATTTCTGCATGAGTGATTCTGTATCATTTCAGCCACATTTTTGACTAGAATATTTGCTTGTATAAATTTCAGGCTAGGTCTTCCCAGGTAAGTTTAAAGTAAATTCACTGTTGCCTTCCTTGAAGATGTTCGAACACATGAATGCTAGGCTCACAGGTAAATGTGGTAACCATTGCCTCACCATGGCTGTCAGTGTGTAGTGGTATTACCACATTATTGTCACAGACATCAAAGTTGTCCAGCCATTCACCTTACACATAAACTCTGCATTTTTACCTTACATTTCAGCCTTGCATTTCTGTTGCAGATTTGTGGTAGGTGGGCACCCTGGTCTGATGAGCTAGCAGCAGCGCCACCAATTCCAGATGATGCAGCATTTAATACAATCATCGTGCCAACAATTGACACAGTGCGTTACCTTGCCCTCATGGAAATGCTGACTGTGCATGACACTCATTATTTGTTTGTGGGACCAACTGGCACTGGCAAAAGTGTTTATTTAACTGTAAGGCTTGAACATATAACCTCATCGAATTCATGCTTTCATCAATAATATTTTGCATTTAACTATTCTAGTTTTTTTAATACTTTGGCATTAAAGATTTTATCGATTCAGAGTAGGGCATTTAATGTTTATGAAAATTATTAGACTTGCAACAAGGACTATAAATCGACCTTCCGGTTGGGTTACATTTCCATTATTGTTACTTTTCCGTCTTGTCTATAGTGACCTGTTTAGAGACACATACTTAAGGTTAGTGCTATTGGCTGTTTTCATGTGTGAGAAATATTTAAGAGTAAGGATATGAATACATTAACAATAGCTTGGGTTCGCAAAGGGCTCCTTTGAGCCAGACAGCTTTTTTTAACGCCAAATGAACAACAGGTCTTTCAATAAGTCTCAGTTTTAAGATATTTCTAAACAAAAAGGGTGGAAAAGGGGGGGGGGGGGGGGGGGGGGGGGGGGGGGTACTTAGAAGCTTTATAGAGCTTAGATCGTCTGAATACTTGTATTGTCAGACTTCAAAAATCTGCTCTGGCTAAAAAGCACATCAGTTTTCACAGATTTGGCTTTTTTGTATTCAGACTGTTGGTTCCTTGCCTCTCAGGCAGATGTACTCCAACTTCGAAGGAAACCCCTAATTAGTCAACTCTTATGAAAATCTTTTTTTTTTTTAAAGTCCTTTGGTCCCCCCCCCCCCCTCCACCACGCGCCACCGCGCCCCCCCCCCCCCTTTCCCGTTGTTGCCCGGAAACCACTTGGAGAGACTCCAGAAATAAAAGTCACACTCTTACAGAAAATCCGACCTTTTGTGCATATTTCCTTTCAAAAACAAACTTTGAAACTCATAGGCAGTCAGTATATCATAGGAAAAAAGGGCTAGAGATGGCGGGATCTACAAGAAGGAAAATGAAACAAATTATTAGAAAGAGACATATTAAATTCATGTTTCAAAATGTTAAATAAGCAGTATCTAAAGCCAGTATCTCTCATCAGAATTCATAGAACTGAAAAACATATAGCTTCATAATGCGGAACTCGTGGTAGGCTTTCTTTGGAAAAGCTTGAACTTTAAAAGTTTTGGTTGTGTGAATCAGAAGAAAAGAATAACAAATTTATGGAAATGTACCTAACATTTAGTTTAATTCTGTTGCTGAAATTACCATAATTTTTCTTGTAAGCATGGTATGCAACTCACATGAGTCTGTTCTCATCAGCTAGTTTATTGTTACAGTAATTTATATTTGTATTATTTACAGGTGTTAACAAAAGAACAGTACATCTGTTGCATTGTTATTTCTCCCCCCCCCCCCCCCCCCCCCCCCCCCCCCCCCCCCCCCCCCCCCCCCCCATTTAATTTTTTTAACAGGATTTTTTGCTGAACAAACTGGATAAAAATATCTACAAACAAAACATCTTGAATTTTTCTGCACAAACTAGTTCTACTCAGACTCAAAATATGATCATGTCAAAGCTGGATAAACGACGTAAAGGAGTGTATGGTCCACCTCCTGGGAAGAAAGCTGTAAGACAGTATTCATGTGTATTTGTCATTAAAACTAACTGATATCTCCTACAATAACTATCAAACTAAGAAGCAGTTCTTGTCTTTTTGAATGTGTATCTGTTTATCATATTCCTTTTACAATTTCAAACCATTTTCTTCATCTCTAGTGTATTGTTGTTTGTTTTAGTATCCAGAAGCCATGAGTTGTTAACCCTTAGGCTCGGTATTATGGATATCGCAACCTTTCGGCCTTGATTCCATTGTAAATACCGTCAATCTGGGAGAAAATGTGGCTTTCCTGCCTACCCCCGGGATTGAACCCGGACTACAAGGAGTACGTCACCCGGTCTCCGCGAAATCCGGTTTAGCCAATTCCGCTAGAAGGGCGGGCATCTCTAGTGTATAAAAGACAACCAAACAAATTGTATAAATAAAAAAATTGAGATCATCCCTTTACAATTACCTACCACTATTTGTTAATAAGTATATTCAAGTTAAATATTTGTAAAACATCTTACAATTAGTAGAAACAAAAGCAGTGTAAGATATCTCGGTGTAAAAGAAGTTAAGGAATAATTTTCAGTTACAGTCTCAAATAAGTGAAGTATGCTTGAACACATTTAATGAATCTGGAGTGAATCCTATGGGAGACCTTCACAGTACTAAAAAGAAATTAATAGGTAAATATAGTCAACCAAATAGATCAATACAAATTTGTGAAGTAAAGGTTCTTACCAACACTAAAGATCAAATTGACAGAGGGATTAAGTATTTTGAAGCACTTCTGAATAGACCAGCCCCATAGATCCCTCCAAATATCCAGTCTTTAGAACTGTGAGATATCAACTGTGAGATACTATATAAAAAAGGGAAAACTGCAGAGGTTCTTATGGACAATATAAACACATCAGCGAAATTGTGACACCAGTTATTCAGTAAATTATGTGGCAGCCATGGTGTAGTGGCTAGATGGACGCTCTCCTGTGGACCAAAGAGGTTGCGGGTTTGGGTCCTGATGGAAACAGACTCTTTTTTTTTTAATGACCTTGGCTGCCAGGTCAACCCAGCTTTGAGTGGGTATTTAGTTAAGTCCTGGAAAGTAAAGGCAGCCGGCATGATACTAACCACATCACCAACAGAGTGCCACGGGTCTATGAAATATAGTTCTAGCCTTATATGTCGAATATGCCTGCAGGTGTGAAAAAGGTTCCTTTTACTCTGAAAGTGAAGAAATAACAGTGATTGGAGAAAAAGATATTTTGCAAAGCTGCCAAAAAAAAAAAAAAAAAAAAAGTGACCTTCGGGAGTGTAAAAACTAAAGAGGAATTATGTTGCTGTCAGTTCTTAGAAAAATATTTAGGATTATTTTGGAACAACTAAAAGATTCAGTTGATAAACAGCTAAAGGGGTGAGCAGGCAGATTTTTACTAAACCAATCTTGTACTGACCAAATAACCAAACCGTGCATAATAATGCTATGCCGGCGGTAGCGTAATTACCAGCAGGGCCTCCTAAGCCGGAAAGGTCAAAGGGTAGAAAACAGACAAAGAGAGACACCCTGGTTCTCCAGGTTGGGGGTTGAAGCATGGGGCTAACACCTTCACCTTTGTAAAACTTCATCTCGCCACAAAACAAATAACTAAGCCTAGATTTCAGACGGATTTAAACAAACTATGAACCTGAAACGTTAAAGGACCTTTGAGATTTGGAACATGGAATGAACGAACCCTTTAAAGAGATGAAGCTGCTGAAGAACTGACCCATGAGCTATAAAAATACAGAATGGATGTAACAGCAATTCAAGAAATAAGATAGCTAGGACAAGGTACCATAGGGAGGAAACACTCAAAACAAACATGCACTAGGGGCAGGATTTCTTATCAGAAAAAGTTGTATTATAAATTTTGAAGCTGTTAGTGATAGGATCAATGCAAAAATAGGAAGAGAAAATGCGTATAAAAATGTAGCGGGCTCAGAAAGCCTACATACCAATTCAAACGATAATGGATGGAGATTAATCAACTTCGCAGTAGCAAAAGAACTACAGATAAGCAGCACCAGATTTCAAATAAAAAATATACATAAACAAACCTGGAAATCATGGGACAGGATAACTTATAATCAAATAGATCACATTTTAATAAATTACAGAAATGCTTCGAACATTCAAGTTAGAAGCTACAGAGGAACTGAGTGTCATAGTGATCACTACCTGGTTGGTGCAAAATTAAAAATCTAGTTAAACAAATCATTCTACACAAAGTTACAAAGATCACACCCAGAGTACAATAGAGAAAGATTAAAGAAACATCTGTATCAGAGAGATTTGCAGATGAATTAAAACATAAAAATGAAATTTTACAAATTCCGCCAGACCAAACCTGGAGGGATATAAAGAATATAATTTAAACCACTGCAGAAGAATGTCTTGGTGTGTCCACCATAAACAGAAAAAACAAATGATTCCATACAAAATGTGAAGAAGCAGTCAGTAAGAAAAAACTAGTAACATTCAAAATGAAGAAAAATATATAACAGAATGTAAAAAAGCTACAAAAGTAGTTAGGCAGCAAAAGCAAGAATACATAGACAACATTGTCATGGATATGGAAGCTAACCGTCAGAACGAATCGAGAAAGTTTTTTTTTACAGAAGTGAAGGCTTTAAAAGGATGACATCAACAAAGCATTTATAGTTAAAAAGATCACAATAGCAACATCATAAATAAGAATGAGGAAATATGTAACAGATGGAAGGAATACTTTGTTAAATTGTGAAACTCCACTTAATACTTATCTACAGGAAGTAATGTTAACATGTGAACCAAATATTGAAGAGCCTGATTTGGAAAAAGTGTGTGTCATAACAGGTTTAAAAACAGTAAAGCAACTGGTGCTGATGGAATTGCAACTAAACTGATAAAAGAAGGTGGTCATGCATTACATATAAAGATATATGAACTAATAAAACTAGTTTGGAAAATAGAGAGATAACCCCATGAATGGAAAGTGTCTTTATTAATACCTATTTTTATGTCGAGTTAAGTTGAGTCATGAATTAACATCAAAGCATTTGGGGCATTACAATGCATGCTTTATCCTCATTACCTATTTTTAAGAAAAGAGACAAGTATAAGTGAAAATTATAGAGTAATATCACTATTATCTACATGCTATAAGATACTATCTGCCGTACTGCTAAACAGGCTAAAACCATATGTCGAAGACATATTGGGAGATTACCTAACAGGGGAAATCCACTGGTCATGGTACAGTCTAATATTTTAAGGGGTGGCAGATAGGCTGCATGCAAGTGTGGGACCTAGGCTGCATGCATTCATGGGACCTAGGCTGCACTCTCTTGTGGGACATAGGTGGGTTAATGTTAGGGCCAGTTCTAGATATTCTGGGGTCGTTAAAAGCATCAGAAAGCCGGAAAACCCAGTCTTACCACCCTCTAAAATGTTTGACTTTCCTGTGACGTCATCTGGGGGTAGGATATTAACAAAGAACCCAATCTTCAGTTTGCCTTATTTGTAATTTCATCTTGGATGAGTGCTGCTGTTTCTTACAGACTGGTTTTTTTATCATTAGAAAAACTGGGTGGTGATCACTGCCTCCTAGTTGTTCCCAACAGTTCTAATAATATTCTATTCCCTGTCTGGTGAATGAAAGGCTAGGTCTGGCATAGAGGTGGTATACCATTCTCTTGCATAGACTGATGGTGGGTTGGTTGGCCTTTTAATGAGGATGAATCTGTTTTCATCCTGCCAGTCCTCCAGTATCTCTCCCCTCTGATGCATTTCATTGTAGCCCTAGCTTTCTGAGTCATCCCCACACACAATCATTCTTTTATTTCCTACTATTGTTTCCAGTGCCGGAGGGCAGTTGCTCGGACAGTAATAGTTGATTAATTGGAAATCTGCGTTTTCTGTCTTGAGCTTAAGAATCTGATACTCCCCCCTCCCCCTTCCATGTATGTTTCAGTCTAGCATGCTGTAGTGAACCATTTTCTCCTGGATAAGTTTTGTCCAGACGGAATGCCGTCAGCTAATAAATATGAATGAGAGATTTAAATGTAACAAGGGCAGCGACGCGAGTCATGGAGAAAATGTTGGCCAAATGGAACCCGTGTGAATCTGAGAACACGAAAAAGTCGTAATTGTAATGTGTGCGTTAGAATGTTAAATAATGCCTTAGAAAGAGCATGTGGGCAGTCTCGTTTAGGCCTAAGAAATAAATACATGAAGTAGGTAGGAGTGTCTGTTGGATCCAGAATGTGTTTGAGTCTGATATGTCTGCAGAGTTTTTCCCAACGCCTACTTGGCCAAACAGCAACTACTGACGGAAACCCTGCAGCCAGCTATTTGTGTGTGTTTTGCTCGGATGGAAAATAGTGGTTATCTTTCAATTGCTGTGGTGATGGAAAGGTTTCGTCTCAAGGTATAGTTGATACTCTTGGTGAGTTAGGATAGATATGAGTGACTGTGTTGTACCCTAACATGTACTGGCTGAAGAAACAGCGAGTGAACAAATAAAGTGTGAAACCGCATTGTATCATTCACTGTCATCCATGTTTACTTGTGTGTGGACAATCGGCACATGGATGGGAGTCTGTAAGTGACTGGAGCCAAAGACAATAAGAACAGAGTCATTGCAGAAATGGAGACTCGTTTAAACAATAGAGGCTGAGGAAAATTTGTTTCGGACAATATATTCTTAAACAAAGGAACTGAGATTAGCTACTTGCCAGACATCTGGTAGAACCAGTTCCGATCACAGACAGGAAACACAAGTCTGGTGATTTAGGAATGTAAGCGGGGAAGATCGAAGACAGTTACAGTGCAGGAGCAGTCATCTATGGTAGCAGAGGAATATAAGTGTAAGTCTACGCACAGATGAACGTAAGACTAGGGCGGTCCCTTTACAGCAGTTCTGAAGCCCTGTTGATTGTACAAATATTGTTGCTGACTACATGGTGAAGTGCAGTGGGCTATCTGCACCAAGCAACACAAGAAA